CACAGGAGTCAGGACGATAAAGGCACGATTTTTCGCGATATACTACCATCGAGTATTGAATGTCGTCGCGGGGTTTTTTAGCCATTGGACTATATTCCAATATATGAAAATTTGGTCTTTTCAATCCATCTGTTCCATAGTGATATGGCATGAAATTTTGCTTAAAATCAACATTTGTTGTTGAGATTTGTTTGCTGCATTCAGATCCGTTCAAAACTATGTTGAAAGATTCTCGGACAATAGCTGATGATTCAGATATCGAAACAGACTTTCCAGAACCTTCTAGAAGAAGAAAGAGACCAAAATTGTTTTTTTATGAGGGAGATGATGATTATCAGATTGACGACCAACAACACCGATTCAAAATAATTTTTTTTGCCATCACCGACCAAATAACATGTTCTCTCAATGGACGATTCGAGTCTCTCGACAATTATAATGAATGTTTTGGATTTCTTCATTCAGCTTTTGGTTAGTACTTTGATGAAACAAGTTTACTCGGAAGTAAGGAAGTTAACAAATGAAGATCGCCAGGAAGCAGATATATAGACGGAACAGATTTCTTTAATGAGTTAAAATCATTGGAAGTGATTTATCATGGAAATGGTCCACAACAAATTTCAAAGTATATATACATGAAAACAACTTAAAGAGCTGCTTTCCAAATATTTCAGTCGTTCTCCGAATTTTATCAACTTTACCGGTGTCAGTTGCTAGTGGAGAAAGGTCATTTTCTAAGTTGGAGATAATGAAAAACTATTTGAGGTCTAAAATGAGCCAGGAAAGATTGATTGACCTTGCTTCAATATCCATCGAATCCGAATTATTAGAAACAATTGATGTTGACGTGCTCATCAAATAATTTTCTCAGCAGGAAGCGAGAAAAATAATATTTTTTTAATGATTTTCACTGTGATATTATCGCTCTAGCTCCTCCATGTGTTATTTTCAAAGTATTACCTGAACCTCATATGTTGATGAATCAATGTTAATTCTGTATGAATTTCACTATTTGTGAATTATTTGTTATGTTACTTATGTTTATTTATGTTATGTTATGTTCCGTGAATGAAATCATCTCTTGAGGCATCTCAAAACGAGTTAAATATAATATTTGTGACTTTTCAGTTGTCAAAATATATCAGTTTTCAAAATTCGTTTTATTTTCAATTTTTTCAAGGGCGGCCCAGAACATATTGCACACGGGCGGCGAAGTGTCTAGGCGCGCCCCTGATCTATTCCTCGCTAGAAATTGATATCCAAAGAAGGAGAGTTGAACCACATTTCCTGCATTGACCAGGAATTCTTCTATTCAACAAAATTTCAATCTATAAAAACATTCTGAATAGTAATGGAATGGTTCATATCACTGAATCAAATAATCTTTTTGCATCAATTGTCTTAATCAATAAAATATTCACACTATGCTAAATTCCATGAAGGCCATTGAGATTCTTAGTGGTAGAAAACGGGCGAACAAAATAGTAGGTATATGATGATTACATTTCTCACAGAGATCTTCTGGCAAAGGTACTCATCTAATTGAAAAAGGACAGCATGCATTATATCGTTTTTCAAATAATTAGATATTTACGCCTTCACTCCATCCATTATTTTCATCTCACTCGCCACATTAAGAATGCTTAACCTACAACCTTATACTTGTCATAGTTTTTGGGGAATAATAAACGTGTTAATATTATTATATTTATTATTATCAAAGTAAAGGTATTTATTGATCATGACCAAATATATTTATTATTATCAAAGTAAAGGTATTTATTGATCATGACCAAATATTTTCAAGAACACGCTGTGGTGAGAATGATAAATCAATTGTGGTATGAAATACCAGTGAAATAAAGTTTTTGGGGAGTGTGGAACACAGTGTTTCTTCTGCTCTACTGTACTACTTTCGTCATCAAACCACTACGCTGAATTAGGAAAATATACCACTTTGCTTCCTACGTCAACCAATTCGAACAAACACTTTTGTCACTATATTACCTAATTATTATTACGCAGGGTATTGTTTCAGTTTCCAGCCGAAACAATAATAATTGATTGCGTAAGCGTATAATACATATAAATCACACTGTCGTGACAATGACAATGCAAAAAGAGAAATTTTCCATGACAAAAACCGTAAAATGATCCCAATTAGATATGATAAATATTTTGCTGAAACGGGTTATTCATAAACAATACAAACAAATGATTTGAAATACAAGTATCAACTAGAACAATGAATGTTAGGTACCGGAATTGAAAAAAGCTTTCACCAAGGAAATACCGACCGACAGAATCACTCGACTGCTGAAATGGTCTTCTTGGAAAAATCAAAGGCACAACTGGTTTTGGTATGTCAAAAATGAAGATTTGCAGTCGATGACTGTTTCAGTTAGTCATCTCACATGTTGACCTGCATTAATCAGATCAGATAATGATGAAGAAAACATTCCATTTCGGCTATCGATCTGAAACATTGGACAAAGTTGAGGTAGATGCAACATAACTCTATTCAAGTTGAGAAGTTAAAGTAGGTACATAAAATTAATACATATATACAGTGAATAAGTGTATTCAGAGCTGTCATATGGATAATATGTTGTTATTGACATTTATACGGCTGATAGAAAAGGACACACAACATGATGGACTTACCCAAAGTTATTCCTTTGCTAGCCGATCAACCTGGGTCCATTTCTCCTGAAAATATAATTGTTGATATGTATTGTGCGGAGATTTCTGGTACCAGGTCATATTTTCTTCTTGTACTCCTGCAACTCTACGTCGGGCAAATAGGTAACATCAATGTAACATTCAAAACAAAATCATCAGAACCATAGAAATGATCGATAAAAGACTATGAATATCTATATGATTTACTTATATGGAAAGAGAACAGATCGAGAAACACTTTCTCAATCACGAATGTAGGTCTGATCTTGTTTATTAGAACCGCCTAAATCACTGAAACATCAATTGATTATCATCTAGATTCGGCAGATGATATAATGTTGATGATTTTATGCTACAGCCATTAATCTGCAATACAAAATTCAATTATTTGAGAAGTTGAATATTAGAGGACATCCAGAGAATATGTGATATGAATTTTGGAACATTGACAAAAGAACTGTACTGTACATAGTGATCCTCTTCCATCATTGACAGAAGAACAATGGATAATTTATAATAATTATTATAAATAATAGTCATATATTAGTTGATATACAGGGTGTTTCAGTTTTTTATAGCAGGACATTAACAGCTTGAAGAAGACATTTTTTCAATATGAAAATCCCAAACAAACATATATGCGTGGGAGCTTCGTTTCCGATTTACAGAGTGTCAAAGTTTCAGATTTTTTAAAAGTTTTTTGAATTTTCTCCTACAATTTTCGGAATAATTGATTGAAATTTGGTACACCTGATACACTTCAAAAACTCATTATTTGAGGCTATTGAGCGTTCTTGAATACCTACAGGGTGATAGACTTTCAGGGGTCGTACCCAATTTAACCCTGTAGAACTTTTTTGCGTGCCGCCTCTGCTTTCAATGGGACATAGATTCAGATTGTTTCTGCAATTTGGACATTTTTTACACTCGTGTATGTTTTTCGAAAACTGTATGGATTTTGAGATAAATAAAAGTGGAATCCGAACCACTTCTGAGGGTACTGATAAAATTAGAACTGCCGTTCACCAGATTAAATTATTAAAACTCACAACACCTCAACCGTCAAAAGCGACAGTCTAGCGATGTATAGCGACTAGACCGTGTGTCATACAGTCCCTGATATCGAAAGTTAAACCAGTTTCAGTTATAAAGAATTTTCTACAATACAATTTCAGATTTTGTAATCCAGTTAGAGAAGTTTTTTTTAAATAAAAACATTTTTTTTTTTTTCGTTTTTTCCTAGTTTTGACTATAATGGTGTTCAAAAAATTCAATCTTCGACTGTGTTTGAGAAATAATGGTTTTATCACAAGTAATATATTTTTGGCACTTATCTCGAGATTCATACAGTTTTCGAAAAATTTACATGTAGGCAAACAGTTTCCAAATTGAAAGGACAATCTGAATTTATGTTCCATTGAAAGCAGAGACGGTACGCAAAAAAATTCTACAGGGTTAAAATTGGGTACGACCCCTGAAAGTCTATCACCCTGTAGGTATTCAAAAACGCTCAATAGCCTCAAATATTGAGTTTTTGAAGTGTATAAGGCGTACCAAATTTCAATAAATTATTCCAAGAATTGTAGGAGACAATTCAAAAAACATAAAAAAAATCTGGAACTTTGACAAATCGGAAACGAAGCTCCCACGCATATATGTTTGTATGAGATTTTCATCTTGAAAAAATGTCTTCTTCAAGCTGTTGAAGTCCTGCTACAAAAAACTGAAACACCCTGTATAATATACATAGTGATACTCTTCCATCATTGACTCTGAATCAATTATTTTCCTAATATTTCAACGAAGTTTAAGAACGAAAAATAACTTCGAATCCTGGTATTTTGAAAGTGGTTCATACAGATACCACACTTCAAATCCTATATTATGAATTTGAAGATATTCAATGCCATCAATCATCCCACAAAATACCAGTCCGTTGATTGATATATTACGGCAATCAACGATCATTCTGAATGCCGTTTTCTGGATGTAGAGAAAACTTCATGTTGCATTCGGTTTGAGATTTACTCTGTTGTCTGTTGGTGAGAGATATTTTTCATCTCTTGTTGGTTCAGCTAAATAGTTCTGCTCTGTTTCCTGAAATGAGGACGTCGAGCCTTGTATATTTCATTTGTTTTCGATTCCAGTTATCATATTAGGTAGAGGTTTTCTTCTTTATGAATTCAGCCAAAAATAAAAAGCAGAACAAATCCAGTTAAGCACGTATGAGATACGCCGACATATTCCTGGAAATATAATGGACACCATTTTTGTCAACCAAAAATAGATTTTCCAACACGGTGAAATTGGAATGATCACTGATGTAGCGACAGTTCTCTGTTGTCTCTGATTATTCGATGGGCATCAAGTGCGCCGTTTTGCATTCTGTTTTACCATGTTTTTCATGAAGAAAAACGTGTTTTTGGTCAGTGTATCAGTGATTTTGGCTTCTTTTGGATACCATCATGCGGAAGTTTATCGAATAGGTCAGTATTTTGGTGTTTGAAGTATAAATAGAAATAAGTCGCTCGGTTGAACGAGCATCTTGTTGTGGATGCCAAATAACTTTCATTTTATTCAGTATTATTTTTGGAGGAAAGTCATGATTCCTCGATGTCTATTCATTCTTCTAGGGTCTCCAATCAAATCGTGATCATTTTATTGCCCAGAAAGATTGTTCCTTTCATTATAGCTTCCTCAAATCTTTTTTTAGGTATTAAATCGTGAAACTATTTTGAATGTAGACCGGTGTTTACATGTATTGATGTAAGTAGGAAGATATCAATCATATGGAGCTACTTTATAACTCGCATTCACATAATGAAATCAGTGGAAATATGAGATATAGAATGTGGAAAGCTCGTTTATGAACTTCTATTATTTGCTTCGACAGCAGAGAAATTGATGTAGGTATTCTTTCAAAAATTCTACTTTGATAAAACACTATATATTTGCTAATGAAAAACAAACATATATTCATGTCACTTGATCATTTGGGATTTTGTCTCCTCGTTTCTATTAAATAAAAATATGAGTATTACTTCAATTTATGTGTAGTAGGACAAATCAGATGATTTCCCTGCCAGAAATGTATCATAGAAACTTATAAAAAAATATATATGAGAATTCATGAGAATGAAGTTGGATAGTGAAACAGTAATTCCGTATAATCCTATGTATTTTGCAGATACATATATAATCAGTTTCTAATGGCGATTCTCTTCCTTTCACTTATAAGCATGAACTGTTTTTCGCAGATATATTCATAATCAGTTCCTAATAGTACTTCCTGATTATTTACATATGAGAATATATCAGAGTCAAGTTGGATAGTGAAACAGTAATTTATAAGCTCTAAATGTAGTTACATTTATAATCAGTTCCTAATGACAATCCTCAATGGAGTCGATGAGTTTGAACTGTAATTCACAGATACATTCATAATCGGTTCTAAATGGCAATTCCTTATTAAAACATCGTAATTCATGATTTTGAAATGTGTTCTGCATGTACATTCATGACAGGTTCCTAATAGCAATTTCCAACGAAGTCTTTGAGTATGAACTATGTTTTACAGATACATTTATAATCAGATTCTGATGGCAATTCCTCATTGAAACACTGTGGCATTCATGAGAATGGAATGTGTTCTGCATATACATTCATGATGAGTTTCTAATAGCTACTCTATGAGTATGAACTCTGTTTTGCAGATACATTTGGAATCAGTCCCTAATACCACCTTGAAGGTGGTACATAAAAATTGTTTAACAATTTTTTTCTCAAGCACTAAAATAGTTATAGTATTGAAACTCATCTGACATTTTCTGCTACCAAAAAGACACCTAGCCAGTAATTCATTTGGTTTACCCCATGGTTCTAAGGGTTGGATAACACAACCCCTAGATTTCATTTCCCATGTAACTTTTTGTCTTATTATTTGTTCACCATTTAAAAATTTGTTTCCGATGCCCAAAATGAACCAGTTCGCAGCAAAAAATTATTTTACGAACAACATACATATCGCCATAAAACGAAAATACGAAACTAATTTAGTAGGCCGCTTTTAGCGATAGTGACAATTGAATTGGTATCAAGCTGTCAGTTTGTAAATTTTTAAACTTGAAGTAATACTAATTGTGTATTGTTGTTTTGTTCTCAATTTGTGAAAAAAGTTGTTAAACAAATTTCATGTACCCCCTTCAAGGAGCTGTATCTTAACATGGGATGCTCCAATGAAGTTTCTTTATATGAAAGATCCTTTTTTTTATGAGGAATCACCCCCTTGAATTTTTTACACTCATTCATTTACACCCTGTATATAATATAGATATATTCCTATAGGTGTATTTGCAAGGAGTTTTGCTGAGAGAATGAAAGTCTGTATTTGGGAGGTCTGAGTTCATTTGGAGCCCTAGTAGGATAATTGTGGATTTCAGCATTTGTTACAAGCTTTTCTATAGTAGAGTTTGATAGATGAAGATATAGGGAATTGTCATAATTCTGTATTTTTTGGATAAGGGCTGACAATGCGCACTGTAGACAGCACCATCTACCATCTAGAATTCTGAGGGCAAAAATGGAACAAAACATAAATTACGGACGATCCGAGGACGGAAAGTGGAAGGGCTATTAAGGGTACAAAACGGTTAATCTCGTTTTCTGGCAAAACTACAAGTCATATGGAAAAAACTCTAATTGCAATGTTGTAGGTGATAGAAATGAAAATGAAAATCTTTATTTTGAATAGGAAATCCTAATATTCAAATACGGTACATAAAAAATCAAATACAGAATAAATGTATATATTCAGTTACCTAACTTAATCTATCATATAGTATTCCTAATATATGCAAGCAGCATTGATTTGAATGAATTGAGTGTTGAGCAATATTTTATGCGGTTTGGAAGTTCGTTATATTTCATGAGTCCTTGGTGAAATTCATGGTTTTATGGATTTAGAAAGATCTATAACACTTGTATCCACACTTCTTTCACATAACCTCAAAATTTATGTGAAAAATTCGAAAGTTTTTAGGTTTATATTTTTGTTTTACAAAAAACAATCCACGAAATTTTGTGAAAACTTGCCTACTAAAGTTTCAAACGCACTGTGATATTTTTGACTTGGAATATTCTTTTCGTCACCTCATTTTCACTTTATATCGAATAAGCACCCTAATTTTTGATCGAAAATTCTCGCGTCAAAATATCTGCTTTTCCGATGAGTCGATGAGCTTTCTGTTCGTTGAAATCTCTAATCTCTACTGTGGTGTTAATGGTATCAGAAAGTGAAAAAAAAAACAAAAAAGCAACAGTCTCATTTTTTAGAAGAGATCCCCTTCAAATCCAATATTTTTTGTTCAAAACAATGCAATCTCAATGTTATATGGATTTTTAATTCCTTTGTTCATCAATGTAACATGAAATCTTAATTTTAATATTGATAAAAAAATTCGGATTCGAGTTTTGTTTCTTTGCATTTTCTGAGAAAATTCACAATGGTAATGTATATATTTTTTTATACTATCAGGAAGTAGAAATTTCAACGAACAAAGAGCCCATCGACTTTTTTGAATGAGCAGATATTATGAGGCGAGAATTTCCGATTGAAAATAAGGGTGTTTTTTCCGTACTAAACCGAAATGAGGTGGAGAAATAGACAATTCAAATCAAAAAAATTACAGTGTATTTGGGACATGAAGAGTTAGGTGTTCAACTAATCTCTAAAAAAATTGATGTTTTTGTAAAAGAAAAAAAAAAACTTGGTTATTTGAATTTTTCACATGAATTTTGAGGTTGTGTGAAAAAAGTGTGAATACAAGAGTTATTGATCTCTTCACTACCTACAACTTTGATATCGCACTTTTCTTCCATGGGGCTTTAAGTTTTCTGGAAATCGAGATTAACCGTTTTTTACCCTTGAAAACTCACTTCCCACCACTATCTACCGTTTTCAAAGGCTTCTGCACTGGTCTATACCTGACTCATAATATTTTCACAGGAGTGATATCAGATCTCTCGGATGCTGAACAACAGAGGGCTTTATTCAAATCCGTCTCGAAAGCTGTCAGGGAAATCAACGAACGCGAGATGATCTTCCTTGACGTCAAAACCATTGAAATACCTAAAGATAATTCTTTCGAGGCAGTTCGAGCCACTTGTTCCCTTCTCGAACAGGGTGTCGTAGGAATTTTCGGTCCATTCACTGAGGATAACTCCAATGTCGTCCAGTCTATCTGTGATCTCAAAGAAATTCCCCATATCGAGGTAAGAGTTTGCTAAAAGAATGGAAGAGGAATAAAACTGTTGCTTTGCAATAAATCAAATAAACTATATAATACAGGGTGTTTCAGATTTAAATGTACATACCATACCTGCAGATAAAGGACACTTTGATGGTTCCAAATCACCGTCTTTTATTACTGAGATACAGGACGTTATCTAGATTTTGGCTGAATTTTCATCTGGTCATAATTTTTTAACCACTTTGTATAATCTATTCTCACTAGGTATAAATATTACACTAATACACAATCAAAATGAATAAAGTTACCTACTTTTTATACGAGCGCGCTGCGTTCGATTTGATACCAGATTTATAATTATTTTCTGAAATACTCAGCTCAGCTTGAACTCGTGATTCATAATTCAATGTCATCAAAGTTCAACCTCATTCGAGTCAAATTAGGTGAAATATCGATGGATTTGTTCGCTTGACAGAATATCTTGTCCATGATTTCAAGAATTTTCGACGGCTCATTTTCTTCTTCACTATTCATTCGTGAACTGCGATAGAGTAGGCTGTGAAAAAAATTTCGATGTTCTGACAGTTTATAATCACTAGTGTGATATTATTGGTAGGGTAACGTTAAAATAATTGTTGGTGCTTGCATTGGGTTGTTACATTACAAAGTGTTCATTGGGTTGTTGAAATTTGAGGACTGGTATCTTTTGTGTTGAAATTGGATTTTCGATTCAGAGTTCAGTGAAAATTCCTCGTGATGGAGCTGAATATTTCAAAAAATGATCATAAACCATCTGTCAAATTGAATGCGCGCTCGTAAAAAGTAGGTCATTTGATTCATTTTCCTCTGCTCTTTCCAAATATCAGAACAGATCCGTAAAATTTCGTTATACTAAGTGTTGTTTTTGAAATGAAAAAAGTTTTCTGTTTTTCCTCAAGACGGCCCTGGAATCTGATCTCGATTTCTATTTAGTTTTGATGAGTAATCTGAGTGGAATATTTCAGTATCGATAGATTATGAAAAGTGTTTCAAGAATTATTACCAGATGAGGATTTTGCCAGAATCAAGACAACGTCCTGTATCTCAACAATTGGGTGACTTGAATCTATCAAAGTGTCCTCTCTATCTGCAAGTATCGTAGGTGAATTCAAATCTGAAGACCCTGTATAAAAAAATGCCATTCTCTTCGTTTCCAAAATTCTTTTCATCTAGTCGTTATAAACCATAGAAGGTTAATTATCGAGTATGATATAATATAAGCAATACAATTCAATACATGAATTTTTCAGAGTGACAGGTTGAATTTTCAGCACTGGTTGAGTTCATAGCTTGAAGTTCACAATTCTCTTCCAAATCCAGTTCTTCTTGATGCGGTGATGTGTGATCTGTGCAAAATTCATTGACTCTGAATTGGTGAAATCCAATGTGTTGAACCTCAATCTCTTCAAGGGAGTGCATGACCTGAGTATGTGTTCTGATATTAATATTCTGACAGCACTTGCAGTGATTCCAGAAAATGGTTCCGATCAGATTCAGTTCCTTTTTCATTGCCCTCTAACAACTGGTGCTCAGACACTCAGAACAAAGTAACCAAGTATGTTGAAAACACGGAGGAATTTATATAGTCAATTAGTGTAAATAGGGCAATTGAAAAAGTAATTGTCGAAGTTTCCTGGAATATAAATAATCAGATATCTGTGTGTCCAAAATTTTGAGATCTTCACTTGATGAGCAATGTTCCGATTTTGATTCTTGTCAGGTACCTAGCAAGCTCCTCAAGAAAAACCATAAGTATGCATTTTTTGCTTTACCAAATCTCACTAAGTCTCACCAAGAACACGTATACGTAGGTTAGATGATGTAAACATATGGATTGCCACTCCTGAATACGATAATATAATGACCATAGACCCCGTACACACTCCACACATTCCAATCTCGAATGTTATCTGCTGGATCTCAGTGTGCCTTATTCAGACCTGGCTACCTGAAGTTCATCCAGTGATAGTAACATTTGTATTTCTGCATTATTATATATGAATGCAACGAAACCCGTTTCCCGTATAATGACCAGGAAATATCAATCAAATCAATTCAGAGCAAATCGGTAGCAATTTTGTTAATGAATAAGTGTACTCTACTGAGATATGTTTGTTTGTTCCACACATATTTTTTCTACACCTTCCATGATTGAATGCATACAGAACTAGCAGAATATGATCACATATAACTTTCTTGGTGGAAAGAGTAAACGAATGTATACCTATAATGATCATTTTTCTTAGCACCGAATCAAAGTATGTCCAAAATATGTTTTTGTTATCAAGGTAAGATGGGACGATCACTCACTGAATGGGACCATTGTCAACGTTCATCCATATCCAGACATGTTGACAAGAACCTACTATGATATTATAATCAACTGGAAATGGAATGATTTTGTTATTTTATATGAAAACAACGAGAGTCTACAAAGAGTAGGAGAGCTGTTGAAGCTCTTCGAGCCATCCAAACAGAGAATTGTTGTTAGACAGTTGGAACTAACAAAAACGACGGAAGGCTACAGGTAACTTCATAATTTCATCCCGAAGTCTCTTACTCTCAATATGAATTACAAACTCATTCATCTGGTGGCTATAATTTGACACAGTTCCCCATCTTTAGAATTGAGTATACTCATATGAGAGATCACTACAAGAATCAACTCTCACCAACAATGATTTTTTTCCAGAGAATATGAATATTTAGGTGATCCAGTTTCTTTTATATCATGTATATACCTAGTTTGAATATTGGATGTTCACAAATCAAGCAAAAAAATGTTTACCAAAGTGAACTCAGATGAAGAGCCAGCAACACAGGAGAGAGAAAGCTGTGAAAGGTTCTTCATTGCAAGAATGGAAAATGAATAGACTTTGAATACAAAAGCACTACAACGTTAGTTTTTGGGTTTTTCCATGACACCTCAAATTCCTAACAAATTCTGTCCATCGAATAAGGAAATCGATAATATATGTTCATTTGTAAAGCGGTTGGCTGGATTTGACTCTTTGTGAGAAATTTCAACAAAATTTCAATCAAAAATCATTTTTGTTTCAAAGGAAAATGACAAAACAGTTGACTAGTCCTTGCGAGATTCAATGTTACCATCTGATTTACTTTATCCTCAACATTCTAACTGCCATGTGTATCTTTGAATATACACAGTCGCTTTGTCCAGGTCGCCACGTGTATATATCACCATAATATGCGATCATCAATATCTGGCTGTGTGTATGCTATAGAATATAGAGTAACACTTTTTAAGTGCATTTTTAATAGGATATATAGTTCAGTGTAGGAAGGGGCAGCGACAAAATAATCTTTTTTTTTGACAAATTTATTATGCACTTCTTTATAAGAAGCTCTATCGTTGTGCAATGAAAGATAGTTACTTTTGAAATTGGGAACTTTATAAACCTACCTAAATATATAAGGAGATTTTTCTCCTTGGATAACAACTTCAGGCACATTTTCTCCTAGAATTTGAGATTCAAACTCAAGATCTCCTTCGGACCCATTTTCATATCGATCAACGTCACTCATATTACAACAAAAACACCATATTATAGCAGAAAATACACTATCGTAAATCGACAATACGGCTCAGACACGAAATACTCTCTCTGCCTGAATCGTGAATATCACCATATACACGTGGCGTAAGACATTTTTGTTCACTTCTACCCCACGTGTATATTTTTTATTCACTAGCTCCAAGGTCATACTGATTACAAAAATAAAATATCAAACATGTAAAAGGTTATTGGAGAGGTATTTTCTCAGACGAATAAAATTCAAATTCTACAAGAAGCACTGTATACAGGGTGATTCAAGTTTTGAGGCACAAACTGAAATGTGTCATAGATCTCATCATTTTAATCAAAAAAGTCTCCAAAAACATGAGTCCGATCTCGATCAGTAGCGGAGCAACAAGAGGGAGGTCAAAGACTAATTATTTTTTTCTAATAATCAAAATATCCTGCCCACTATTGAGTATATCAATTTGAAATTGAGTGAGGATGTGACTTCCTAGGAAATCATCATTTTAAGCATTTTGGAGATTTTCAAAAACTGCAAGGTCATACATTTTTGGGGGTACATGCTTCTTTATCCCACCGAACATTTTTAGTGTAGTACACCTCTGACATCATCTAGTTACCGGATTAGGTGAATTGATCAATCTAGAGACTATTATAATATAAATAAGCATATCCGTTCTAAAACATGTTAAATTTGTCTACATTTCGCATAAATTTTATTCTTGGTGAAAATTCAACCAACTTTAAAAACTAACAAAATCTTTACGTTCTACCCTTTGTATCTCCGCTAACGATGCAGTTTTTGATTTTATTAGTACATTTCATTGCATTTTCTGCGAATTTCATCCAATAATGAAGTTTAAGCGAAACAATATAGGCAAAATTAACATGTTTTTAAAACGGATATGCTTATTAATCCTGAAAACGGCTGATTTCTCGAAAAAAATTGAAACGCAAAAGAGACTCGAAATTGAACAATATATTAAATTTCTCAACTGCAAGATGTCAGAGGGGTACAACGAAAAAGTTTGTGGGGGATGAGGAAGCCTCTACCCCCAAAGACGTATCACCCCGGTTGATTTTAAAAATCTACAAGATGCTCGAAATGATGATCTTCTAGGAAGTATCTCAAAGCTCCGCTTCTGATCGAGATCGGATTCATGTTTATATGAACTTTTTTGATGAAAATGATAAGATCTATCATCTATTTCAGTTTGTGCCTTTGAAAATGAATCACCCTGTATATGGGATACCATGTATAAATATGCATTCGACACAATTGAAGTAGTCGAATAATCATGTAGTGCAATTACCTAAAACGATAGTTGGTACGTCGGTGATTCCATTATTTCGTGATGCAGAGAGATTCTGAAGGAAGTGCGAAAATCCGGAGCAACGCATTTCGTATTAGATTGCTCGATAGAGATACTGGAGGAAGTCTTGAAGGAGGCACAGCAAGTGGGCCTGATGACCAACAAGCACAACTTCATAATCACCAATCTCGATTTGCACACAATAGATCTCAAGCCGTTCATGTACAGCGAAACGAATATCACTGGGGTGAGTAATGGATATGAGTCGAGCTTTACATTACAATAGTTCAGTTCGCTGCACGGAAAAAATGGAGTTGTTGCATCAACAAATTATTTATGCTTGAATTATTTTTGTTGGACTAAGCAATTTTTTGTTGAATCAAACAGCGATTTGATTATTGTTAGAGCCAATTCAATATCTCTTAATGAACAATTCATGGATGTGCTTGATTGAATAAGATCCAGAGTTCATGCAAGAAATATCAACTTGATTCAAACTTCAAAATCGCTCTGAAACAAGATATAGATTTACTCAATTCAAGATTATATGTTGTCGTGCATATATGACACTTATATGACTCGTTACTAAAATGACGTTCAAACACTTGTTACATAATATACTATTCCAAGTATTTGAAGAAATTAATTGAAAAGAATCAATGCCACTTCTTCTTCTCTACAAGTTAGCGTTTTCAAATTTGAAATCCAAGGTGATTGTGCACTTATCATCTTGTCTGAAAAACATGAATTTGATAATAAAAATATGAACAAACCACTATTTATCAAGATATTTCGAGGAAAAGTTCGAAAATTCGCCTTCTTCTTCCCCCTGTCTTGAATGCATTTACAGCTACTTACTATTTTTATTTTGCATTGGACACTTCATACACTTATGATGTACTTCAATGACAGAATTTTATATAGAAAATTCAAGACGAAATATGATTTTCATGGCGAGTTTTTAGTTTTTAGTGAACAATCATACCATATGACGGGCATTTGATCAATAATCATTCCAAATACGAGATGTTAAAAGTCAACAGATTGCTTTTGAATGATGTTACACACGCCATTATTTTGAATGATATTCTTCCTTCTTCTCACTAAATAGGGATAATTTTCAATAAGAAATTCATGTTTCTAGTTGACTTTCATATATAAAAAATGTGTCATTGAAGTACATTGTGATAAATAAATTGTCCAATGATGAAAAAAGAAGGACAAATTGTTCTAGATGCGATCCAAAAGACAGGCGGGAAAGAAGGTGAAATTTGTAAATTTATAGTGAAATATTTCAGACCAAAATACCTGAGTCAGAGAAAAAAATTGTGCACATTCACCAAAAACCAACGTTTCGTCTTCCAGATACTATCATCATTTTTTTTAATACGGACCTGACTTTTTTCATTTAGTTCTTTCACATATTTGAATATGCGCGAAGCTATAATCTATCAGAAATTTGTATTTTCGAATGTTTCGTTCACGAAAATTGATTTTCTGCATTTTTTCAAATATTCAATACGAAACTGTTAATTTTTGGAAAGGAAACATCCGAAAATGAGAATGTATCATTTCTGTTGGTTGAATACACATCGGTATCAGTGTGTATGTTGTATATTGTGTATATTTCTAAAAAATAACAAATAATGATCATCACACAGTACACACCGTGATTTTATGAGTATGTATTTTAATAAAAATTGTCTGTTTATTTACATGTATAAATGTTTTTGACCTACTATGAATGTGCTTTTGTATATACATAAAATAGTCAATAAAGTTCTATTCTATTTTATTCTATTCTATTGCATAATATCATTGAAACTATCGCCAGTTTTTTTTTATGTAAGTGAAATTTCTTTATCAATTCTTCATTATTTACCAAGGTTTGAATAATTGTGATTTCACAGGTTATTGGTGGAAAAATTAAACTTTGTGATAGAGGCTTTTGGGAATTCGAATTTGTAACAAAAATGTTGATGATGGTATCTGGAACACGAAACGTCGGATTTCAAATTTGAAAACGCCAAGAAAGAATAGGTGGTCATGATAAAGTGAACAGTTTATTCTTGCCAACCTTTATTAATTCATATAACACATTCTGTGAAGGTAAAAGTATAGCATAAGAACTAACAGTTGAAATTTCAGCTCAATTCAATAATAGATGTATTTTTGTCCCATTCTCAATTTTTTCAGTTTCAATTGATGGTTGAAAATATTGGTAAGGAATCTGTTTCCCATGACAATGTAGACGAACCCCAGCAAACATGAGTTTTGCGGCCCTCTAAAGGTACAATGAAACTTGCCGGCGAGCGGTAACAGCGGTCCTCTATTGTACAACTAAATTGGGCCGGCTAGCCCGTGTCCCGGCGGCCGACAGCCGACCGCCTCTCTAGAGCCATCAGTATGCCGCTTATTACATTGCAGGGCTTCTGGTGGGCAGATGCAAGTACTCAAATGTACCGCATTCATGGCATATCTTCGGCCCGATTGAGACTGCCATTAATTGGCCGCTTGATAATTTTTATTCTCCCAATAGGGGAGTTTTTCAGGGCCGTTGGTTAACGGGGTTGAATGAATTCAATATTCATGGTATTCTGTTTTTTGATGTCCTATTTTTCAACTAGGTTTGTCGAAAAATATACAGGGTAATGCATATATCTCAGTGAAAATAAGTTTTTTGATAGGTATCCTAGCTTATATCACCACTTGGAAAGTATCTCATTTTCATTCAGATCTTCATCACTCTCTTTATTTTCAAACTGGTTGAAGAATGTGGAACTTCAAAAAACAGAATTGAGGTCTCCCAGTTTTTTGTGAATCCTCTGGGTATAACAGAAATGTGGAATTCACTCCTTACCTGAAGTTGTTGAATGATTACATAAAAATCCTGATATCACAGTTTTTTTCAGGAAACTAGCAGTATAAATACCCCATACAAAAACAAGAACTGAAAATATCCATGTGTGTATATTATTGCCATGATCTCAAACAATACATATCACAACTATGGAAACATCAAACATCTTAATTTTAGTTCTACATATCACTCTGTATACTCATCATGAAAAGGTACCTACAATTTACAATAATAGGTATTTGTGTTTCATCATGCAGGATAGATATTTGTTTCTGCACTTGTTTCAAAAAGTTGCTAACTCTAGGTCAAAAATTACATCACCTATGTACCTACCTAATAACTTGAAAGTTATATGTATGTAGGTAATCAGTTATTATATTGATCAAGTTATTGTCAACAATAGAGTTCAATCCACAAGAAAACAATTCCCAGATATGGAGAACCTCACTCTTTATCTTATTGATATGAGTGTTGCCTGGAAGTGAGATATCATATATCATGAAGAAATTTATATCATAGTCTGGATCATTGTGTGATTTCTTCATTAATATCTGTGATTGATGGGCTGCTGGTTGTTGATTTTGTTGCTGAAAGATTGAATGATTTCAGTCTCTACTAATCCAAAACATGCAACATTATACATACCTACAGTAATTCTTGAAATATAACTGTTTCTTCAAGTAGGTACTCTTGTTGTTGTTGATTTTGTTGCTGAAAGATTGAATGATTTCATTCTCTACTAATCCAAAACATGCAACATTATACATACCTACAGTAATTCTTGAAATATAACTGTTTCTTCAAGTAGGTACTCTTTGATTTTCGTTTCGAAAATAGATTTATGATTCATATGTAATGAAAGCTCATGTAACTTCAAAGTCCTCATATTATTATATTATTAGATTCTTGTGTATCCGCTAAACATGTCCAAACTATTATTGCATCTGTTTGTCCAATGGTGTTTGTTGAATTATTATCTAAAATAGGGGCATTATTTAGCTGTGCAAGTTTGTATATATGTTTGTTCCTCACTCACTCTGTATTTATTTCAATATCCTTCCACTTTGTATAAAAATCCACTAGAAAACCAAACACGAACTGAACACAGTATTAAGATCTTTGTTGAGAGTGTCGAAACAACATAAACAAAGAAATTAATATACGCCATACTGAATCATTGTTACCACTGCAAAATGATCAAAATAAAAACTCATGCGAGCGAGGGATGCCAACGTTGAGTGAGTGATGACGGCACACTCCGTTGGAATTTTGATGGCCCTTGGACTTGGATACATACAGCGGAAGACTAGCGGCTGGGAAACAGAGGCCCATCATAAGTATGTGTACATTCTGCCTTCGTCATATAATCCTTCGAAATTATATGGAGGGCCTTTCGAGGCATGCCGACATCGCCATTTGCCCGCCGTTCTCGCCATGGGCCCGGGTTTCTACCGCCTTTCGATGTTTGCTGGGAACATAAAATATTTGTTATTTTCGATATTGTAATCAGCTCTTTTAGTCGAGGTTTTAGTTATGCCTCACGCACTTATTGGTAAGGTAGGTCAGTGATTTGGAAAGAATTATCGTTGGTTTCCATTGTTCGATTTTCTCATAATTGAAGCAGAGTGGTTTTTAATCTCGTTCTAATTTGACTGTGAAGTTATAGTTATGCAGACAGATAACAAAAAGGAAGAAGAATCCAGTGTTCGATTTGGTCATGAATGGAAAAAAGTGATTCTTATTGTTGAAATAATACGACTGCTTTTTCATTAACACTCATCAGCGATCGTTTATCCAAGGAATAATTCATGAAAGCTAAAATATTTTGTTGATCTTGACCGATATCATTCTTTATTTCAATCGAAATTCATTCGAACTCATGTCAAAATTATCTAGTCAGCTATGCAATCTATTGATCATTAATGTTTGTTAGTTGAACAGCTAATAACTTGAAATATTCTTGTTCATTAAATTTGTGTTTGGATTTTCAAAATTTAATTAACAATGGCGATGTTCAATCTTATGATGTATTCTTCAAGAACGCAATTCCATATCGTTTTCGAATGAATAAATATTCTCAATATTATGGCTCTGTCTCTCCAGCATAATATGGGACATTGTATATTCGCATACAATTGACCTTGTTTTTTATTTTATTCAATTGATGTTGAACCATAGTAGATGTGAAAGAATTCCTTGAAATTCTCAATGACACTACATGTTTCGCTAACACAGTAGCTTCTTCAGGTAAAATACTGGTACAATAAACTAAACTTACATTGGCTTGCCTAACTTTTATATTATACTTTCCCAACCTGAGGGATTAGATTACCTGTAGAAAGGTTCGATGTACCTTAATTTTATCAAAATAGGCTCAATATCTACATTAAAATACGATGTACCGGATTAACATGGAAGTGTTGATAAAAAATAGATAATATTAAATGATTCAAAATGATTAAGTTTCATTCCATTATTTGAACACAGAAAATTCTCGACTGCGGTGCATTTTTCAGTTGTGTAATCCAAAAACTAGCTATAATTATTTTGAACTAATTTTTCATTTTCTTCCCACCCTACATACAGGGTAAATTTATGGATACGAAACTCCGAAACTTTTTATTCTGTTCCCATCGGAGTGTCACGACATTGTATTATAGTAAATGCATACAGATGATTCTATTTAAGAAATAAAAACAAATTTAGTCCACTCGCCTATTCCAAAAATGATATCATGGTTATAGAGTAATCTGAACAGATGTCTTGAATGAACTAACCATCTAGAAAACAGTGTATCTTCACGAGTTTCAACACATGGTGCCGTTTTTTCTACAAAATTGCATCCTCTTTCATATTTCCGAATGAAATTTCGGAAAAGTTTCATCGCCACCCATGTTTTTCCTGAAAAATCACACATCAATTCCCCTCAACGGTGCCACTGGGAGTCAGATTTACGAAATAATGCTACCCATTCAATCACTTTCAGGTACTGCGTGATACACCACAATATCAAGAATTTTATTTAGCGGTTATTAAGGAATTCGATGAAAATTATTTTTTATTTTCAACCTCAACACCCTGTATCTCGCAAACGAGTGTGTTTAATCTATGGTTTATGGAAACTTTTTTATTTTCTTGAGACGCCCTATCACCTGTCGAAGTGCGTCCCACATATTACGAAGCACCCGGTATATATGAACAATCCTTGCTCTCGAATCGAAGCATTGAAAGCAGTAATTTTTATTCGTTCAGTTCAGTTCGTTCAGTTTACTCAGTTTTAGTTTTAATATTCTCCTGAAGATGCTAACATAGTTAGCGAAACACGTGTCGAGACGTTCATGAAAAATCGGTTTGGTTAATGGTAAAACTGTGTAGTGTATCATCGTGCCAAAGGTTCCAGTCTCCGATATATTTTTATTCGTGTATGATATTTTAAATATAATTTTCAGATGCGATGTGTCAATATCGAAAAACTCCTAGAAAACACTGATCAACCCCTGGAGGTTTATAAAATGAAATTAAAAGAGGCTCTGATCCATGATGGTATCAAAATGTTTGCTGAGGCCTTGAGTGCCTCAGAAACCATGGTACGACCATTCAACATCGATTGTTATAATGCCAGCCACAAACTTTCGAGCGGGACAACCATAATCAACTTGATGAAAGGCGTAAGTTCAATTATTTGAGTAATCGAAAATTCCGCAACATGGAATAATACCAAGGTATCAGAGTGACGTCTAATAGACGTAATTTTTTAGTCTTCAAATAACGAAGTTGATATCCTGAAATGACATTTGAGTGACCCGATAATGACGTCAAAATATATAATATCAACTAAGAAAATGCCGAAATCCTCGAAGTGGAATGAAATGTTAAATAAATACGCGAGGCTCGAAGTAATTTCCGCAAATGTTCATATATGAACGAAATTGGTAGATAACGAGAGAAAAACAACTACTTTCCTGGCTATATGCCACGCAGAACATTGAATTGCATCCTCCCGAAATCTTGGCTTCTTCTTCTCCTTATTCCTGTGGAAATGACTGAGCTTCGCGTATTTATTTATATAATATTATGACATTATAAACACAAACCTTCGATGAGATTCATTGGTTACCGTGCATTGTGGTGACTTATTGGTCGATGGTCCCACGGGTATGTCTATTCATTCCTGACGATATTATTTGTACACATGAATACATTATTAGGTTTTCATATTTGTATCTAAAATCATGTAGCGAGCGTCGACAAGATGTAAGTAGTTCAAATACATTACTTGACAGATTGAGCACACTGATGTTCGAACAGAAGAATGTAGGACTTTTGGATGGACGTTATTGAGACCTTCAGTAATATACGTCAATAAAACGTCATAAAATCAGACTTTCTTTGTGGTTCATATTTTGGTCCGGAGATGTTGTGGATCAAAAAGGACCAAAAAATCGATGTCCATATGAGGTCTTCTTAGGCCCCCTGCTACCTGGGAACTTCAGCATTCTTCTAAGGAGATATCATGCTACCTTCAAGCCAACAAAATTCACTCTCTGGCAAATTTTCAAGCACCTCTGGGATGGACATTATGATTTGATCATGATACTAATTCCTCATACCAGGACTCGTGCTAATTTCTTCAGCTTCATTTTCATTGAGTCTCTGAAATGGTATTTTCAGAAATTGTAATTCAAGATCTCATCTCTCAAACAATTGCTTGTAAATCTGATCAATTTCTCTTGTGCTTAGCAGTTTCTTGAAAGTATTTATCTGCCAACTCTGAATAATGAGAAGTGTTAAAACTGCTTTGAATCGAACGATGGGTATGCCAAACATTTTTGAATGATGATGCGAGAAAATATCATTCATCAGGACTCCTTCCGATGTATGAAAGTTCAATTGAACCAAAGTAGAGTATGGTCACGCAGATCTGTTAAAAGAGATACATTCAGTTGGCTCAGGACAGTCACCATTCTTATGCGTAAAGAAGCCAGTTACCATTTGAAGTTCGACTCGAAAAGTTGTAGGATCAAATCGAATGAATTGCTTCTTCATGGTAGATGGAGCTGATGGCCAGAGATGAGTTTGAAAAACCGTGCACAGCCTCATGATATTCCACTCTAATTCCTTCGTGATGAAATAACACGCAAGTCTGAATCAATCTTCTTTCAGCTAGAATACCCTGGTCTTACTGGTCCAGTGAAATTCGACATCAAAGGTTACAGGTCAAACTTTGCTCTGGATATATTCGAGCTGATGGAGGGTGGACAAACCATAGTTGGACATTGGAATTCGAGTATGGTACCAGCTCTTAATATCTCCAGAAAACTTCCACCATCTGAGGACGACAACGATGATATCCGGAATAGAACCTTCAAAGTCGAAATAACATTGGTAATAGTAATATTCAATCTTTAATGTTCAAAGTGAAGTATTGATATTATGAGTTCTTGATGAATAGAGATAACAGTGTTTTACTCTCTCCGTCTCATTGTCTTGTTCTTCAACTATGAGGAGTAACGAGGAACTAGTTACGGTATTGGATACCTCATTCACACAATACCATAGAAATATTGGTAATGTATTTTCTCGTATTTGATTTTCTTATCGAAAATTTCAGTTGATTAAACGATTCGTAGACTTTGAATGCATGCCATCATCTTTCTTTCATTTAAGACGGAGCCTTACGGTATGAGAGTGGAATCATCCGAACCACTTTATGGAAATGAGCAATACGAAGGATTTGCAGTCGATCTCATCAAAGAATTAGCTGCCATGCGAGGTTTCAATTACACATTCACTGTGCGAGAGGACAAAGCTAATGGGAAATTCGACAATAATACAGGAAGGTGGACTGGAATCATTGGTGACTTGATTGATGGAGTGAGTTTGAACATCTCTGATACGTATTTGGTGTATGGTGATTTTTTGAAATATTTCCAGCATGCTGATCTTGCGATATGTGACTTGACAATTACAATGGAAAGAGCAGCAGTAGTAGATTTCACTGTACCTTTTATGATGTTGGGTAAGTTTCGATGCTTTATCCGTTATCTAAAAATTGTTCTAAAATTGTTCTATCCGTCATTCGGTTGCCCCCTTACGAGCAACCCTCAGAAGTCTTCGAGAGTCTTGTGCGAGCAAGGAATGACGGGGGCCTTACCTTTTAACGTGTGATCCCAAACACATTCTTGGGCCATCAAAAAAATGTCTGCAGTCGATGGGAATCGAACCCACGACCGGCAAGCGAATGCGGATTAGAATATAGACACTCTGTCCGCACGGCTACCTGACCCCTCTATCGATGGAGTAGTTTGGATATAATGTATCTCTTCAAAATTTCCATATTCACTTATTTTTATTCTGCTTCAGTACTGTACAGTGTGTGTAGTTATCTTTGGAGATAGAACCTTGAGGTTTTCACGGTCCTGTTCCACTTTTTTGTGAAACTCAAGATGGCCTTACCAGATTTTGCCCAACTATTTGCGTTTTGAGATACAGGGTCATTTTGAAAATTTGTCCTATTTGGACCCCCTTTATATTCATGCACGAAGAATCTTATTCCATAGAGAATTTTACGCAGAATCCAGTGGCGCGTTCAAATTTTTTTCGGGGTATGGTTTTGGAGATACGAATCACTCTTAAGATGTTTCAAATGGAACACCCTGTATTTTATAAGCTCATTGAAGTCCTCACTTCCTTCCTTCAATATGATATATATTGTATGAATATAAAATTTTCAGAAATGCTCCACAATCACTAATACATTGAATATTAACAGTGAGCTATGGATTTTTCATATAAAAAAGTTTAAATTGAAAGAATATTTTCTTTGATTTTTCCATGAAGGGGGCTAAAACAATACCAACACGAATCAACTATAAAAGAACACAAAACTCAGGTACCTGATAGAAACAAATAAATATGTAGTAATAAATAGTTGCCAGAATATAATTGTTGTTAGATGATGTTCTGTTCACGAAACTCATTTTATCATTCCAGGAGTGAGTATACTGTATAAAAAACCGACGAAAGCACCTCCAAGTTTCTTTTCCTTCGCTGATCCTTTCGCCTTCGAAGTATGGCAGCTATTGATTGTATGTTGGGTAGGAGTGTCAGTAATAATTTTCGTCGTTGGTAGAATATCTCCAGCAGAATGGGAGAACCCATACCCATGCATTGAAGAACCGGAGTATCTGGTCAACCAGTTGGACTTCAGAAACTCATTGTGGTTTGTGACTGGATCTATTATGCAGCAAGGTTCAGAAATCGAACTCAAGTAAGCTCAACTTGATTGATTGAAAATTCATTCAGGTGATAATTTTTATCCGCTATGAGGGCTATCATTTTTAGTCCCAACAGCTATCAATACTAGAGCGTGAGGTCTATGTGAAAGCCAAACAAATTAGCCGAATAGCCCTGAAGGTAGAGGCCTGTTTCATCGGAAATATACTGATCAAATGTTGTGGCCTATATGTAATAAAGTTATTTGAATGATGGAAATAAGTAGATGGTGTGCGTAGTCGGCCATTTTTACGATTTCTCTACGTCACATCGAGCGAGACGTTGATTCTACATTTTTCTGCTAGATGGTAATGCTGCAATTGCTGCTGTGACGTGTGGAAATAAAATGGCAAATGGCATTTTAGGTACGCGGAACATATTTAGCAGTGAGATTATTCAACTCTGAATCCAAAAAATCTGCGGCAATTTGAAAAATTGAACTGTCATAATTGTGCAATGTCGCCATCTATTAGAAGATCGACGGAACCATTGCTCTCGCTGTTCTCGAGAGGTCGAGTAAAATTTCTGAAACAAAAGCGCATCAGTAATTACACCATATCTTACTTCCATCATTGTTATTTACTTTACAAGTGGAATATAGACTTTATTAACGCACACATGTGAGGATTACACTCGTTGCGTACATAATTTCATCTACAACTGTCAACGTTTTCATATAACTATCTTCAAATGTTCCTTATTGATATTCCACTTAGACGTACCTACCCATGACAGTTTTCTGATAATTCAAAAATACAAGTTGCCTCTGATCATTTTTGTAACCGTAGCAACGATAGGTATAAACAAAGCCGTTCATAGATGTTTAATTAAATTGTCAGATCGATATCCAGAACTATCATTAAGTGTCTTGAGTGAAAACGTCTTTCGATATTAAAAATGCGGCCACAAGTGTTATTTCAAATCTCTATGTATTCATTATATAACCGATTTATTTTGGTTGAAATTTATTTCTTTTTCCATAACCGCAGTAGTGCGGTAATAGACTCAAAAAAGCACCAGTGCGGTAATTATTGTCATTATGACATTCAAAAAGTGTCAAATCATAATCATTAGATCAGATAAACTAATAAAACCATCAAGACTTGTGCAGACTCTCAATCTAGAGCTTTACGCACAAATTATGCATTAACAGAGAAAATATCGTGAAAAGGAGCCGAATGATACGAAAAAAAAAGTTTCAGTATTTGCCCTCATTTCATGGATTATTTCTGTGCACCTGATGAGAAAATTGGTGCATGGATTCCAGATATAACGTTCAAAATCAATGAATTAACCAATCCTGTAAATACTGTAATTCCTGGTTCTAGGTCGGTTGGAACGCGAATGGTTGCTGGCATGTGGTGGTTCTTCACTCTTCTCATGGTGTCATCTTACACGGCCAATTTGGCTGCTTTCTTAGCTACTGAAAATCCAGATCCTCACTTCACCAACCTGAAAGAACTAGTGGATAATGCTGAATCCAAAGAAATTATTATTGGTGCGAAGGCTGGTGGAGCAACTGAAACTTTTTTCAGGGTAAGGAACGTATATCTATCTTATATGACTGAATGTTATTATCACCTATTCGAATTCAAAATATTGTATCTACCACTTTTGGGATTCAGGATAATTTTTCTGCATAGTTTATGTTCATCTTCCTCTTTTTAAGCTATAATAGGCGATGAACCTAACTTTTTATTTCTCAAATAGAATCATTGGTGATGTCTGGGTCTTGTCTCTTCAATATCGTCGAATTATCTCGTGGGAATGCTGTATTCTTTGTTACCAACAAGAGGGATACATTTTTGATATTTTGTTACATTATGTATCTCCTTTTCTATGAGAATGTTTGTCTATGTTTGTGATGCTGCTTGGCATATATTTTTTTCTGATGAAATGTATAAAGGGACTTCATTTCTGTCCTTCTTTGAAATGTCTCCCAATCCCGATCCGCATTTGGATAGAGAACAGAATTTTGTCAAGTGTTCTGCATTCATTATACTAATTTTTTTTCTCTACAAAACTCTGAACACTTATTATTGAAAAAAACTGTTACGATTATATGTGAAGGAAAATGAGAGGTGGAAGCATAATGGAAGAAAACCCATTTTGGTAATGAAAATCACAAACGTAGATTGAAATAATGGCGCATTCGATACAAATACTATATTCTGACGACCTTTTCGATGTTCCTTATCAATATCCAACATGATATTGATCCAAATGTTGATGAAAATGCTTATATCTCTAATTGCCACACAGTATGATTTTTTTTCCATGACTTTCAAACGATGTTCTTCATCTAGTACTCATAATAGGGCTTACAATATCCTCATTATACATGCTAGTTCACATTGGAATCACCTCAGCATTTGAATTACAAATTTGCTCAATATAGGATCCATAGTATCTGGAATATCCTCAATTTTGTTACGATTCCATCTTGGCAAGAAGGCAAATTCTGACTGATGCACTGTGTTGTCAACTGTTTATACTAGGTTGTCATTTTCATTTCACCTACTTACGGCGAAAATTGGAAATGGGAAGATTTTTATTGGGAAATAGTTATTTATTATACAAGGGAAAAAAGTAGTAGCTAAAATCTAATATTTTTCCCGTGTATAATACACTACTTTTTTCTGTGACAGAAGAAAGGACGAATCAATATTGAGAAGATATTACATTATTTTGAAATCTAAACATAGTCGACGTGAAATTTCAAGTCTTTAACAGTAGGGACACCTGCGTTGTAGGCATCTTTATCATTCTTTCGAAGTAATCAAATATCTGATGTCACTTCTGTCAGTCTAATTCTGTGATTAAATTTCAAAAAATTGCGAATTTGGTAGTTGTTTAGTAATATATATACGTAACCGCGAAGTCGAATGGAAGATAAATGGACTTGCAGTTCTTTCTCGGAGATGGTATTATTGACTCATTTTTCGGAACTATAGCACAACAAAAGCCATCAACAGTGTATATATATATGTGATATATATCCGGAAAGAAAGTACTCACTTTTTTTCCACGGGAAAAAAGTAATTTATGAAAAGTGACATTTTATAACCTGCCAACAGAGATGAAATGACAAACTTTTTTCCCGTCACAGAAAAAATATATACTTTTGAATTGACTTTACGAAACCCATTGTTCAACATTACGTGTAAGTATAATACTTGAAGAGTGGCGAGGCAAGTTGACCCAAATGAAAAAAATGCTAGAATTGTTCTTCTTTCCGTGTTCTATGCGCCATCGCCCTTTAGTGTTCCATATAATAATTTGAGTGCCATTTTGCCCTCCATTCGATAGAAAAACGGTAGAGAAGGTCGCGCCCCCTGGAGCGCGAGTTAGTGGAAAAAACCGTATCGTACAGAAAAAAATACTGATAATAATATGAAAATAAACAGGTTTTTGCTTCTTGGTGCTTAGATCACTTTGCCCCGCCACTCTTCGCTCGTTCACTGTTTGTGTAATACTGGATAGCGGGATATCGATATGGAAATATCAATATCAATGCTCACTACTCTCTCAAAATTCTTCTCCTTTGGAAATACTTGGTATACCAACTATAGTTTATCATTGTCACCTTACAATATAAAATATAATTGCCTATTTATTTGAAGAAAATCAGTTTTTTTGGATTCAAGGAAATAATTAAATCGTGGTTGATTGAGAATTCAGAAATTTTATTCGAAATTTGATTATATGATAAAATACTTTGGCAACATTTCATGTTTTTTATACTTATTTTCAGATAATTTTGGAATGTATTTAATATGTTGATTGTACTCAATGAGAAAATGAATTAGTTAGTCAGTGGAAGGAAAATGATGATCATGGACAAGTTTTCAACTTTTTTGATCATGATTATATTATAAAAAAAAAACTATTATTGATATAGTACGCTGATATGAATGTTATTTTGAAAGTGAATAAAATAAAATAAAATAAGCATGATGAATCATTTCAGGATAAATATGTTGCGGATCCAACCAGTGACTTTGGCAAAGCCTGGGTAATCATAGAAAAATATAAAGATCAAATAAAGATTCCCGACAACAAAGATGGCGTAGCTCAAGCTCAGAAAGGACACTATGCTTTTTTCATGGAAGACACCTCAATCGAATATGAAACACAAAGAAAATGTGATCTGAATCAGGTTGGAGGGAAACTGGATGAAAAAGGATATGGCATAGCTATGCGAAGAAGTATGTATTGTATGATATATAGTCATTTGTTTTACTAGGCAGCAAAGTGTTTGACTGCCGCGACTGATAGTTCTAAGTGTGTCCTATAAGTAATAGCTTTGAGTATTTACACTATATTCGATAAGGGTATAGTATATATAATCAAGGGTGATATCACGATGTTTTGAATATTCGAAATGATTATATGTTGCTTCATTGTTCACGAAATTGTGTTGCCAAGTCCTGACGGACTCGTGGTCTTGCTGTACGACAGCAAACAATGAAAAACAGAATTATGAGAAGATATTCAGAACAGAGTGGTATTTTCCTAGACTATTTCACGTTCACGAAGCATGAAAATCATTTATTATAAATGAGTGATTCATTCTATAAATCAGCTATAATTATTTTGTGCCAAACTGACAGACTTTACTTTGCTATCCATGGTTGCAACGTTGTAAACATCAACACTGACAGACTAATCAGAATTGAAAGACAGTTAATGTTTTCGCGATAAGCACACGTTTTCTCTGGCTTGTGATTGGTCAGATTATGTGATTAGTCATAGGAAAGCCCCTCAGAGGAATCCACTCGAAAATTAAATTGAAATGGTTTCCACTCATTTCTGAGATGTGTCAATATTTTCAACATGAAATTTTACATAAAATACTCCACAAACGCTGAAGATATACTCACACATATTTCTTGATAACTCACTAATACAGTTGCTTCTTCAAGAAAAATACTAGTACAATAAATTAACCTACTATTATTTTTTTGCATAACTCAACATATTTCTTATATATCTTATAAGATGTAAGAATTCATTTTCTATACGTGAGATATGATTTCCTTTTCAGATTCATCATATAGACATAGTCTGAGCACGGCCATTCTTATTTTACAAAACTCTGGTAAAATTGGAGATATCAAGAGGAAATGGTGGGAAGAGAGAAAAGGTGGAGGACAATGTTACGTGAGTATCTAGTATATATCATATTATGGTATCTATCCTATGAATCGTAGAGAATGATGCAATCTTGTGACACTACTTACAATTCTTCAAAGTACCTTAGAAGAAATCTTCTTTGCTTCATACTTAAGGTGAAGAGCTCGCTAGTGGCATTTGGTAGTGAGTTTACCTGACCGTACAGAGATGGCTGACTCAAATACACCTTAACCGTTGATCCTTAACCATCCTTGACAAATACCAAAGAAAAGCGGTAATTGACCCTTTTTTTCACGATTTGATAACGAGATAAGATATCATGTCATGCGATACCAATTTAATGGTAAATCTCAAAACCCCACCTTTGCTATACCCTTCCATGTGTGTCAAATCCACGGCAACGGCACATCGATTTATTTGCTGCCGTTATTCTGGACATACTTCCGTCACGTGATAATGAGTTGAAACAAAGAGCAAACAATAGGAAAGAAAACTCCATTCGAAAATATTCAGACGTTCTGCGATTCAAACAGATCTAAGTTAGTGGCAGAGTGTCAATATTTCGGAGAATATTATTTCGCCATTTTCTATCGATGGGGACGCACGGAAGAAAATCCCTATAATGTTCGAAGAATATATCGTGCGTACCTAGGGAAGATAGGGAAAAGAGGTAGGTAATAGATTTTTTGTGGATTTTGGAGATTATAAGTTCTTGGAAATAGTTCCTCAGGCAATGCGAACTCCAGAACTTTGTCGTTCTATAGACAAATTGGTTTTGCTAAAGTGCTGTTCGCATATTTCGTGGTTGATAACGAAAGTATGTGCTGACTGGGCTTGTCGAGTTCGCCTGACTGGTGATGCTAGTGATGAAATGACAGCAGAGTATTCCGAAGAACATTTACCGTGGAGGTATCTATGAAAAAGTGGAAAGTCGCCAACCTTCCTACGGTATTCCAATGATGTCAAAGAGTAAGTGCAGCAGGCGAATGGCTCTTCTCTGTTTGGAATCTGAGATCATCAGCGTATGTTTGGGTGCTGAACCCCATATTTGGGAACAGTATCCTAGTGCAGGTCTACAGTAGCTTTTCGCACGGAACAAGAATCCGAGTTTTCATGAAGCAGTTTTCGCAATGATCTCACATGATTATCCCATGAGAGGATATTGCTGATGGAAATACCGATGGAAGATATAGTGGATTTGGTGATTACCGCCTCTCTAAAAAAAATACAGGCTTGAGTTTTGGTAACGTTTAATTCGACTAGGTTGTTGGATTTCCATAATGTGATTTGAGCAATATCTCCATTGTCAGCATTGACCTGCCTGAGTTCTCAGTTCACTGGAGGGAACGCAGTCTGGAGAGTACTATCATCTGCACAACTGTGGGTAGGGCAAGTTATAACTCCCAACAGATCATTAATATGAAGTAGGAACAATGTTGGTGACAAAATTAATCCTTATTGTGGAACGCGGAATTGATGTCTTTAAGAAAACTCGATAAAAGATGGCATAGCTGAGGTGGTAAGCCGTATGATGGTAGTTTGTGAAGGAGTCCTTGGTGCCAAACACGGTCGAATGCTTTGGATATGTCTAACGCCACAGCTAGAAATTCCCCATGTTTTTTTGATGCCACTTGGCATATATGGGTGACGTAGGCAAGTAGATCTCCAGTTGATAATCAGCGGCAGTCGCTATATTGTCTATCATTGATAATTTCTGAGCTTCCTCCATCACTTTGGAGTTTACTGATAACAGGACAATAGGCCTGTTGTTGTTGGGTCGGTTTTTCTATTTCATCTGGTGATTGGTTAGACTCTAGATCTTCCAGCATGATGGAAAAATACCCGACTTGTACGAGATGGTGAATAACTGGCAGAGAAACGGTGTCAATTCTAGTGCACATATTTTGGAGATAATGGGTGGAATCGCTACCCTTCGGTCATGTCGTGAAGTCAGTTTCAGAGAGGTTTATCTGAATGTTAGGCATTTCCTCTTTCAGGGTATAGCAAGATGTCATTGAATACATGCGATTATTGTGTGATTCAGAAGGGGCAAATGGTCTTTCTCCAACGACGAAATAGTCGAGAAGGTATCGTGAATGGCAGTGCAGTGCGAAGATATTCGAACTGCCAGAGATCTCTGGAGATCTTTCAGGGGAGTCTCATCACACGTTTCTGTTGGAATAAGTTTAAATCATCACGAATTGCTCGAAAACTTCTCAAGTACCTACTTTCTCAGGTGACAGACTAATACACTGTTTTTGCCCCCTTACATGGATCACATTCCATGTTTTTCAGACTTGAAGAAGAACGTTAAAATTTTCCAAAGTTTGTCATAGCAATCAAGTAGTTTTGAGAAACTCAAATTCAATTTGTATCAGATATAATAGTCGATAAATTGATCAACAAACATAATACTCAATGCCCTAGGAATATTGAAGCTGGTAATATGTCTGATGTAATCGAAAGATACATTTTTTTTTTCCTTCCTAGGCTGATAGTGAATCTGCAGATGCAACACCTCTGAACCTCAGCGGAGTAGAGGGCGTTTTTTGGGTGACAATAGGAGGAACCATCGTCGCCATCTTCATGGCAATTCTGGAAACCCTCCTGCAAATCACTAGAAAATCCATAAAGACCAAAACACCCTTCTGCTCCGTCCTGATGGAAGAAATCAGATTCTACTTCCGATTCGGAGAAATGGAGAAACAAATGGTGTATCCGGATCACAGCGAGGAATCTCCCACTACCGAGTTGCCGTATGGTTTTGTTTTGGAAAAACAGATGAGCGCGGACAGACACAGTTGCAGAAGCAAGCGAAGCAAAAGTAGAATCAGTAGGAGTAGAGCGGGAAGGAGCAGAAGTAGGAGCAGAAGAAGTGGGAGTAGGAAGTTTGATAAGCAACTCAGTGCGAATACTTCTTGATTCAATCGATATTTGTTATAGAATTTAAGTGAATTACAAACATGAAATATAAGTAGAATGAAGAATTGTCAAGTTGAAAGTTGCAAGTTAAGTTGTAAACCCGTATACCAATATACATGAATATGAAATGAAAACATTTCCTCCCTCAATTCCAAACCGATATGGACTCAAGGGCTAGCAAAACATCAGAATGTATGTTATATTCTGACTGGCGAATGAGAAGGGCACGATACGACTGATACGATACGATACAAAATTGTTGACTCATTAGCTAACCTGCTCGTTGCCTTGTTGTTGGAGATTGAATATATTTCCCATATTCATAAACATGTCAAAGCAAGGACCAAAATGTTTCATTTCCATTCGCCTATTTCCTATTTCCTCAACATCTTGAAGTCACGGTATGTTTAGCTTACATCAGCGTCTTGTGAGATGAACATTGAGTTGCCTATCATAAATATACTAACCAACCCGAAGGATAAGAATAGGCGAGTGGACATCCCTCAAATTCCTTTCAATTAAATATTTTTCAAGGATTTTTTGGTCGATTTTCATCATCAATAATGCCACGGTAATGTTCAAAAGGCTAGAAATTTACCGCTTGTAAAAACTGACGCCACGATTTCGTAATTAGGGGCAGACCATAGCATAGTTGCCATGAGGACATAGGATTGGAAACTTCAGAAATATCAGTTATTTGATAATTTATAAATCCTCAATTGAGTGTTCAAGTTTTATGGTTATGTCGAGATAAAGCTGACTCCACTGTTGAAAATATCAAATTGGTTAGATTTCCATTTGTTTTGCTTCTTCACAAAGGTATTCATCAGAAGCAATCTATCTATCAGATTGTTGACTGGAATCTGTTTTATGATATTGAGTTCGCAATTGAAATTCCTCTCAAAGAAAGGGACATTCACCTGTTTATGTAACATAGTATTATGTGTGTTTTTTCTTCAATCTGGTCACAGAATATGAAAATTCAGATTACTCCACGTGAGAATAGTATACAATATAGTTGATCATCAATAAAATGCACCGTTTATTAACCAAATCAGTTTTGAAATTCAGATCAAATATAGTTTCCATACTATTTTCGGGACACCCTAGATAATTCAAACAATCCGAATGATAGGTAACAAGATATAATAAGTGGGTAAGTATTTACTTATTTATAGTGCCACAAGGAAAGTACATCGAATTAAAAATTATAATTAATTTTAGCGGGCCAGACGGGATTCCTTTGCCAAATCATTTTGTGGTCTGGTGGGGACTGAAATAAAGTTTCAATTTCTATAATTATTATTGAAATACATATAGCTACCTATTTTCCTCACTTCTAGAGAACACCTTTGTCAATTTTTATTTTTATTCGGAAAATATGTGGTTGCTGTCAATATTGTTATTTTCTTCACTGAAATGCATCATTTGTGTAGATGTCAATCTAGGTGAGTATATCATAATGATCATATTGAACTCGAATCATGTTGAATTGAATGTTTCAGACCTCAGTTAATATGATAGATAGGCTCTATCATGAGAGAGGTAAAAAATCTGCAGATGTGACAATTCCTAATATCATGATCAATATAATATTATCTTCTCCATATTCGATTTTTCGATAAGTAGGAACTATTGTAATTTTGTATTTCTTCATAACGTCTCATTCAATTCACTGGCAGTATCAATCCTCAATAAAAGTGTACCATTGACAAAACATGTCAACGCTTTTTTTTTCTCGAGTTGCTCGTTAGAATTGCCTCACCCTACTTAGGAGTGAATAACTACTCTGTTTTATAATCGTGCATGTCCAAACTCATTTGTTGAAACTCACATGTTTCATCAAAGGGGGCAAGTGCCATCAGTATTATTTTGTTTTGAAAATAAATGGAGCCTTGCATCGTCCATTTCGCAGTGTTTGTTCGCCTCAAAGTATTCTGTTAGTGCTTTCTTGCATGGTATAAACAATACAATTGATATAGAAAACGATGATAATACTATGAGCAAAAAATGGAACTGAAAATGAGTTTAGGTTGCAACAAAAACTCAAACTGTCTGGAAAATTGAATCGACCCCAGACTCAATGCAGCTAAAATGCAGTTTTTACGTGCTATATGATTCCATATATTCATTTACTGGCGCACCGTGAGTTCTACCAAAAACTTAGTGTAGTTTCCAGCACTTACATACCATGGAAATGATATAGTGGTACGTAGCCCTATATCCATTTTTTCCATTCTATTTTGTTTGTATTGAAAACATTATTTGGTTTTTGTGTGCTTTAAGTTTGCAAATGAACAGTTTTTTCAAATTGAAAACATTTTCATTCATAAATGGTTTAATGAGTCGATTTCTCGAGTTAGCCGAAAGATTTCTTTTTGGCACTTAGCCCCTTTTCGAAGTCTACTTTGACTATTACTATTCACATCACATCTCTTGATTATTTTTGATATATCATATTTATATGTAGTCGAAGTCAGCCACATTGTCAAGAAAAGTTACTTTTTTGTCTGATAATCTAGCCGGTCTCTTCGAGAAAGATGAGAGCCAAGAAAAAACCTTCATTTTCGCAACCGAACTGGTCAACAACGGCCAACTGGGAGACGATTTCACACTCATTCCACACATCAACAACGAAATAACAGAAGACGAACCGTTTCATGCTTTACGCCAACTTTGTTCTTTTCTCGAAATCGGCGTCATAGCCGTTTTCGGACCCCGATCTAAGATAAACAAAGACACGATTCAAGGCGTATGTGATATGAAGGAGATCCCGCACATTATCACTTGGTGGAACAGCTTTCCAGTGAGGCACAGCACTGAGATAAACTTTTACCCCCACCCTCCAATTCTAGCTGAGGCCTACTACGATATAATAAAAGCTCTGGGATGGGAAACATTCACCGTACTCTATGAGGATGATGAAAGTTTTCTGAGGGTCAGTAGTTTGGTAAAGAAGACTAAAGATGAAGGATTGTTGGTACAAGTGATGCAGCTGGATGAAAATCATGAAAACTCTTACAGGTACGCCAATTCAGAAAGTTGCTAGCTACAGATACACAGGGTGGTCAAAATGTAATTAGTAATACTCCAGGATTCTATAGAACTCGATTGATAGTATATTACCTAATATATGTGTTGTGAGAAGCAATTTACGCACGAATGGAAGAGTTACGCACACGCAGTCGCAAAGCGGTGAGTGCGTAATTGCTTTACAACACGCATTACGTACAAGCTTGGCTATTTTAGCTTGGCCTCTGAAAATTGGATGCGCAGTAGACCAGTCGGCAGAGATTACTTCCCAATAAAAGGCGTAGTTGATCTTTGTCACACATTAACCATCTCTGTTTATCATTTGGCCATCTCAGGGGCCAATAAGCTACAATGGTCAAGCTGTACTATATATACTTTACCTAGGGCCATATACAGTGTATTTGTCATTCAAAACTGTTCGTTCATGATATTACTGTTCTTGACAGTTGCTGCATGTCCAAACATTCCGATTAACATCAGGGTGTTACAACATAGTATTACTAATGACAAAATCCATCGATTTTTATTTCAGTACGTTACTGACTCGATTTCACTACTACTCTCAATCTCAGAATGTTGGCCCTTTCGATTACTTTTTCTAATGTAATTACTCAATTGATGTCGTTCGAGCTTGTTTAACTCTTACAGATCCTTACAGATTATTTTGAAAAATGACAGCACCTTATATCATGAAGTACTAGAAGATATTCGTGATATACTCATTGATATAATGAACTTAGTATTGAACTAAGTAATAAGAGTAGAAACCTGCAAAAACTCAAAAATGCTAAACAACAACGAAAAATTGAATCAAATTGAAATCTATCAAATATCTTGCAAACCAAACTAAGAATCGATAGTGATTAGGAGTGTCAAAATGTAGGTTTTGAATGGTGGAATTGAGAAATGTATTGAAATCCGGCCAGTGAAGTTGAATTGATCATCCTAATATGAGCCTTTATACGATACTTATATCGTGAATGTTTAATAAAAATATTCTGTACATTACTGATGGAGTTGTGTTCTTATCTCGAATTGATTATAGATTTTTCTGAATAAAAGAAGATACTCTGTTTTCGGAGGAGATATCTACCTAATATTATTCACAGAACATATGAACAGAATTCTTATATCTTGAGTGAATGCAGTATTGCTTGCGTATATGGTTTGAGACATAATTTTTTACCGTGATATAGGACAACCATCAAATCTTTGAAGATGTCAGGTCAACAGTACATTGTTTTGGATAGCCATATTCAGCACCTCGGAGAAATTCTGAAGCAACTGCAGCAAGCTGGAATGATAAACGAAAATTTCCATTACTTCATAACCAATTTAGATACGCACACTGAAGATTTAACTCCATTTATGTTCAGTAACGTGAAAATGACAGGGGTAAGAACCGATATTCCCTTCATGTCTCGAAGATGTCTGATAAGAACCAATTTCAGATTCGAATAATTGATCCAAATGCTGAAAATACCCAAATCATAAGCACAGATCTGTTCGCAGGAAGTGAACTTGCAGCCGCATGGAAGATCAGAACTGAAACTGCTCTCATCATTGACGCAGTTTTTATGTTTTTGAAAACGTTGAACGAAAGACAGAAATTGAGTCCGGTTTCTATCATCAAAGACAACCACCGTTTTTCCTGTTCGAAATTCAGTAGTTGGGAACATGGCCTGAGCGTGATAAATATGCTGAAAACTGTAAGTTGATTGGCATTATACAGGGTTAGTCCTATTGGTCGGGCTATAAACTTTTATGTATTCCCTATGTGTATAATGTACTATTATACTATGTATTTGATAATTTTGATGAACAAACGCATACATTCTAACTGATCTACTTAATCAATTGATGTTTTGCTTATAAGAGTACTCATGATGGATTGACTGGACTTATAAGCTTCAACAACGAAGGGTTCCGAAGTGACTTCAACCTGCATGTTTTCGAACTCAGAGAAGGAGGTATCACGGATATTGGTAATTGGAACTCCAGTAAAGGCCTAAATTTGACAGCATCAGCACAATCGCAAAACATCACCGATGGAGATAGTTTGAGAAATCTAACTTTCAATGTCCTCATCACCTTGGTTTGTAACGCTGAAACAGTTTTAATAAAATTGGAAGTTACCAGAGAATATACCATTACTTGACGGAAATTCACAAAAACTACTGTTCTCAACACAATTCATATAATTCTTTTTTGACGACCTGTATTGTTTCAAGAAATTGACCAATTTCCAGTCGATTTTCGATATCAGATGTGACATTTCATCGACTTCAAAGGAAACTAGAACACTGTGAAATAGTTCGCTGAACGCAACATACCCAAGGTGTGGAACCATAACACTGTGGTCCATTTGCTATGATGCCGAAACTCGAGAATCTTTTTTTGATCAAAAATCGATCATTTTATTGCGATCTCAGAACGTTTTCTAGGTTTCTCCTCATTGTCACCATTGAAACAAAGATAATGCTTTTTTGCAAAAGTCTTGCATTTCTCGAAATTTTTTCACAGGACTCCATTCGACCTGAATATCGGGAAGAACTGTTTCCATGTTATCTGGAGGTTGACGGAAGTCGAATGAAGCACCATAGTAGAATATACTGGCTGAAAGTACGAAAGGAAAATATCCCATTTCAATAAAAAAATAAAAAACGGTCACTTAATTTGTATAAATCATGGCCCATTCGATTCATGATATTTAGTGACCAAGTATGACCAAGATTTGCTTCATCAGAAGTCTAGGGTTAGAGGACCAAAACTAGATAGGGGTAATCACAATAGATCTTCTAGGTCGCACAGATCGAGAGGTCTCTCAGCCTATACGACCCATCTACAATCTACAATCTACAATGACCAAGATTCAGAACTTATCCTAAATAATCACAACTACAGGGTTACATAAAAATCACTTAAAAAAACAACAGAATACGAGATTGAAATTTGATTGATTGAAGACTTTTTTTCTACATTCCCTCGAATCAATCAATTTTGTAGAGCAGGCGTTACTTAGGAAGGAAATATCTACGATTATATCTGGGACTCCCGGTTTCATTGTACCTGTGCAGAATAGGATACATTATACAAGCTCCCGACTGCTATGAAACTGATTCCTCCATTGATCAATCGAACAGCATACAAAAATTCGTTTCGATTATCTTTTAATATTCAAATGAAATTATTCATACGATTCAAGAATTCTATCTATACCTACTAATCATATCTCACAAGGTGTTTTGTCAAAGTGACAGAACTGTAAATATATCATGACTCATGAGGTGTTTATTGTTTATTGATTATCGCTCTCACATGAACGTGTTTTTCATTACTATTACACATTATTCACGAAATTCGATGGAGGAATATAAGTGACCTTCGTGTATGATAACGAAGGCACTATTAGTACTCGGCGATTATAAGAGGCCTGTTTGTTTGTGCTTTCTCAACCTGCTGAACTTGATTTTTTTCTATGACTTTCTTTGTTTACATCATGGTATGAACAGAGACAACTATGGGAAAAAGATCAACTTAAGCCAGCTTAGCAATACAAACGAACAAGCCTAAGGTGTCTCTAGATGAGCATTTGATCTCGAAGATCTTTCATTGAATATAAAATATTTTTCATTCCATATGAGGTGAATTTTTCAAAACGTTTCAAGATAGTAGTTTAATATCAATATAGGATATCGAGAAGGCCGTTTCTGAATATCATGAATCGAATGGACCATGGTTTAAGTAACCGTTTTTAAGTTTAACCCTGTATATTTCACTATGGAAACATGCAAACAGTTCTTCCCAATATTCAGTTCGAGTGGAGTTCTGCGAAAAACAAGAAATACAAGACATTTGAAAAAAATCATTATTTTTATCCCATTGCGAATTGAGGAGAAATCATCACAAAAAAGTCCCGAAATGAAATCCCAATGTGTCATAATATGACTGACTTTTAATCAGAAAAAAATTACTTGAGTTCCGGCAACATCGCAAATTTGAATCATAGTGTAATGGTTTCACTTTACACCCTGTGTGAGTTTCGTTTTCGGACTTTTTTACAGGTGTTCTAGCTTTCTTTGATGTCGATGGAATATCAAATCTGATATCGAGAGCCACATGAAAATCGGTCAAATGATAAAAACAATAGGGTCGTCGAAAAAGAGACCAATATTTGTAGTTAGGTAAAAGTAATAGTAATTTTCCTAACAAGTGCGGAAAGTGATTCTTTCCCGCACGTGACTGCCGTTGACACGAACGACGCGAAGCGGAGTTCGGGCAAGCAGTCGAGTTCGGGAAAGAAACTTTCCGCATGAGTTAGGAACAATATTTTTTCTACAAGCGTAGGAAATTGATTGAATCGTTCAATTAATTATTCAAGCAAATAGGAACAACTAACAAGAGATATATATTCTCTATCTATTGATTATTAGTAATAGCTATTGTGAACTTACAGTTTGACGCATTATGTTGGTTCATTGCGGAAGCCAGCAGGCCCATTAGGAGTTTGGTCTCTAGGTTCCAGACATGCTTCTATGAAATGAGCCAAAAATACCTATTCTCCATTCGGTTTTTTATTTCTTTATTGTTGCACCATTCAATAAAACGCGTGTATAGCTTCTCATACCTTTCTTGAGACTTCGTTGGTTATAACGCATCTGTATCAAATCCCTATAGCTAGAAGTTTTTGATCACATTGTGGCATTTCCACTGAATCGAAAATGACAGTAACGCTGTGTCTGTCACTTCGACAATTTCAAACTCATTTGAGGTTTGATTGGCATGACAAATAGACGTTTCCCGTCAGATCAATCCAAATCTATAGGCGGATTTTTATAATCATCAATTTTTATTTCTCAATATTTCTTGATTTTTACAATAAATAATGCAATTTGATGGATGATTCTGGACATACATACTTAATACTGCAACAAACAAACTTAACTTTTATATTCCATCACCAACCACTTATATTACTAGCGATTTTATCATATATTTGTTTTCCCGCACTAGTGTGGGAAAATGACACTTCCCAAACCAAATTGCGTGCGGGTATAGGGTGAATCACGCACGCTTGTAGAAAAAAGATTTGACGATAATGTCATTGGGTTCCAAACTTTATTCAAACTCTACACTGACTTGTGGTAACTTCTGGTTTTATCTTTATTTGATAATAAATTATTCAAATTCAAGACTGAACCTTATGGAATGCTCAAAATGACAACCGAACCACAAATAGGAAATGATAGATTTGAAGGCTATGGAATTGATCTAATACGTAAACTAGCTGATATGGAAGGTTTCAACTATACATTTCTAGTCAGAGAGGACAAGAAAAACGGTGCTTATGACAAGACTACCAAAAAATGGACTGGTATGATAGGAGATCTCCTAGATTTTGTAAGTATTGTCCTATAGATCTTCTCCATACTTTATTGATTTCATATTTCCAGAAAGCTGATCTGGCTATATGTGATTTCACAATCACTTCTGATAGGGAAGAAGTAGTTGATTTTACAGTCCCCTTCATGACCTTGGGTAAGGATGTATCATTCTCATTGAAGGAGGTGCTTGAATAATTTGCTTCTTCGAGTAGATTCCATTTAATATTGGTTCTAGCCGAAATCATTTCACATTTCTAGGTGTTAGCATTCTTTTCAAAGAACCAGTGAACGCCCCACCAAGTTTCTTTTCTTTTGCTGATCCATTTGGCCTCGACACTTGGATAGCTCTTGCAGTGTCATTCTTCTTGGTTAGCTTCGCCTTATATTTCATGGGAAGACTTTGTGGTGATGAGTGGACCAATCCGTATCCTTGCATCGAAGAACCAGAATATTTGACGAATCAGTTCAGTTTGGCCAACGCGATATGGTTTGCCACAGGCAGTTTACTAGCGCAGGGATCAGAAATAGGACCCATGTAAGAATTCGTCATCCACATATTATATCCTCGATGCCCAAAACTCCTCGTGTATTGATGTCACAATGTGAAGAAGATAAACCTCCATCATGTCACGACTAGCTAGGATGTTCCATATCAGGTTATAAATTACTAGCAGACCTCGCAAACGTTGTTTTGCTGTATACAATATTTCCATATCATATTTTTTCAGTTCAATATTTATCAAGACACTATTATCATTTTATTTTCTATTTCTTTTTAGTTTCGCTATCTATAAAAGCGTGTTTCTTTAGTTTTTCAAACTACCATTCATTTCAACTTCTTTTTAGTTCACTTGAATTCTCCAATTTTGAAGAATCATAATATCCGACTCCTAAAACCCCAGATGAAAATTTTGAATAGAATCGTAACATAATCACAAAACTCGTCCACCATTTTGGATCCGCCATCTTGAATTTCTTGATTTTGACGAAGGAATCATAATCCCCGATCACAAAAACCCCCCCAAAAGGTACCAATTTCCGATTCGGACCATAATTACAAATTTCGTCCGATATATTAGATCCGCCATCTTGAATTACCTAATGGTACCGGAATTAAAAATATCCTGTAACCCCACCAATTTTCAGCCGAATCGATACAGTAGTTTCGAAGCCTAATTAATACATACAAACAAACGATCATAAATCTTTCCTCTTTATATAATAATAATAATAAAAATGTTCTTTATTGGTTAAAACCAAATGGCCATCGACCGAGGTCCTTCAGCCACCTCTTTATATACAGTATGATGCAAAAGTATGGAATAAATTAATTATTTCAGAAATGGGCGACATTTGAAGAAATTCCAAAAACACGTGAGTTTTAATTTTTGAAGCATCATCTCATGACACTCATATGAGAGATGTTACGTCACCGATGTTGGAGTAATGACGTAATGGACGGTTTTTTTAAATACAAACAGGGGTCATGTGACCCCTCGTTTGAAAGGTCTACTGATCGTCTATCCAATAGTCAACATTTTGCAAAAGAAGATTGAAATTAAAATGGATTATCATTTTGGTTAACTGAATCTTGCAGAGATCTTCTACTGAGAATTGAACATCAAAGGGTCGTCTAGTTGAAAAAATACATCGATAAAAAAGTTCTGAACTCTACTTTTTGGATTTTTTTCGGAAGTCGTCTTGTTTTGGAATGAATAATTTATTCCATACATATATTATTATAGTATATGGATCCGTTTGTCTCATTGGTTTGCGAGAGGTAATATTCAAATCGACACTAATAGTTTTATGGTAGTTGACAGTATGAGACTATAATTATGTTCGACCAAAAATATTTATCATAGCATTAAGACATCAAGGGAAGTGATTAGATATAAGTAGACAACAATGAATATGAAGACTTAATAACAACTTAGATTATAATTGCCATTACGAAGAGTTCTTGTGGAAGTCAAGAGTAGCCCCAGACCATGATAGCTCCGGAACTCTCACATCCAGTATTTATTTCATATACAGCAGTTGGTTAGGACTTTCAGGTTCCTCATGAAAGTTCCTTGGTCATATAGTATTTTTGGCGTATCAGTTGTAGGAAGAACTGAACGCCTTTTTGAATAGTCGTTTCGTGAGGATATTTGATAGTTGTGGCAATGCCGAACACTATGATGGTTGAATCGTATATTGTAGAATGAATGAAAATCCGAAGTGCTGTTTATACGAATGCCAACTGTATTACCGATAAGATTGAGATTTGCGACTGTTCACTCTGAAGATTCAAGAATAACTGATTAGGTCTCTATAAGCTTTACCGGGAATAATAATTTGAGTTCGAATTAGGGTATTACCATCCTATAGCCAGATGCTCATAAAAGATCAATGTTGTGAATATACAATAAGTATTGTTGGCATTTCGTAGAGAGCTAGAAAGAACCCTTATCGGGAAAAACTCAACACTTCGGATGATGAAATATGTACAGAGTATAAAATGTAATATGGTATACAGGAAAGTTAATTGAATATAAAAATATATACACGTGTGGGAAAATTCCCCACTCGAACTTACTAATACGCCGAATTTTTTACTCGTGACAATATTCAACAAATTCCCTCAAGAGTGAGGGATTGCTTTCTCAATGAAAGTGTTTCTGAAGCACAATGTTTGTTGAATATCAACGTCACTGGTTTTTGAATCAGATCAAACAGTGACTTATAGTCTTTTAGTTAAACTATTCAACAAACAGCTTTTGAGATTTGGTTTTCAGGAGTAGTTGTGTGAAATATTATACTTTCAGTGCGACATCAACAAGAATGGGTGCTGGCATGTGGTGGTATTTTTGCCTCATCATGAGTGCCTCATACACTGCAAACCTCGCAGCATTTTTGGCGACACAAAATCCTGTTGAACTTTTCAAGGACATCGACAGCCTCTACGAAAATCCCCATGGAATCAAGTATGGTGCCAAGGAAGGTGGTGCTACTTTGAAATTCTTCACAGTGAGTTCAATACCATGATTTTGATCTTATAATGAATAATTAATTTATGTGGTCCCGCTGTCAGGTTAGGTTTTCGTTAGAAATGCACATTCGAAATACTTTATTTCTAGTCTGTATACTGGTGGCTATCAACTATACGACCGCACAAAACTAACGACAGATTTTCATTCATTATCTTTCCGATCGTAATATCTGAATCATAATATACTCACCTATTTTTTTGTCATAATTAATTTATGGATGGTGCTATTTTCAGCCAGTTTGATCTTGTATACACGAAAAATTTAATTATTTATCACTAGCGAACTGAGGATGCGATTTCCTTCTGGTTTGTTCTGTTCTCATTCGTTTTCCCGACAGAAATCAGTTATATCAGAAGAGGCCAAAAAAACTAACACAAGGTGATAGAAATCAGTATGATTATAAACATATTATTGTGGTATAGGCAATAATAGTTTCTAGATATATTCATCTAAATGGAGTTGCCTTTTAAACATCTCACAAAAGTCGAGAAATATCATGATAAACATGTAGAAAGAATGAAGTCGTAAAATTGTTTACACAAACGTATAGAGAAAACCATGTTTTTCAAGCGGAAAATTCAAATCGTCATAACTAGCGAACGGATAGTGCGATCACAATCCGGTTTGTTCTCTTTGCATTCATTATCCTTGCAGGAATCAGTTATAGTAGAGACTCAAAATGAATCTTCCTCACTGATGAAAGAAATATATCAAAGGTATCCCTATACTGAGTCGTAATTTTCCAATAATATATATACTTTGTATTTTGAATGAAAAACAAAATTGATGCATTTCCGGTCTAAGAGGAAGTGCCATATTCGGTCTGATACAAGCGAAATTATATACTTGTTATAAAATCAATGTGCAAAATTTGAAACATCCATGAAAAAAGCGACGAAGATACAGGGGGGTAAATTAATTCCAGGTCGCATATTTACATACCAGATGACTGCACCAGCGTGATGATAATACCCGCTTCCAAATTCTGTTATGTTAGATGCAAAGTTGATATATCGTCAAGCATTTAGAAACGAAATTCATTCAAACTGATCTTTTCAGTACTGAAAAAATAAATTCAAATGAATTTCGTTTCTAAATGCTTGACTCAAACATAACAGCGTTTGATGTTATGTTTACATCAACAGAATTTTGAAGCGGAGATAATCATTTTCTGAAGGAAATCATATTTTTGTCGATAATTAGTGATAATTAGTGATTAAAAGTTAGTAGCATGATGAAGCTACTGGTATGAAGTAGGTCGAATTTACAATTTTTTTAATACTACTGAAATTTCGAATTTTCAAAGAATATCGAAATCTAAAAAAAATTAATAGAAAAATAAAATCCGAGTCACATATGTAAAAATAGAAACAACTTTTTCAAGTAAACTTTTTCGATATTCGAACAAATAAGCCTACTTTCAGCGATTAATTTGAAAAAATGTCACTTTTGACATGTAGCGAAAGTCACGTGACCCCGATTGACCTGACGTCCAATTCGAATTTCAAAATAAGTCATTAATAAAAGTTTTTCCCATATGATGCTGACTTTATGAATGACACTGTACATAGATCTGAATACACAATCATGTGTATTTAGATCTACGATATGCCCAACAGTGTGACGCTACAAAAGCTCACTGATTTAGGCGCCTATACGTATTATGAATCCTTTCTCCATACAATATATACATAGTTTACAAGTAGGCTTGGTGGCATAGTGGTTAGTTTGTCCGAATTTGTATATTCGAATCTTGACTAGATGAAACAAGGATTTGACGATGAAGGTGACAGCCGATATTAACGTCAGGGAGTCAAGTTGACGATGTAGGTCGTCTCCTTCTTCTTTTTTTATTTCTAGGAACTTAGGCATCACACTGTTGCCCGTGCCACAAAATAGTTTGGGTTTAAATAAAATCTTGATCATTATTAGGAATTCTAGGATATTTTTTATTTGTACTGAAGTATCTTGCTAGTACATAATATAAGTATTCGATAAGGACCAGGTCGAAGTATTGTCTGTTGTGAATGTGCTATTTTTCGGATCTTGTTTCGTTTCCGAGAAAAACGGACAATACCATACCTCGGCATATCTCTAAACTCCATCATTGAAAATAAGAATGTTTAGATATTATCCGAAAATGTATTGCACATCATCATTTTCGAAAACAAAAAAGACATAAAATGCAATACCCTCTCTAGAATGTATACGATCTCCAAATGTGAGAAATAATTTTGCAACCCCATTTTCAACTTTGACACCATATATCTCGGGAACGACGTGTTTTCGGACTCATGTTCACATGCGCTTTTATTAATGATTTATCGAGAGGAATTTCCCTCAGGCTATTAATAATAATAATAATAATAATAATAATACTTTTATTACCCCATCAGAATTACATAGCAATACATACAAATACAATAATTATAAAGGTAATAGGTTTTCGGTTCAGCTTTCAGCAACAGCCAAATCTGTTCTTCCACCGACACCTTTATTCAATAATTCAAATTACCTATTTGATGGTAAGAATTATATAAATAATATATACATATATATGCAATTTACAAAACAAAAAACAAGAGACACAGAGAGAGAGAGAGAGAGAGAGAGAGAGAGAGAGGGTCACTGAACGCTCAGTAAGTGTTTCTTAAACATAATTTTGAACATGTAATTTCTAGAAACGAGTTATTCATTTTGAAGAATTTGAAGATATCATTGATACAGACCGCTGAAGCATATGTAAAGCTGCATTTGAACAGTGCCTTTGAATGTTTGGGTATACTTATAAGAGTTTGTCGTCGAATATTCAAGTTATGTACATCTGTTTTGAATGAAAGTTTCTCATGAAGATAAGGAGGAGTTTTTGTTTTCAGTAAATTGAAGCATAGACAGGCCAAGTGCAGCTGTCTTCGGTTATACATGTTCAACCACTTTAGTTCAGTCAATTGATGTGAAGTGTGTTGACCTTTTCTAATTCCATAAATAAGGCGAATACATGAATTCTGCACTTTTTGAATGCGACGAGACTCAATACTACCTAGACAGGGACCATAAACTGCATCACAATGATTAAAATGGGAAAGAACTAGACTATCACAAAGCATTTTTTTAACATCAGTAGTTAAAAATTGACGTTGTGGATATATTAGTTTTAGGGAGGCATACGCAGCTTTAAGTTTATTATTGATATGTGAAGTGAAACTTAGTCTAGTATCTAAAGTTAATCCAAGATTTTTACACTGAGTTTTGAAAGGTATTAGTGTGTCGCCGATTTTGAGTGAAATATTCTCATTACAATGCTGCTTTTGAGTTTCTTTACAAAAAATCAGTGCAGAACATTTATTTGGATTAAGTACGAGAGCATGGTCAAGTGATAACGTATGAAGTGCAGATAGATCATTATTAATAGAAGTTTCAGCATCTTTTATTTCTGAGATGTCAAAATAATAATACAATTGCGTATCGTCCGCATAAAAATGATAATTGCAGTTATGTAAACAGTTGATAAAATTAGAGGTATATAACGTAAATAATAATGGACCTAAAATACTTCCTTGAGGAACTCCAGACAGTACCTCCAAAGTTGAGGATTTTTCATCACCAATTTGTACAAACTGTACCCTATCTTTGAGATATGAGCCTAATAAAGAGCAAGCTGATACACTGAAACCGAAATAATTTAGCATTGAAATGAGTATATTGTGATTTATTAGATCAAAAGCTTTGGAATAATCCAGTAAAATCAATATGAATACTTTGTTTTTATCCAGTGAATGGATGATTTCGTCAGTTACGTCAGCAAGAGCACTATTGCAGCTATAACCTCTTCTGAACCCAGATTGTTTCAAGGGAAGAATATTTTGGGTTTCGATGTATTCCTTCATTTGAGATTCCATTATCCTTTCAATTATTTTAGAGAAAGTGGGTAAAACACTTATAGAACGCAAGTCATTGAAACATGTTGGTAGTTGAATTTTAGGTAGAGGTATTACTTTAGCAATCTTCCATGTGATGGGAAAGTAATATTATTTTCAAGGCATTGGTTAATTATGTGTGTGATGAAAGGAATTATAAAAGGGCAGCATAAATCAATAATTGTAATATTAATATCATCAACACCAACGGCCTTAGATTTAATGTTTTTAATAACCTTATAAATAGTTTCCTCAGAAACAGGCTGGAAGCTAAATGTTGAATTAATACCTTGCTTCAAGTTATTACTATAATAGTGGATTAGTTGTTCATCAATAGGTCTAATACTTTTTGATGATGAGATAAAGAATGCATTGATGTCTTCAGCATTTCGTAAAGATTCCGGTATCTCGTTATTTTTAGTCTTTGATACATTGAGTTTTTTCAGTTCTTTCCACTGTTCTTTATATTCAGAATTACGAAATTTATTCACTACAACTCTAAAACACCCTGTATACTTTCTAGGAAGAAGGTTTATTTAGGCCGAGTAAGGTTAGAATGTTTAGAAAAAATGGTCTCCTCTCTTATGCAGAAGGGATGTTTCCGTTCCTTCCTATTAGAACAGTGCCTAAATCAGTGAAATTTTGTGACATCACTATTGACTACACAGGCTTACATCAGATTTCAACACTCTGGTGCCGTCATATGGGAGGGGAGGGTGTGTAAATAATGCTTTCGGGTCAATCAGAATTGCCACTTGAACCTACAATATTGTTTATGCAGGATGCAGAAGAAGGGACTATCCTCAGAAAAATTGGTGATCGCATGAAAGATGATCCTGCAAACGTTAAAGAAAATGATGAAGGTGTGCTGAAAGCAGAAAATGAAGATTATGCATTCTTCATGGAATCCACCTCAATCGAATATGCCACTCAAAGACATTGTTCTTTGAAGCAATATGGAGGACTACTCGATGAGAAAGGTTATGGAATCGCTATGAGGAAAAGTAGGTTTTTGTTCATTGCTATACATAACGTTTGCAGAATAAAGCTGGATTTATGCAACATCAACTGAATTATAATGAATCTGGGATTTAAACTAATTTTGAAATAAAAATATATGGGTGTTCATACAATAACCTTCCATCAGCTGTTTAATCATTTTCCAGTGCGGCTAGTTATTATTTGGCGCATGCGCTATCGTGAATTATGGAAGAAATTGATTTTTTTGTTGAATGTTGGCCATCTTTCTTAGTTTTCCGGTTTTTTTAGTTTGTTGCGAAAGCACCTACATTACATTTCATAGTTTTATATTATTGGTTTAAGTTTGAAATTCATCTAAGTTTTAAATTTTGATCGTTGATATTTGGTCCGATGACCAATAAAAATATGGTAGAAATATGACGATATCAGCTCCTCTTTGTCAAGATTTGATATGAACAAAAACAAGAAGTGTCGTTTTAAATTTTTTTTCGTATTGAAATAAAAAAGAATCTCATAATATTATGATTTTAGCTAAACACATCCAAATCAATGAACAAATTCAAAATGAAAATTAATACAATCGAAGTAAGAATGAATCTTTTGAAATTTAACATACACTATTTTTAGTTAATGACTCTGTAGTGTTTGGGTACTGGAACCCTAACCCTAAAGAAAATCTAACCCTGATGATTCTGAAACACGTGTATCACTCATTTGATTTTGATACCATGTGAAAATGTATCTTTTTGAATCTTTTTCATTGGTTCTCTACCACGTATATTATTCTTCCATGTCTTCTCAGATTCTACATACAGGAAAAGACTCAGTCTGGCTATACTTCAACTCCAGACGTCGCACGCCCTTGATGACCTGAAAAAGAAATGGTGGGAAGATCGAAGAGGTGGCGGTGCATGTGGGGTAAGCTTTCAAGGTCATTTTTCCTCGAACCTAACCAGACAAACCAGGTTACCTTCATGATGACGTCACGGTAACTTTATTATGACGTCACGGTTTACTGGTGAAGCTTGACAGATGTCAGTTCACCATCTGTTTCTTTTTATTGTTTGATTTGGATGAGAAATAATTCGTCCATCTTTTCTGTAGCAAAAATATATCATAAATCGGAACTAGGAACTTACTCAAGTACTTCAAATTCAAGAAAATTGGAACAATTCGCTACGTACCTACATATTTACAGTGAATCAGATATTTATTTTCATCAATGGTCTAATGAGATCTGCTCTCATTGAAAAATACTTCGTATAAATCAAAATGATCTCTTTAAGAAGTTTAGAATTTTTTCTTGACAACTCTGTTACCTCAGATCATACCAACAACAAGAGACCAATCCAGTAATCAATCAAAAGCATCAACTACTCCGTGAACTACCTCAGTGATCTGATTTGTGTGGTTGGTTAACTATTACGTCATAGTTTAGAATACACTTGAGGAAAATTTACTGGTTAATTTATTGTTGACCCGGTTTGTGTGGTTAACTTCGACGAAAAATGGCTAATGAGTTCAATGTTACTTCAAGTGACACATGTAGACCTGCCCAAGTAAACACTTCATTAACAGGACTTTTCATTTAGATGACAAATGACTATCTCGTATCCAACGACAGTGGCGGCCATTTTCACCGAAACACTTGCACCACACACCTCAGTATCGAATAAGTAACATTTCTTCAATTTAAATTATCATAATACAATTGATACACACTAGGAATATGGAAACGAAAATACTATATTATTATTGTTGTTTCTCAATGACGAATGCCCATGGTGGTTAACACTATTGACATTTGCCAGGACGTCAATAACGTCAATAAAAAACACCATATTCGAAATGGCCAATCAGAGTTTTGTGTCGGAACTTACCCAATGAGACTTCACCTTCGCATTATTCAATGAAATTTTGGATCTAAAAACGAGCGCATGCGTCTTAAAAATATATCTATATGAAAAGGCCTATTCTTGGTAAGAAAGAAGTACATGTTAATTGCATAAACTGATATTCTTCTTCGGGAACATCCATACTATGTTACTACTTATACCATAAAAATTCAGTTCCTAGTAAAATCTACCTCTACCTCAGACTTGAGTCTTTGTTTCCATCGAGCTATTGCTGCAGCAGGCTGAGTATAATATCTTTGAGTATTCACACTTGAAATCCACAAATAGTTCATTTCAGATAGGTAAAGAAGAGTAGGTGGCTTTCGAGTTTTGGCCATTTTTCAAATATTTCCCGCAATTCCAATATCAGTCAACAGAAATGGAATTCATGAACTAATTTGCCTATTCAACTGACATTATAGTTCCAAATTATATAACCAAGTTAGCAATAATGTCGACTTAGAAAACCCTATTATCTATTAATGTTCACAGGGGCATGACCCAACAGTTGTAAATAATAATAATAATAATATCGTCTTTATTATTTTCTTCCTCTTCAACGGTACAGTCATTAGAATAAAAATAATATATATATATATATATAACATATTTAACTTCGGAAGAAAATTAAAGGCGGAGTTCAATTTCAATAGTGACGAATCACCATTGAGATTGCTCTTCCACTCAACCTAGAACATATCGCTTAATGCTTCCATGAAGAATATAAATAATAATCAAATATAATCGCTAAATGGTAGTTATTATTAGGGGTGATATTAACATAGGGATGAGATAGGTGGTTTGAATGTTAGAATCAGTTACCGCAAAAGAAATTCAGTGAATTCATTTTTGAACCGATACACATTTTTCTGTTTGATTGAATCAGGAATGCCGTTATACATTGCATATATCTGGTACGTGAAACATCTTCGAAAAATCTCCAAACGAAATATTGGAGGGGTAAGTCGGCCTTTGTGCCTTATATTAAGATTATGCACGTCAGTTCTAAACGAAATTTTTTCATGTAGGTAAGGAGGGTTTTTTTCCATGATTATCTTGTGGAATAAAGTGGCAGCATGTAGTTTTCTCCTATTTTCCATGTCTAACCATCCGATAGTTTTCAATTTGTGAGATATTCTCTCTTTCTTTCGGATACCAAAAATAAATCGTAGGCATGAGTTCTGAACCTTTTGGATTTTTTGTTTGAACTGAACGGTTAAACATGGGCCATACAATACATCGGCATAATTGAAAACAGATAGGACCAAGGCTTCACATAATGTTGTTCTCACTTTAGGTGGTAAAAAATACTTGTTGCCATAAATAACTTTAAGTGAGTAATATGCACGATTGACAAGTTGAGCTACATGCTTTTCAAATCTCAAGTCTTCATCTAAAATTACCCCTAGGCTCTTCGCTTCATGTACTACCTCCAGTTGCTCATCATTTATCTTAATATTAGTGTGGAATCGAACAGTATCCCTAGTATGCTTGGGACCAAAAACAATGACTTTAGATTTACTATTGTTTATCATCAGACAATGATCAGAGGCTTTATCTACAAATGAGTTCAAATCACTATTTATTCTACTACAAGCATCATCCACCTTGTCCGAGGAAAAACTATAATATAGCTGTGTGTCGTCTGCATACAGATGGATATTACAAAACTGAAGGCATTTCATAAGCTGCGAAGTATAAATAGCGAATAGCAAGGGTCCCAAAATAGAACCTTGGGGTACCCCACAACGTAGATTTAAATATTGTGAGTGATTTCCATCGATAGAGACAATTTGTTGACGGTCATTGAGAAATGATCTGATTAAAGATACTGCACTGTTAGAAATTCCAATGTAACCCAATATTGACAACATTAAATTGTAATTGATTGTATCGAAGGCTCTACTGAAGTCTAGAAGAACTAGTATAGTGTTTTCACCCAAGTTACTGGATCTTATAATATCATCAACTATATGCAACAGGGCAGTTGTGCAGCTGTAACCTTTACGAAATCCAGATTGAGTATTCGGAAGTATGGAGAAATGGTTAATATGTTCTTTCAGTTGTTCCTCAATGGCTCTTTCAAGTAGCTTAGATAAAGTTGGTAATATACTTATAGCACGTAGATCATTGTAACTCATTGGATTCGCTTTTTTAGGCAACACCTTCACAAGTGCCCTCTTCCATACAGATGGAAAAATCTCATTCATGAGGCAAAAGTTGACAATATGCGTTATGTATGGAATAATATGTGGACAGCACATTTTAATAAGTTTTATGTTCAAAAAATCACTACCCATTGCATTTGATTTAATATTAGAAATAGTTTTGAATATGAACATATCATTTACTTCATGGAATTTGAAATCATGGTCTATCAGCTTATTTTCCCTATAAAAAGAAATGAGTTCTACAGGCGGCTCCTGAAAAGGAATAGAATTGACAAAGAAGTTGTTGAGTTCATTTGGATTTTTCAAATCGTCTGGAATATCACGTTTTTTATCGGGTAAAAAATTATTAGATTTTAACGTTTTCCAAAAATTTTTCTTATCATTCCTACTGAATTCAGAAGCGAAATAAGCTCTTTTTTCCCTCTTGACTGCCTGATTTGTGTAATTTCGCATGTCTTTGTAGAACTGAAAATGAGCTAATGATTTTGATTTTTTATATCTATTAAAAGCTTTGTCCCTTATTCCCATCATTTCTTTCAAGGTCCCTGTCAGCCAGGGAGCAGGCTTTTTAGTTATCCTTGATGTTGTTAATGGTGCATGTCTATCAAAAAGGTTCGTTAAACAATTAACCAGGAATGAAATTTTTTCATCGACTCCCTCTTGATCATAAATATTAAAAAAAGGTATGTTGTATAAGTCTCTACTGAAATCATATTCGTTCAGATATTTGAAGTTTCTACAGGTATGAAATTTGAATTTTTTTTCGCCAGTTATGATATTTATTTTACAATGAACCAACATGTGATCAGTTACCCCAATCACATCAACAACACCCTTGTCTATTACCCATTCCTTTTCAGTTACCACTACATCTAATAGGGAGGATGTGGTTTCCGTTATTCTTGTGTGGTTCTCTATTACTTGGCTCAAACCAAAGCATTGCATAACTGATAATATTTTTTCAACAGTGGCATTATCATACTGCGCGAAGTTAATATTTAAGTCTCCTCCACAAATAATTCTGTCCACCGAGGGATAAATTACACTCAATGTGTCTTCAAACTCATCAATAAAAGAAACGTCATCCTGAGCTGGGGGTTTATATATTACTCCAAGAGCTATTTTCGTTTTTTGTATCAATACCTTGATCCATAACTGTTCACAGCAGATGCCCTGGATATTGATTTTTTCACTACAGAAAAAATCCCTAATAAAAATGCATACGCCGCCACCTCTGGTGCGACGATCAAGTCTATATAGTTTGTATCCTTCAATATAAATCATATCATCACTTATATTATTTGTGAGCCATGATTCACATATGAGAAAAACGTCGAAGTCGTGTACTGAAGCTAATAATTTGATTTCTTGCAGTGATGGTAATAATGATCTAACATTCAAACTACCGACCCGTAGAAATGCAGGTGTCATGTTAACCAGATAATTCCCCTAAAAATATCAAGCTACCAAAATAATGATAATAAAAGTAAAGAGAAAGAAATAAAGAAAAAAACTAAGTGAAAAACAACGATAATGGCAAGTGAAATACCAGAGTATAAGCCTATTTGGGTGAGACTCAACTGCACGCATTACTGCTGGTTATAAAAAGTAACAATAATTATTAATAATCATGTGCAAAAATTTTCATTTCAATGTACGTGAATGGATTAAATGATTTTCTCCATATTGAAGATGATTGCGAAATATATAATGAATACAAAATAAATTAAATACATATTCACCGAGAAATATTGAAATAACCGCTAGTGTATTTGTATATATAAAGAAAAAAAAAAAAAAACACAAAAAAAAGGAAAGAAAAATAATCAGATTTTAGCTAGGTCTTCCATGGAGTTGATTTGATGGTGATTTTTATCAGTATCAAGCTTGATGAATAATTTCCCCTGGTTTGTCCATACTTTTCCAGTTTCTCCCACTCTTGAAATTGCAGCTTTCAATAATTTAATTTGTTCATATGTCAGGTCCTCACGTATGATGATTCCAGTTTTCTTCAGAAGTTTCTTATTATTGTAAACCATGTGTTTGTGATATCTATTATAAAATTTAACCATAATTGGCCTATTTGAATCGGCCACAAATTTTCCCGCTCTGTAGCAACTCTCAACATCCGATTCACTCACTTTCAATTTCATCCTTTCATTTATGATTTCCAAGATATTTTGAATACAATTTTCATTTCTGTTTTCTTTTACTCCATATATTCGAAGATTCTTGCTGCGTAAGGATTGTTCAAATTTCTCTTGTTTCCTTTCCATTCCATTTATTATTATATTTTGATTTGCTATGGTATCCTGAAGTTTTTCATTCTCTTTCTTGAGCGAATCAATTTCACGTTCAAACTTTTCACTTATGACTTTTGTAATTGACTTGCATAGAATGTTAATAGAATATATGGTCCTTTGAAGGAAAACTGATCTTATGACCTATTTTTTTTTTCAGGGACCAGTTGAATCATCAGAAGCTGATCCTTTAGGCCTAGTAAATGTGGAGGGTTGCTTCATGGTCACCATTTATGGAACCATGCTGGCGCTGATATTGGTTATAATTGAACACTTATGTTTCGTCAATAAAATCAGTAGACGTGCCAAGATTCCTTTCTGCAAAGTTTTTATGTCAGAGCTCAGAGCTTACCTGGATTTCAACAACAATACCAAGCCGAATATTACACAGAAAAACAGGGAAGGATCAGATGGAACGAATGGAAATGAAGGCAAAGAATGCTTCAAACAAAATGGAGATAGTAACAGAGACTCAAAAGATATGAAATCAAAGCGGGATTCCAAATCTGGGTCTCGTCCTCTCAATAATACTAGTTCGAGGTGTTGTACCTCTGTTCACTCAAGGTCAAGGTCACGTTCTATTTCGAGGCCACAGTCGAGCAAATCTAAAACCTCCAGGAGTAGTGGTAGAAAAACTCCAGCACCTTTCGGATTTGTTGTTCCATCTTCTGGTGATAATAAGTTTTGAAGAATTTTATACAAAATATTCGAGAATTCTTGTTTCAAATATGTGAGGTATCTCTGTCTCAATGATATTGTAAAACGTTAGGTAAAGTGGAAAATTCATTTGTGTACTCTGCAAAGCAGGAACTAGTTATAGCAATATCGCTTGTGATAATGGATATATTGATATAATATGAAGAAAGAGTAGTGAGAAATAATGTTGAAGGTATGAATCTATATTATTCTCTTTGGCTCGTGGACAATTTATTGTCTTTGTCTTTGCTGTTTGTATTTGAACAAAAAAATAGTGAATAAACCTTCTTATCATTCATTATTCTCGTTATTATTCCTATAGGGTGGTGGCACTAACTGCTACTATGATCAATATAACCACGCGTATTATTATTATTATGAGTACCTAATCAAGTAACGCCATTACAAACCAATCAATGACAAAATTAGGGTTATCAAATGAAATTTTATCATTGCCATATTTTAATTGTCACAGTTCTGTTCGAATGCACATACCATGCAATGATATCATCTATATTTATTTGACCTTTAATTATACTTATAACTAATACGATACACATTATTTCGCATTCGCTATAACATTATTATGATTAACCCGAATAAATTTAAAGAGGAAATGACAATTCACCGTACATATCCAGAGTTTTCTGAATGATTACCAGAATATTCATCATAATACGGTAGTATATCGAAAGTCGTTGAAAAGACACCATGTTTTTGAAGATATTTTTCACGGAATTAGTTTTTCTCTGTGCAACAACTAGTGGAGTGATACAACTCAAAATCGGTAAGTGTATTGAATTTCAACCTACCTAACCGTAGGGTATTGAAAAAATCATGTACAACCATAGAAATGCAATAGGTGCGGATTATACATCTATCTCTGTGTAGGATTCAATTTTTGTCATATATTAATCTACGCAAGTTTTTTGTATAATCTATTCACCTGCACAACTAGACAAAAGTTTCCATGATCAGAAGAGTATCCCAGAAATTATTGTAAAAAATAAATCTCAATTCTCTCTTTGACAATTCTCTTGAAAATCAATCTATAAGGCCCTACCACTGATCACCGTTTATATGTTCGTATTACTTAAGCCCTTTTAGTGAAAATATTTGCATTTTCATCTATAGTCAACCCTTAACAACGGGATTTGTCTTGAATTCGATTTCCTGCATAATTGTAAACAATTGTTATTGAATAAAAAATTGAGAGACATTTCGTTTAAGACCCACATTCCATTTGGAAAAGTATTCCAAAATAGTGTCCGGGCGCCATTTTGAATTATGATACATATATTTTATCGGGATCGGAAAGAACCGTTTAACTACCATTAGAAGAGGGGTTACTCAATGGACACAGTATACATATACAAGGTTTCCCGAAATTACATAGAATGATCTCAACCTGAAATAGAATAGAAGGTGAGCCCGAGATGATGTTATTTTCTAAATATTTGAGAAACCATCTGTGATGAAATAACCAAATTCAGTACATGTATCTGAATTTTTATACCGAATTAAAAAAATGTGATTTTTTTTTTGAAATTTTGATCAGAAGTGTGGGAAATAGGAGGGTCTAGGGACACTCCATCTCCCCCAACTTTTTATTTGTTCATGCAATTTTTTGAAGTTTGAACAGGAAATGAGAAAATATCATTATTTTCACTTGTAGATGGTACTTTTATTCAGTTTCGATAGTATTCATCATTTTCGAGATGAATCGATTTCAAAAGTCTGCTGCATAATGAAGATATTACTTTTTATCAATAGGGTAGGTACCTACCATATCATTCTCTTTATTGCACGCCCATATTTGAAATCAAAGATGTTAAAATAATGGGTATTTTCCATTAAACCATGATTTTTTAATGAACCGATTCCCTATTAAGAAAAAAGCACCATTTTTGTTACGTAGCAGGAAATTAAAATCGATTCATCTAGAAAATAATAAATGCTATCGAAACTCAACAAAAGTGAATTTTTATGTGGAAATGTTGATATTTCCATATCCCCTGGACAAACTTCCGAAAATTACATAAACAAAAATGTTGGGAGAAGAAGTGCCCCACCTATTTCTCGCGCCCCTGATCAGAATTTCGGAAAATTCTTAATATTTCCAAATTGGGCAAGAAAACTTCGGTGAAAGTTCAGAATTTGGTTATTCCATCATAAAGTGTATCGAAAATATTAAGAATAATATCACGTTGTTCTAAATATTCGAGATAATTCTGTCGCTTCCTTGTTCACGAAAGTGTGTTGCCGAGCAACACCACGAGTCCGTAGGACTTGTGCTAATGCTGTACGACAACACAACTGAGTTACCACTGAAAGACATAATTATGATGAGATATTCAGAACAGAGTGTTATTTTAGACTAGACTAAACTATTTTACGTTCACGAAGCATGGGAAGCATTCATTATGAATGAATGATTCATTCTGGCAACTACAGCTATGTAATCATTTTTTTCCAAACTGACAGATTTTGTATAGATATATAGAAATTTAACTGGTGCGCTTGCTCCCTATTGAAGGTCGTTTGCAAGTTTCTCGATGGCGCCTACTCTGATAAACCTTTGATAAACATACTTGACGTGGGTAAATCTCGCTAAGCTCATCCTGGTTACAATCCATATTCACAGAAAACATATTACCGACCGATAAATATTTGGATACGTATATGATTTGGATCAGAGCAGTGAACTGATTTCTGATCAAAGGATCAAAACGTCAATATGTCAAAAATATTCTTGAGCTGAAAAAATGGTTATTTTTTAAATTGGGGTCAAGTGTTGTTAGGGAAGTGTTCCCTAATATATAGTATAATACCTAATCCACCATGGAAAAAAGAAAATCTCTGTTCTACAACAGTATTATTTCAGTGATTTGAAATATTAGCGTGAACTGGTGTGAATAAATTCTAAGGTGAGTACCAGTTACCATATCTGCTAATCATGATTTTCGATATTGGTCTATTTCATTCTTTGTTCTGGTTCTTCAAAGAGGAAATTCATCAGATTTCATGCTTTAAATAGGTTCATGTCATGAAAGAAGTGAAGCTTATTAAAATCGGCTACAAAAAATATTTCTTGCTTCTATTTCAAATTGAAATTTGAATGAAAATGTTGAGCACAGTATTTATTCGGCCACAGAACAATGATGGAAATAGATTCATCCCTCACAGAACCAAGGTTTTGAACGATTTTCCGATTATGGCGCCTCTATCGTCAAATACCTAAACCCCACGTACAAAACTCGCTTGCAATTGTTCCATATCGAGAGTTGGTCTGACGAAACAATTGAAGAGTGAGCCCACCAGTTGAATTTCTATACATCTCTGTTACATCGTTGAAAACACCAACGCTGATAGACAAGTTGTCTCTGGCTTGTGATGAATATGTGATGAGTGAAATAGCCACATGAAACCATCATCTCGGACCCTCGTTTAGCTGTCCATAACTCCCCAGAAGTCCATTTGTTCCAAGAATCTGTTGTTGACATCTCTCTATGTAATTTCGAAACACCCTGTATAGTTCTATTTTGTAGCTGGAGTTTTCGACAGTTTTCAACTGCACCAATCCGCTTTTGTCTTCTCGAACGAGCTGAAGGACATCGACAAGGGGTCATCAGATCTCCAATTATCGCCAGTAGTGAACATCAACATCTTCCCAGATGACCCTTTCTCAGCCCTTCAAGGCACTTGCTCATTCCTGAGACAAGGGGTGGTGGGAATTTTCGGACCCCAGTCCAGTTCCAACATAGACATAATCCAGTCCATAGCTGGCAGGAAGGAGATACCTCAAATTCTAACGAGATGGGTGAACCCTTCCCAAATGGGCCCCGATACGATAAATTTTTATCCTAGTCCCCGCAAATTGGCGTCTGCTTTCGTGGATATCATCAGGAAACTGGAATGGAGAAGTTTCACAATCCTTTTCACGAATTTCGAAAACCTTATGAAGATCACTGATTTCATCAAGCAAGCTGAAGACGATGGTTGCATAGTTTATCTTGAAAACATCGATCCTGATCATTCTGGCAACTACAGGTGAGACTTGCGTGTCCCTAGAAGGTCTTTACAAAAACCTACCAAATATTCCTCAGACCAAAACAGTTAGATTATGGCATATTTTTACAAATCGTTTTTCCTTCATATCGTTTAAACGAGTCACCAGTATACAACTAAAGCTGGTTGATTGACTTATTAAAGAATTAGTACTTCACGATCCGGTTTTATGGGTAATCAAATATTCGAGAGAAAGAGAGCTGTATCAATTTTTCCGAACTTTGTATACTTTTATACTTCCCTGATGGCTATTTGCCACGTCAAACATTGAATTATATCTGTTAAATATCCAAACAAAGAGCATGAAAAATCAAAATCCGCTGTTGAGAATTGACATCTCTCAAATCGAATAAAATAATTTGATGTATTATGATATAAAAATATAACTAACCAATATTTTCAGTATTGAAATGAAAATTGAAATGTATAGGAGAAGTATACTTGTATGAACTCTGATCTTGATGAACTTGGAACTTCCAACAAATTCATTCGTATCAGTGATATGTGAATTATATCTCTCACAAACAGGTTATATAACTTCACTCGAATGAAACTGATTTCGGATATCAAATCCTCATCAGTAACCTGAAGTCCAGTTATTCTTTCAGCCATTCCTCATGATATACACGATTTTCATCTCCCAATAATATACCTAAAACTATAACGAACTGACATCTGAGAATTAATACAGGACGTGGATAGAAATTCTGATATTCTGATATAATACAATGTTCGACGTGGCAAATAGCCAGGAAAGTAGTTGTTTTCTGTTGAATATTCAGAATGATATTCTTCTACTTTATATGAAGGAGAATGCAAATTCTCTACTCCAGAAGATTTTGTTTTCAAATTCTTATCGTGTGTCTTCGATAGTAGTATATATAGCCAGGAAAGTAGTTGTTTTCTGGTGAATAAACCGAGAAAGAATTATTATTTCCATCACATGGAGAGTTCGAAGTCTCAATGTGTGGTCATAATTATATCTGAAAATATTCCTCTTCAGTAATTGGTTTCTGATTGACGTCAATATCTTCTTTTCAGAAGAAGTGAGAAGTGTTTCAAGAAAGTATGGATTTTTTGAATTTGCGTAACCTACATGAACTCATCGATTGACAACTCGAAAAATCATCAAAAAATGGATCACTCATTTCCACCCTGTTTTTTGATCGATTTACAGCATATTCAACCGCCGTGGCATCAAGTCGAGCAAACTTCTCAATTAAACTTGAGCAAATTTCTCAAGCAGACTTGAGGAATTGCCACGAATTATCACTAGAGTCTAGCCATAGCACTATAATAGCGAGGTAATATTGTGCCTGGATCGCTAGGAGCGAGAACCAGAAAATTTCCGGTCGAATGTTTCGCTCACGGCCGATCCTAAAAAAAATCATTGAAATAGCGACTCACTATCGGCCTCACCAGTAAATGCATCCACAGTATTTCTTTCGATTAATCACTTCGAAAAAAAAAAGATTGAAACAGATTAGCTGGAGTAAGGATTCGACCCCGGCATCTCCGTTCGGACATGAAGGAACGCTTCTCAAATGACCACCACGCTTCTAGCAGATCAATAGTACATTATACATCAAGGGACAGAAATACCAAGATTTTTTCCAAGGTGCGATTTGTAGCTCGAGGGCGACAAGTACTGTCAGAGAACGATCAACAACAATCATATAAGTAAAGTACAGGGTAATGAATTAATTATCACAATGGTGCTATGGCTAGGCTCTAATCAGATACTCCTGGAAGGGTGAATCGTAGCTCTTGAAGAGTGTCCGGTAAGGCCGGGTGAAGGCGATTGAGTCTCTGATGGAGTTCATCCCAAAGATGCTCTATAGGTTCTGAAGTATTGTTGATAAAGAAGATATTAACGTGAATCAAAAATCATTATGTTGAGGATGGATCACACTTCAATCCAAACCATGATGAAGCTAGAATAAACCACTCACCTTAGCCACAGGGCGTTAAGAAGTTGAGGATGTAAGAGTCACTCCTGTTTTTCTCTGTATAATGATCAAGCGATCAGTTATTTTTTAAGAATCAAAATTCAGGTTAATACTCCGAAACACAAAACCTTATGTTTTGTGCTGATTTCTCCAGAATCGGACAAGTATTTAAAAAGTTACTTCAACAACTTATTACAGGCAAATTTTGCGAGAAGTGATGAATAATGGCCAGACAAATTTCATTCTGGACTGCCCAATCCAGGAATTGGTGGAAGCTTTGGCACAAATCCAGCAAGTTGGGATGCTCACCAAAGACTATAATTATATTTTATCAAATCTTGATGCACACACCAAATCAAATAGTGGAGAAATGGATATTTTCATGCACAGCGAAGCGACCATAAGAGGGGTACGTTTGTTTTCATTGATATTAACTCTGAAATGCTAAAAGTTTATACTCTTCATGTTCAATGAATTGAAATCCAATTGATATGGAGCATTCGAGTGCACATAGAATTTTGTCAATACATTCAGTTCCAAATTTTCCATGAATTAGTTTCAGTTGAATGTGTATATATAACGCACAATAGTCGATTTTGGCAATACAAAACTTAGTATTGAGCAACGAATATTTCCTGAACCCGAAATTTTAAGATTGAACTCACCGTTTCCGAGTAAATAGGTTTTTATTACGTTCGCGAAAACGATCTTCGGATGTGCCTGTTTTTTGGAACACTTTATAGGACTCATATGAAAATCTTGGTTTGAAACCATGAAGGTCAATGAGGTCAGTTTTCCTGTGAAAAAATTCCTAATATGATTTCATAAAAAAATTACCCCTCTTCATTTCAATAAAAACGCATGGCATGATGATCGTCTCTGAAAAACAGACCACTTTGACGATTATTCATACCGGTCCAAATTTGGTCAATATCGCACGACTATTAGTTGAGATTCACTGGAAAGGAAGGCGTTTGAAACGAGACTCGCTGTATAAAAAAATCGTTATGTCCATTCAGCGCCTCAGTAGATTTCTGCTTTTACTACTAACAGTCCTAATCAGAGAAGTCCTACCTAATGAACGAAGCGAAAACCCTGGAACGTCTAAACAGCTTCCAATATGGCTAGAGAGATATCCCGATCATTTTCAGGTACATCTTGTTAATCCTCAAGGTGAGCAGTCTATGAGAGTCAGCAAAGAACTTTGCTATTTGTATAAAATTACCTTCAATGATGAATGTAGCACCCTTCCAAATCATACACGCGAGATGGACTTCGAAACAGCTTCCATCATAGACGCTGTTCATGTATTCAAAGATGCCTTGCATTCAGCTGGTGTCACAAAAGGCCAATTTATGGACTGTAATGACACGGAAACATGGGAACATGGAGCTACAGTAATTAATATTTTGGAATCAGTAAGTTCAATCTATAGCGGCTCGTTTTCACCATCTTAGGATCGCTACTCAAATATTTGCGAGGCATTTTCAGAGAGATGTTTTCTTGTAGGGTTCCTATAGAGGTCTTACCGGTACAATAGAGTTCGGTGACGATGGATTCAGGAGTACATTTGAACTCACAATTTACAAACTACAAGGGAATCTCACAGAAATAGGAACCTGGAATACAGTATCAGGTTTGGACATGGATTTGGAGATGAAATCGGAGTTGGTAGAAGGGGAAGAAGATTTGACCGACAAAACTTTGATTGTTATGATCACCTTAGTAAGTTACTGACGACCAACATGATTTTGTCAAACCATTCTGAAGAAGGTTTTGCTAATACTTCATTTACCTTGAGAAAGGCATATTCTCCGAATACTTTTTGCCCTCTCGCTATTAGTAGCGTCATATAATATGTTCTCGGTTCTTCAAGCACCAGCCCAATTTGGGAAAACTCTCATCAACGATTGATAACAGTGACTCAGCTGTTGTTTCCAATTTCAGACAGAACCATATGCTATGTTGGTAGAGTCCCCAGATCGCCTGATTGGAAATGAAAAATATGAAGGCTTCGCAATCGATTTGATAGATGAAATAGCCAAATATATAGGTTTTCAATTCGTTCTTGTTGTTAGAAGTGATAACAATCATGGAGTATTCAACCCTCAATCTGGAAAATGGACTGGGATGATTGGAGATATAATTGAAGGAGTAAGAAATTCGATTCAAGTATCACAATATTTCAAAACTAAAGCTGATGAATTTATTTTCATCAATTGAAAATCCTATTTGTTGTTTGCAGAAAGCTGACCTCGCGATATCTGATCTTAGCATAACCAAAGATAGAGTTGATCCAGTTGAATTCACTCAACCATTCATGAATACAGGTTCGTTTTATATTGTTTTCCAGATCAATTTGAAATATCTCCAGCTCCTTGTAGTATACCACAAAATACAGAAGAATCTCTTCACTTTCAGGTATAGGTATTCTCTTTCACAAACCAACAGAGTTTCCTGTATTTTTCCACTTTGCCCAACCATTTTCCAAGCAAGTCTGGATAGCTTTGGGACTGTCATATTTAGCTGTAACATTAACATTATTCATTATCGGTAGACTTACTCATAGTGAATGGGAACCTCGAGGATCTCAGATCAATGGGCAAATTTTGGAAAATCAGTTGACTCTCTGTAACTCGATGTGGATTGCAGCAGGCAGCATCTTCAGACAGAATACTGGTGTTAGATTGAAGTAGGTATTCACTATTCAAATCATATAAATCTCGAATGTTTTTCTTCATTCGAGGGTAGTTTTTAAAATCAAGACAATATTTGGATTCATAATTTTTATATCATCATTTTTGTACATATCGAACATAGGAATGGCATATGTATTTTAGCAATGCTTTCATAGAGAGTAACTTCCATTACATGTATATTTATACAGTCTGTCCAAGATAAGGTTGAACAGCATGGGGATCTCGAAAACGGTAAGAGATACGAAATCGGTTAAATGGGGAAAAAGTTGCGCATTCGGAGGTTCATATCAAGAGCCTTCGAAAATTTTGAAAATTATTTTTAGTTTTTGAGTTATATCGAAAAAAGTGAATTTTTGGAATTTCTATTTTTTTTTTCTTCGTTATTATTAGAGATACAGAAAAACAGAAAATACTTTTTCATAGCAACTTTTGATGACGTTTACCGTGGTGATACCGAATTTTTTATGCAACGTTTCTTATTCGTGGAACCATCATCAACTTTTGTTTTTTAAATACGGTCCTGATGATTTTTTCACAGATTCTGAATGGTTTTTTAATTCTGAATTCAACCATGTATTATACAAATTGGTTTATGTGTGTTTCGACCTATTTTCAGCCATCATCAATGTTTTTTCGAAATTCCAAAGAGAAATGCCATCAGTTCCACTTATTTTGAAGGAAAATTAGTCAACACACTAATACCTCATCAACTGGTTTCAATCAACAAACAATTTCATTTTGCGGAAACAAAAATTCCGTCCATAAAAATTCAGAATATGTCAAGCGCTAAAACCAGGCGATGATGAAAGGCGCAGGACATTCTGTGAGTGGTATACCAGGAAATGTTAAAATTTTGCAGATTTCTATCGAACAATCATCTGGACTGATGAAAGCATGGTCACTAATCATGGTAGCTTCGATAGAAATAATACACATTATTGTTCACAAGAAAATGAACATTTATACATTACAGAGAGACACCAACACCGCTTCGGCTTCAATATGTGGGTTGCAATATTTGGTACACGAATTATTGTTCCTTCTATTTACCATGAAACACAGACTTCTGAACGTTATAGAAATTCGCTTGAGAATCATCTTGAGGAAGCTCTGGATGATTTACCGATTGCGGAAGTTCAGAACTGTTGGTTTTAACAAGATGGCGCTCCGGTACATAATTCCAGAGAAGTCCGTGCGTTTTTATCCCTTGGCCGGCGCGGTCGCCTGATTGGACACAGCTGGATTTTTTCTTAGGGGATATATCGAACTTTGTACACGCAAATAACTTTGATGATGAAGAAGAACTAAGGGACAATGTCTTCGAAGCATTCAATAGAATAACCCCAGAAATGCTTAGCGATGTCTTAGAAGTAACTGTGAGAAGAGCATATCTTTGTTCAGAAAATAATTGTTATCATTTTGAACATTTGTTATGAATGTCTCTGTAGGTATTGTCAAAGTTAAGTTGTTAAAGTAATTCGTGTAAGAATTCATCAACAATTTTAAACGCTGCATTGATCGAATGATGTAGTGAAATATTTTTTATTCACTTATCAGTATTGAATAACTAATCCATCAAGTTCGACACTAAATGATCAGAAATAAGTGGAAATGATGGCATTTTTCCTTTGGAAGTTCGAAAAAACATTGATGATGGATAGAAATTGGTCGAAACACATTCGAATCACCTTCCATAGTACATGGTTGAATTTCAGAATCTGTGAAAAAATTATCAGGACCGTATTTAGAAAACAAAAGTTGATGATGGTTCCACGAATACGAAACGTCGCATAAAAAATTTGGTATCACCACGTTAAACGTCATCAAAAGTTGCTATAAAAAAGTATTTTCTGTTTTTCTGTATCTCTAATAATAGCGGAGAAAAAAAATAAAATAGAAATTCCAAAAATTCACTTTTTTCGATATAACTCAAAAACTAAAAATAATTTTTAAAATTTTCGAAGGCTCTTGATATGAGCCTCCGAATGCGCAACTTTTTCCCCATTTAAGCGACTTCGTATCTCCTACCGTTTCCGAGATCCCCATCATGCTGTTCAACCTTATCTTGGACAGACTGTATATATATTTTTTTCTAGTTCTGTTCCAGCCAATATAGTTTCAATATGTTGGCGTGCCGTATGCTTCATAATTCTGGCGATGTTTATTGCATATTCTGCGTCTGTTGATATCTATATAGAAAAAGAAGTACTTTTCAACGACGTCAATGATTTGGTTGTGAATGCAGAAAATCATAATATCAAATTTGGAGCTTTGAAGGGAGGTGCTACACAATCATTTTTCAAGGTTGGTATTCAATCGTATAATTAACATCCATAAACTTCTATTATCTATTGTTATAATCCACAACTTTCTAAAATCGTTATAGGACAGCTTTAAACCAAGAATATTCATTTCAGAATTCCAAATCACCAGTTTATGAAGAAATATCCAATTATATGGATGAACATCCAGAGGACCTATCAGTGTCGACCAGAGAAGGTATAGAGAGAGCAGAAAATGAACATTATGCTTTCTTCATGGAGTCTGCTACTATCGATTATACTATAAAGAGACATTGCAAGTTGGCAAGTTACGGTGGATTGTTGGACAGCAAAGGATTTGGCATTGCAGTGAGAAAAGGTTTGTTTTTACGCCGGCGGGAGTGGAAGTTTCCTCTGGTAACAAAAGAGGGGCAGAAGTCTCGTATTATTCCCTAGGGAGATAATGTGACATATTTTCTCCCTAGGGACTTCACATTTTCTGCATAGCTCTGCGCTTTCTTTTCGGAACACCTTTATCTGGTAACAAAATAGGGGCAGAAGTCTCGTATTATTCCCTAGGGAGATAATGTGACATATTTTCTCCCTAGGGTGTTTGTACCATACATTTTCTGCATAGCTCTGCGCTTTCTTTCCGGAACACCTTTATCTGCAGCGAGTATAAACTGCATCATACAGATTTCTAGATCTCACTGGTAGCATATCAAGAGTCTTTGCAGAAGCAATATCAATAGTTTCTTGGGGTTTTCCCTCGATTTCTTGTTCCATAACCGTTAATCATTTTCAAAGCTGTTTTCATAAATTTCAGTTTGATATTTGCTGTCACCATGGGTTGTCAACAAGATGCATGTTGTCAAGATACGAATTCCACAAACTATACTACTACTAATTATGATAAAACACTTCGACCAAATTTTTATTATTTCTTTATTTTTGTGTTTCCGCGTGCATAAAAAATAGTATATACACCTCTGGATAGAATGCTATTTTTCCCTCGGTGCTTTGTTTCTCTCGGGCTTCGCCCTCGAGCTACTTATCGCACCTTGGAAAAAATCTTGCATTTTTGTCCCTCGATGTATAATGTACTATTATTACTTCTTGGAGCAATCGAAAAAATTTTGGGATTCTTCGAAGCTATTGAATATACAGATTCTGAAAGATATTTTCTACTGTTGTTACCAAGTGATTCCTTCACATAGGAGCAAAATATATTTCCCCACTGCTACTGACAAACGTTCCCAATTGCGATTCTGATAATTTCATCATAATAAGCATCAATCTGAGAAGTTAATAGCGTCATATATGTATTATAGGGTCACCTCTTTTGACACCTCTCAATAGGGCAATTTTGAAGCTGCATACATCAGGGGACATAATGAGGATCAAACAAAAATGGTGGGAGGAGAAAAACATTGAAGAAGCATGTGAGGTAGGTACGATATGGTATGATTATTATAAACCAGATGCACGAAAATTAATTAAACATTTACTCAGAAAATATGATACGATAAAACATGTGAAAATGTGAATTATTCGTTTACTTATATCATTCTATCCAAAGGATTAACTATGAACAATTGATTATTGTTTTTGCTAGAAGTCAATTTGTTCTAATGGTGAATGATTGAAAAAACTGCATTGAGAATGTTTGTGATGTCTTTATATCAAATTATGGCGTACTTTGAACCTTGACCAATGATTTCTCTTGAAATTTCCGATAAGACAGTACTATCAATGAAATTCAAGAAATGCTATCTTTGAGTGAGAATTGGTTCGAGTTTGATTGATTTGTGAAACTTATGTCTTCAACGATACATCATTTTCTGATTCATGTTTTACTAACACGAAAAATTTAAAATTTCCAATTGAACTAACATGCGGTATTGCGTTCTAATTCTGAATATGGGTATTCTCCCACAAAATTGCTGTGTACGATTCCGACGAATGCAGAATTTTTCTGATGGTCTAAGAAAGTGTTTGGGATCACACGTTGAAAAGAAAAGCCCCCGTCATTCCTTGCTCGCACAAGTCTCTTGAGGACTTCTGAGGGTTGTTCGGATGACGGACAAGAACAATTTAAAACAATATTGATGAAATGACCTGTATTCCAAACCAGCGAAAAGAACATTCCGCGAATTTGCGATATGAACGTGAAGTAGATCATACTTTCTTCAATGAGATGTCAGGAATACAAAAAAAGACGATTTGAAAAGTTGACATAGAGGAGAATTCAAGGTTGTAGTAAATGTCAAACACGATGTTATCTCGCGGAGTATATGCGGACTACTACAGTGTTGAAATTATTCATTCCGGAAAATGCAGAGTTGCCGTTTTCAGTACTATTGTACTTTTCTAGTACATTTCATACACACTGAGCATGTCAATACAATTAACACTAATCTATTACAAAAATAGTGCCATGGGATAGCCCAAGCTATTATTGCATAAAAAACATTTATTCATTATTCATAATTTCCTATTCAACGGAGAAACAATTGATGAATTTAGTTGACTTAGAAGTTTGAGTAATCTATTTTATGTTATTCATAGTTCGATCGAGGTTTGATAGTATATTTGATCTCAATCTATAATCTGATCTGTTCATTTTCATCCCTCATTTTCGGCTATTATTAGTAATAATTGTTTCATGATCTTCGTTTTTCAGAGGTGTTTCTATGTGCTGTTTATTATTATTCCAAATTTTCATTTTATTTTATTTTCTGAAACGGTAACACTGACGTCTCAATAAAATAAAAATATGAATAAAATCGACATATCCGAGTATTTCCAAAAACAAACCCCTGAATTTGAAATGAATGTACCCCAACCCATGCAACCGCAATGAATATTCATCATATCCATTAATTTCAGGATACCGCTGACCAAGAACCCACTGAAAAGGACCTGGTTCACCTTCAGGGACTTTTCTGGATAACAATCGTCGGTACGATTTTTTCGCTGTTCTGCGCCATAGTCGAGTTCATTGTCCACGTCCGAAGTCTCAGCAAGAAATCGAATCAGCCTTTCGGATCCACGTTTTGTCGAGAGCTGAAAGGAAGCTTCAGATCGAGAAGAATAGCTGACCACAATAATTCAGAGTTGCATGTTAAGTCTGAAGATGAAAGAAATACGACAACCGAATCGGTTGAATTAATTTAATGAATTCAAATAAATATATACTCAACTTGTCTTTTCATGCACGTGTATAGGTAGATTTATTTCTTCCAAACCAAAATGAATTAGATCATGTCTCGACATTTCTGACAACCAATTCAAAATTTCAATTTCAGTCATACATGTTCGTCATCAATCAGAATAGTATATTGTTTAACGAGCATGGAATAATGATGCAATCATTCGAGTAGGAAATCTGTATTCCTTGCAAGGTATACACTATAATTTTTCTACGGCTATAATAGATAACAGCGGCATTTTCGATTTTTTCGTCTTGTAGCCATCTGATTTCCTGTCAAGTAATGCTCATCTATCAGACAGAGCTGTCATTGCTTGAAATTTGACATTCCATGGGCGATTAGTTTTTTTGAAATAATAACACAATGGAGTCATTGTGATATCAGATATACGGAAATAAAATTGATGACATACAAAGTACCTCATTGATGTATCGAACACAGTAAAACAAGTGAGGTACCTAGTTTTTGAAAGATGTAGTTTTCATTAGGTATTAGATTTAAGTATAGAGGTCAGATAATTTATACGACGCTATAAAAGCAGATGATATTTTATCATTGCCCATGTAAGATGGAAGTTGAGGCCATGGCACCAAATCATGAGCATATTTTTATATTGAAACTATCATTGGGCACCAAAGATGTGTATACGACGCTATGAAAGTTCAGAGAACTGGAGATTTTTCCCACAAACTACGTACTTAGCCCACTCGGCTGTCTTGGTTTTTCCACACAAACTACGTACCTAGCCCACTCGACTGCCAATAGGGACTGAAAAAACAAAAACGAAAGAAAGTTAAAACTTTGCCAACATATTTGTTCTTCGTGGGAAATCAAGACAGTCGAGTGAGCTAGGTACATAGTTTATGGGCAAAAAATTTAGACAGTCGAGTGAGATAGGTACCTAGTTTATTGGCGAAAAATAAAGACAGTCGAGTGAGCTAGGTAAGTAGTTTATGGGAAAAAAATCAAGACAGTCGAGTGTGCTTTTTTTACTTTCTTTTGTTTTTTGTTCCGTTTTCTATTGGCAAGTGATTATCTAGGAACTTGTAGATTTGTTAGTTTTTTCATCGTATCTCCCGAACTATTGAATTCAGAGAAAAATGTTATACAAACTTTTTGTAGATTCTTTCAAAAGGATTAATTTTGGTTCAATAACATTTCCAGATATTTTCAGTTGTTTTCGAGATATTTGGAATTATCTGAGAATAAAATTTTCAACACTTTTGTTCCATCTTCCAATCAACGAAATGAAAAAATATTTCATTGTTCAGTAGAAGTCGATGAGCTTCATCTATCGATAATCTTTGTTTTTCAATATATCTTCATAGTACCCTATAGGTCGTTAACATTTTTTTGTTCATATTTTTCACTTTATTTCCTGTACTATTGGGTTTACAAAAAAAATTATGAGAAATAATTTGTAGGAAATGTTCCAGTGGATAACTTTGCACTCCTAATAATTTTCGATTTTTCCATTTGTTTTCGATATATATTGAATTGAAAGGATTTCAAATTTTGATGTTTTGATTTTCATTTTGTTTTTCCATTTTCCGATGGATACACGAAAAAATGGTTGAATAATAATTTGTTGCGTCATCAAAGAGGCATACGGTGCATTTTTCAAATTTGGATTTAGTCCATTGGTTCTGAAGATATGTCGTTTTAAAGCGAACCGTGTTTTTCGGAAAATCTCCTTGAAAAACCCACTTGGAATTTCCCGAACCTGCTCAATTTCAATAGGCTTCGTCTCTGCCTAATAGAGTTTTTTTTCACAAAAAATGAAATCGATCGGACCACTTTTGCGATTTGTAGAGTGATTACAAGAAACTTCCGGTGAAAAATCGAAAAAACCCGGAAAAACCACCTTAGAGTTTTCCGATTTCCTTCATATTTTAATGACATAATATTGTTTTGAGTACAATAAGATGGCAAAATTTCAAGTCGATATGTCAAAGGGTTCCGGAGATATATCGATTTATGATTAACACAGAGTACAGACAGACAGACAGACAGACCACACACAAAAACCAAAGTTGCTCAAAATTCGATGGGGATCATTTTCTCCAAAGCAACTATACCTCTATCTCGCTTAGTTTCCGAGATAGCATTTTTGGCACGGCCGTAGTATACTCCACTATGTATAGCGTCGTATAACAAGAGCAATCTTGTGTTATTGCCGTAGAAAAATATCACTTTGAAAGTATAAAAGATACAAAATTGGGCCCAACACTGATCCTTGGAGGAATTCTTCGTTTATATACAGTGTGTCCCACTTACCATGCTCACCATGGTTATTTTTTTAACGGTGAGAGATACGAAGTCGGTTAAATGACACCAAATGTGGAGTTTGTCAAGGCCAACTATAATGTGAAAAAATATTTTGATAAAATCTATTCGTTTCTGTTTTATACGCAAAAAAATAGATTTCGATCATTTTCATGTCTCCTCCGTAACTTCTTTATTTATGAAAATATTCGAATAGAAATTTCACATTCCCATGGCAGTTTTTCAAAGTGATTTCGAAAAAAATATGAAATTCATACCATTTCTTCTAGAATTTGAGATATCAGCACCAACTTTAGTTCTACAAATGTAGGTCATAGCTCACTATGAATTAGTTACAAATAGCTTTTTTTTTCTCTTACAGACGATATGTCGCAGTAATAGTTTTGTGTTGATAACAACGGAGTTATCGTCATTTATACAAAACCAAGAAATTATTTGGAAGCCGCCATCTTGAATTTATGAATTTTAACAAAAAAATTCATGATCTCCGGCCTCAAAATCCTCCACTCACCAATTTTGAATGGAATCGGACCAAATCTTGTCCGCCATCTTGGAGCAGCCATTTTTTTAATTTCAACAAAAATTCCATAATGTATTGTCACCGAAATTATGAACACCTGCCAAATTTCAAGTTAATCGGAGTTATGGAATTTTTGTTGAAATTAAGAAAAATGGCTGCTCCAAGATGGCGGACAAGATTTGGTCCGATTCCATTCAAAATTGGTAGATGGAGGTTTTCGAGGTCGGAGATTTTTTTGGTCAAATTCATAAATTCAAGATGGCGGCTTCCAAATAATGTTTTGTTTTTGTATAAATGACGATAACTCCGTTGTTATCAACACAAAACTATTACTGCGACATATCATATGTAAGAGACAAAAAAGTTATTTGTAACTAAGTCATAGTGAGCTATGACCTACATTTGAAAAACTAAAGTTGGTGCTGATATCTCAAATTCTAGAAGAGTTGGTATCAATTTCATATATTTTTCGAAATCACTTTGAAAAACTGCCATGAGAATGTGAAATTCCTATTCGAATATTTTCATAAATAAAGAAGTTACGGAGGAGATATGAAAATGATCAGAATCTGTTTTTTGCTTATAATACAAAAACGAATAGATTTTATCAAAATATTTTTTCACATTATTGTTGGCCTTGACAAACTCCACATTTGGTGTCATTCAACCGACCTCGTATCTCTCACCGTTTAAAAGATACCCATGGTGAGCATGGTAAGTGGGACACACTGTATAGTATTTCAGATTCACAATTATTGATTCAAGTACTGATAGTCCTTTTTTCTAGATATGTTTTCAAAAGATTGTTTCCAATACCTCTGATGCCCATTGGATTGAGGTTTTTCAGAAAAATATTGGGGTCAACTGTCTATCTCAAATCAGCAATATGTTCTTCTAAATCTTGTGTCAATGCCTCGACTTGTTTGCCCAATATATTCAACTGAGTCAGAACATCGAATATGCTCACTTGAAAGCACTTCCTCACATTTAAGGATATTTTCTTCATCTTCTGGTTCTTCTGGAAATTTCATCAACTGTCGATTCTCAAATGAAACAACCAGTTCTCCATTTCATTATCGGTTAGGGATTATTATAACGAATTCCACAACGCCAGGTTTGATTGGAAGATATTCGCGTTTGAAGTTTCCGTCAGCTCAATAGGTGTGACGGCGCAATATCGAAACTTCTTTCTGTCACACTAATTAAGCTTAAGGAGCCTTCGAAAATAATCACTAACCGATTATGGAATGAATTACATGGTGTTCCATTTGAAAATCGAAAGTTGATGTCATTTCCAGGAAATCCAAGAGATGAAAAACAAATCTAATGAGCATATTCTATGTTCCCAATTTCAGAAATATAGCTAGAAAAACAAATGAGAAAAGGGGGGTACACCATGAGTCAGTGTCAACCGGTATACAAAGTGACTCGCGACTCGCATCATCGTTTATTCCTGAATTTCGACGCTCTTCACTTTCCATTTTATTCTGTTTGGTTTGAAAGGTAGGTGGACTATTATACTCATGTCTGAACGATTTTCGAGATCGACTTAAATTTTAATCTATTTTCATGAAGAAAAAGCCGATTAATACTAGATTCTCATTCCCTTATTCTTCCTAATAATTAGTTTCCTGATACAAGTGGTGAATCAATTTATTATGTAACTTAACAAGTGAACTATTCATCGGGGTTGATCAATTTATACTTGAACGTAGGATAAGTCCTCAATCTCAGCAGCTCTAGTTCAGTCTGAAGAACAAGCATTTCATTATGATTCTGCTGGATAGTATGTACCAAAGAATTCCTCTTGAATAGATCATCCATTCTGAAACAAAATATATCTCATGTGAACATAAATCATTTGATGTCAGTACGTATTCACAGAGTAACTTCATATTCAAACATCCACAAACATCTCAGAAATGGATAGAGTCATATCTGTCAGGTCGAAGCCAAATTGTGAAAACGACAACATACTCCAATGAGTCGACTGTAGAATGTGGTGTGCCTCAGGGGTCTATAATCGGACCAACGCTTTTTTTACTGTACATAAATGACTTAGCTAGAGCTAACATTTCAGGAAAAATAACGCTGTTCGCGGATGATAGGAGTATTTTCTGGCATAATGAAAATGCCGAAACACTTTTTGATATTATCAAGGATGACATGTCTGAGGTTAAAAAATGGTGTGATTCGAATCAGTTGGTGATGAATTTGGCATAAACTAATATGATGTCATTTAGAGGTGAATTAAACGAGCTAGTCATGGGTAATGACGTCATAAAAACCACCAATAATACCAAATTTCTAGGTATTCAAATAGATTTCAGATTGAAATTTGACGAATATGTTAAGATTTTGAACAAAAAATTGTCTTCTGGATGTTATGCGGTGAGACTAACATCAAATGAATTAGGATTTTCTTCTTCTAAGGTTGTTTACCACTCCTTAGTTGAATCTCATTTAAGGTATGGAATTCCATTCTGGGCGGTGTGTAATGATCATCTCATAAACCCAGTTTTTATATTGCAAAAACGCGCAGTAAGATATATTCGTGACCCCTGCAAACCCCTTTTTATTAAACACAAAATTTCAACAGTTCATGCGATCTTTGTCATGGAAACGGTGTGCTTAATAAAAAAACATCTAGGAAAATTTTACACTACCTCTGCACACCATGCCACCCGACAAGCAGGTAACATTAAATTACCAATTCCATCATCGGCTCTAGTTGATTCAATAATTTGAGTAGGCTGTAAGATATTCAATCATTTGCCAAAAGACACCAAGGAAGTTGGATCCAATAAAAAATTCAAACATAGAATAAAAGCACTCTTTTCGGAAAAACCCTATTACAGTTTACAAGAGTTTTTTGATGATACATTTTAACCATGAAACCATTTTTATTAGGAATATTTTGATATGTTGTAATGTGTCCCTTATGAACTAGCTAAGTGTTCAAATACATTTTAAAATGTTGTGGTGTTAAAGAAGCGATTTCCTCTTGTTCTAGTCTTGATATTTATTTCAAGGTTATTTTTTTTACTTACTTTGTCAATGAGATTTTACATCTTCAGACAATAAAGCATATTCTCTCTCTCTCTCTCTCTCTCTCAAGATGTTTGATGAAATGTTCACTAAGCCCAAAAATTTCTCTCACCTCAGTCTCAGAACTTCATTTTGTTTACACTCAATTTCGAGATCCTTCTGTAAGCTCAACTGACAGACATCAATATTTATCTCTTGGATTGCCTTGTCCAAAGTGGCATTATGTTCCTTGTAGGTGTTTATCTGATGGACGATTTTTCTGTACTTCTCTTTCCTCTCTTCTAGAGAATTATGGTAGGTCATGGTGATGATGTCGATTTCTTGTTCGAAAGAGTCATGATCTGTTTTTCGGCCAAGAGATTTCGATTTGAGATACGTTTGCATTTCCCTCGTGAACTGAAAAAGAATTGGAACCAGAGGGAACTCAATCACGTAAATCGTTCAATATTAAAATTTTTCAGAGATAATACTAGTCTTATTGAATTGGAGCACATTATAGCTTTTCTGACACAGAAGGCACTACTTCATCTTTTCAAGTATGCATCACAATAACAACAATAAAAACAATGCTGTATTATGCACACAAAATAACGTGTTCGGCTAATGATTGGTATTATTATTGAAATTAAAAATACTTGCGGTCACATTTCGATAGGCGACCCGGTACATCAATTTTCCCAAAAGTTAGTCTGGTGCAATTGTTGTAATTTCATTTTTTTTTCCTTTCGAGAGTTCTAGGAGTGTCAAGAGGATTCCTATGATACTGTTTCTAGAGGTTGTAAGGGGTAAATTGTGAAAGTTGCAGCACTATGTTCTAAGGTGCTCCTGAAGAATATCCATTGAAAGTTGTCGGGTATATCTGATTGAATCATTTTTCTTCAGATTTTACAAGACTATCTGAAGAAGCATGAAATCCTCAATATCAATTGTACCAAGATATCTAATGAAAACCTCAGAAATACTTTTTGGACCAATATTGATATAAATATTCTTTCTCATTTTCGTCTGGGGAATCAGCTCACGAGAAATTTCGATAGAGTTCACCCCATATAATTACCTACCTTTATACCTTCTATATCAGCAATTTGTTCTGTTAGATCATTTATTTCCATTCTGAGTCTCTTATGTTCCCATTCTGTTGCCATGATATTTCTTCTGAATGACATATTTTGCATGATGGTACGCAGTTTCTGCTCTCCTGCTTGCTAATGGGAAAAAGATCAGGAGGTTATTTCAAAAATATTCGAGAAATGTGTGGGCGCTTCAAAAATCAAGCTTATTTTTACCTTGATCGTTCTGTTTATCAGCTCAATTTCTCTTTTCGGAACCAACATGGCATCATCGAAGTCATGGACATCTCCCGTCAACGGAATTTCGACCAATCCCCTGGGCAAAACGACTTGTATTTGTAAACAGTGCATGAGATGCAAATAATCTGCCCTCGATTTCTGCCTGTCTATATCAAGTTGAGCATTTTTCTCCTTCTTCACAGCGATCCTTCTGTGAAAAGTTGCTATGGTACTTTCCCCATCACTTATTTGCATTTGAATAGCTCTCAACTGAAAAATCAATCATTTTTCATTAGACTTGTTTTGCAATAATTATATTCGAGGGCAGAGACATTCAGTCACATGACATCTGGAGCAAACAATTGAATGATTGAATGGGCAACACTGAGTTATACCTTATTGTTATATTATTTCCTGATAACTTTCTAGGGATATCTAAGTGCCTCCTAACCAAAATAATCAGTGGTGAATTCTGTCATCAATATTATTCACTTTCATTTTCATTGTTTCCATCAACTTGATGATTGATTGTCTTTATTACCCGAAGAAACATTGTTAATTATAGGGTTATATATACAGGGTGTTTCTTAAGTACGTGTAGAAAATTAAGGAGCATCTTGCTGACGTCAAAATAAGGAGGAAAGTTTGTATAAATATATGTCCGAAAGTTATTCGTTTCTGAGATACAGAGTGTCAAAGTTGAGTTTTTATTTTTGTTTTTTCTAAATAAATTTCAAAATGATTGTGATATTAGAATGAAGTTCGGTATCTAGGAGTATTTTTCAATGACAATATCAAATTTCATGTTAGTTTGACTCTTTCGTAACTTTTTTGTGCGTACCTGTATCACGATTCATAGTAAAAAAATAGATTTCTAGAACACCTTTGTGTGAAAAATATATTCTTGGTAGAGGTCGCTGCTAGCAACTGTTTTTGAGTTATTGGGATTTTTTGAAATAATCAATGCATTTGAATTATTTCCATAGGGCTCGTAAGATTTTTCGCAATTTTTCTCGTGCTTGTCTGTGGATCTTCTTCGATTGCCTGAAGAACAGGTTCTTAAATTTCTGGAGTCCTAGGAGTCAACGGTCTGCCTATCACTGCAGCTTTTTTAAAGGATACAGAGTCCATAAGACGCTGAAAAAGGTGTCTGATGATGATGATCATTTGATTGTTATTTTTTTGAATTGGAAGGGCCCAAAGAAGTAGGTACAAGGAAGTAAGAATCATTTTTTGCTGGCCCCATGGAAATAATTCAAACGCATCGATTATTTCGAATCCCATTAACTCGAAAACAGTTTGCTCGCAGCGACCTCTACCAAAAATATATTTTTTATACAAAAGTGTTCTAGAAATTTTTCTACTGTGAAACGTGATACAGGTACGCACAAAAAAGTTATGACTTTGCAAAAGACTCAAAAGACATGTGGCCAGGTAGCCGTGCGGACAGAGTGTCAATATTCTAATCCGCATTCGCTTGCCGGTCGTGGGTTCGATTCCCATCGACTGCAGAAATTTTTCTGATGGCCCAAGAAAGTGTTTGGGATCACACGTTAAAAGGTAAGGCCCCCGTCATTCCTTGCTCGCACAAGACTCTCGATGACTTCTGAGGGTTGCTCGTAAGGGGGCAACCGAATGACGGATAGAACAATTTTTTAGAATTTTTAGAACATGTAGGAACTAGAGTTCATTGTACCAGTATATCACCTGACGAAGCTACTGTGTTAGCGAAACATGTCGTGTGTTTGAGAATTTTGTGGAAATTTTATCGTTTGTGAAGTTTTTACATTTGTCATCGATTTCCATCAAGTAACGGCCGAGTCAATTCAAGATTTTCCGATAGTTTGATTCAATTCCTTTTCGATGGTGACGATGATAAATACCTTGATTTCATATTCCAATCTCAATCTTCTATGCTTGCATATTAGACCGTAAGTGTTCTCGTCTATAGTAGGAGGTAAGCCAACGAACTGGTCTAGTTGATCTAATGATTTCAGGTAATCGTAAGCATCGTTGTTGAGTATGAGCGATCGTTCTTGACTCACAATACATTTGGAAAGCTCATACATAACCGCGAAAGTGTTGATTTGACGATAGTTTGCTCTTGGTCTTTTCCTAGGTCACAAAAATATTGTATTATTAGTCTACCATTCGAGAAGGTACCTGCCTACCGAATAATTTCTTCGCTCTTTCAATAACAAACCACCAAAGAACCGAATCTCATTATTGATATATCAAGGAGGAATGCATACGACTGGAAAATCAGCATTCCGTGCGAATTATACACTAAACTTTTTCGATGACTGTAATAGATGATAACGAAAGTTTTTATTCCTCCGGCTTGTAGACATTTCGTAATGATCTACCAGACAAAGGTGGCATTGCTTTAGATTTCACATTTCATGGGAGATGACATTTATTGTGAAATAATCACAGAATGAAGTCATTGTGTTATCAGATGAGGCAATGGAATTGAAGACATGCAATGTACAGGGTGATCCACCATGAATATCCCTCCTCTAGCTCAGTTATTTTCGAAACGATTTGACAATTTTGAAAATCATATGAATTGATTTTTCATCAATTCTTTTTTCGCTATATCTGAAAATACGTGGCGCTCGAGACAAAAGATCTACAGGGTACTAAATGATTTTTTTCAAATTGAACACCCTGTTTTTCATACCACAATCAGTTAGATTACCAAAATGGATCCAGCATTACCAGATATTATGGGGTTATGTTGAACGACTACAAAGATATAGCCGATTTTCTTATACACTCAGTTCCAAAAAAAGTGACGCACTTGGTATTTGACCTATCTTCTTGAAAAAAAAAACGAAAAATAGTAGGCCGATTTTGATTTTTTTCCATTTGTTGGTAGGTAATGCATTTGTCTTTGAAAAAAAATACAGAGGTGAACATTTTTTCAAAGCCTCCTTGATGGTGGAGGAATAACTCGAATCATGATTTATTCCTAATTTTTTACTCACCCTGTGTGTTAATTGAGTAATGGTATACAAAGTGCCCACACCCCATACGGAAGAGGCTTCTTTTGCAAGCATTTTGTTTGTTTATTCATTGATTTATCTCTATAATTTTCCGAATTACAGCTTTTTTGCTGATACCTTACGATCATCCCACAAATTAAATTCATTGAAGGATCAGAGTACTCAAAATTGATTGGGTTGTACTCTGGTAGGATCACATTGTCGCCCCCGAAAAACTTCTCCAAGAGATGATCGCTTCTAGAGATTGCGGATTTTACGGAATCGATCAAATACTGCGGTAAATGTTCAGCAAGATCTTCGCCAAATTCGTGATGTAAGTAAGCAGACGGTATGTAAAACGTCTAAAAGAAGTTAATTTGATAGCTAGGAGACCTGCAAAAGGTCCCAAACCATTCCCCGAACATCGTGCTGCTAGAAGAAATTTTGTTGAAAATTATGGACAGTGGAATATTCCTGAATGGTCGAATGTCTTGTTTACGGATGAGTCAAGGTTTTGCCTTAACATGGTGGGTGGAAGAAAAAGAGTGTGGAGAAGAACTGGTGAATGGTTTAATCAAAATTTTATAACAGAATGCGAAAGTTTTAATGGTGGGTCCGTTATGGTGTGGGGAGGGATTTCAATGAATGGAAAGACACTCCTTCTTGTTTTTCCGGTTAGAGCAAAATGTCTTACCTTATGCAGAGTTAGTGGGCAATAATTTTATATTGATGCAGGATAATGCCCGACCACACACCGCAGCAATAGTGCGAAACTTCTTAGAAACTACTGGTATTACCACATTACAATGGCCTACGAGAAACCCCGATATGAATATGAATCCTATATATAGAACACTTGTGGGATGAATTAGGGAGAAGGGTACGTTCTCGCAAGAGGTCTCCGGAAAGTCTCGCAGAAATGGCAGATGCATTATTGGAAGAATGGGATCGTATACCAATGGAAACGATAAGCAACTTAATTTCCAGTATGCCTCGTAGATTAGAAGTTCTTAGAGTTGCTAGAGGAGGCAATACACGGTATTAATCAGTCATCCCAATTTATAATTTTGTGGTTAATAAAAATGTTTTTTAAAATCCCCGATATCGGTAACGATTATATTCAGCGAGATAGTTCAATTTTCTCAATGAAACTAATTGATACCTACTCAATTAAAGATCACATCATTGATTTCTGCGATTGAAAATCTAATTTTCCTTTGAGATAGTTACCTATACCTACTCATCCATGAATGAAGAAACGACAATCAGATAAGTATGAAAACATGTTTGCTGTTTACTTGTATAATTTGAGAGCTTGTTCCTGAACGACAGGTGAAGCTTCTTGGAAGTCTCTCTTGAACGCCTTATCCAGGAGCTTCTCCTTAGCCACCAAAGTTTCCAAATTTGACCGGCATTCGTTCAGGGCAGCGTTCATTGACACCAGGACGGTTTGCAATTGTTCAATCATGTCACGATTGACTTTCAGTGAACGACTGAAAAAAAATATGTTGAATTGAAATCTTAATGTAAATAATAAGTACACACATGCAGTATTACACAGCGATCCGAGTTTTTTTTATGTGCCAACTATAGGAATAGTTATAGTGCTACAGCTCAAACATAAATTCCACAAAACATGGATATGTTCATTTATCAGAAAAAGAGAGAGAGAGAGAGAGAGAGAGAGAGAGAGAGAGAGAGAGAGAGATGCCAAACAGCTGAGACTGTATAGCGGCGTCCAAATGCGATCTTAGTCGGTGATATGGAAGAAACGCCATCCCAACAATGATGAGGTAACTAGTTGGTATTCACAAAGATTATCTGTGGTATACAGAATCACTTTGCGATGATACATAATTATATACAATGCAGCATTCGTTGCTTTACACAACTTTGAAGTTTGTAACGGAGTGGATATAATAAGATTATTCCCGATATCACAGAAAGCTCAGCAAAGAATTCTGGTGACGACCTTGAATCAATACTTTCGGATGATGCGTTCGAATGTTCTTTTTTTCATATATCTAATATCTTGTGGATAACTACAGGGTGCTATCGAAATAAATTCAATAAATGTCAACCCTAAGAAGGCTTATTAAAGTGTATCAAATATCGAATGGTAGGTACAGCTGTACACAATAAAAAAGCGTATATATACTAATATTAAACAGAGGTTAACGTCATCCTAGTTCTAGTTGTGTAAAACTGGTTCAGCCAATAATGCTTTGTATTCTTGAAAAACTATGACAACTGTCAACATTTGAAAACAATCATTTCCGATAGGCCATTTTTTGCAAATAGGATGACATTAGTTTCTCTCTCTAATACTTGTGCGCTTTTTTTAATACAACTGTGCTATTCTCATTCTCTACACAAAATTCTTCGAGAGTCGCTCATAGAAGGCATTTAAAACAATAAGAACTGCTGAAAACGAAGCGACATTGCCACAGTTCATAAAAATGGTAAAATATAGCAAATAATATTCAATAGTGGCTTGGAAGCCGCTGTTTTTAAGATTTGGGATCAATCAAGTTAAACATAAGATTGGAATTCAATCTTATAAGTGATACTGCAAGAAATAATGATTTCAAGTAAACTCGACAATTGATAAATAAGTGATTGACAACAAATATAAAAATATAATTATAAAAGTCGAAATGCTCTGATGAGAAAAAAAATACCATAATCACTATAAACTACTAAAAAGCAACCGATGCTATTCCCACCACAATGGTCTTAATGAGAGAACCTTCAGATATCCAACATTCGAATAGATAATTGAAACATTCCACAAAGTCGACTCACTCCTCAATCATCTCATTATACACAAGTTCGAAAGCTCTATAGACATAAGACACAATCATACTGTATAAAATGGCCAACAGTGGAGTGAAAACGAGAGTCAGAAGTTTTCTCTATACACTGAACACGTTTCTCATCAGAAGGAAGAGAAAATCGAATATTTTGGGAATTTTTGTTGGACTGAAGCATGAGCAAATTATTGCTGGGTTTTGACGTTGAATTAGGACTATACCAATCCAATAGATTTGAATTATCACCGTATATATTAATCTCTCCAAGTGCACTTCAACAAATCATGGATACGATGCGCTTGGTGGTTTAGATAGAGTTGTACATCATTTGGTTGATATTGTATCTGGGGAAACTATCTATATATGAAATAAACTCACTTCATATTATCTTCTTTGACGTATATCTTGATCCTTTCATTTTGCAAATTTCTCGCTCTATTTATTCGAAGGTTTTCTTGGTTCATTCCAGAATCGATGTACATTTTATATTCCACCGTGTCTCTGACTTTCTGGTTGAATTTTCTGATAGCGTCTCTGAGCAACAGTGATTGTCTCGTAAAATCTACGTCTAACATGTTCTTATACCTTTCTCTCTCGCTGTTGAGAAATGCGACTTTTTCTTCATAATCTTTCACTGCTCGTAAGTCTTCTTCATTGAATTCAGCAGGATCTTTCTCTATCTACACAAATTAACTATTCATAGATTGATTGCAGAAGGTAGAGTAAGTTATTCGCAAAATTCAAATTGTTGTAGTATATGAACAACACACATTGCAATCATAAGGGATCGATGATACAGATGGTTCAAGCATACGTATTCCAAAATCGATATGAAATTCACATGTAGGGATTTTGAAACCAGTTTTAACCTTCCTATTTTTCATGAAAATAAACCATCACATTCCCATTCTGCATAAAATATATGGAAATTGATATATCATCAGCATGTTCTGCCCTAATGAAAATAGAGGGTGTTTCTAAATTAGGAGCGATCCTTGGAATGGGTAATAGAAGACGGAAAAAGAAAACGAAATTATAGAATACATTTTTGCTAAAAAAAAATATTTCAGAAGATATTGAATTTTGAAGTTCAAGCCTAAAGAGGCCCAACTTTTGAGGATCACTGATCAGACGCGCCGACAGACAAGGACAGGGAGGTATAGTGTGTGTTGTATAATCTGATAGGGGTTGAATAATTGTTTATGATTTGAAGCAATTTCACCCTGGGAGAAGGTGAATAAGTTGGTCAAATAACCCTAGAGAATCAATAGAAGACTTTTTTGCAGCATGGTTAGAATAGTATAGTGCCTTGAAGCTGTAATGAATTTATGTTTTGCGTGTTTTGTATTCAGTGCATTACAATACCAAATTAAGAACAGAAATTCAAGAAAAATAATGCAATTATTCAACAGAATTCAGAAAATGACGAAATGAATTTTATTCAATGAGTTTATTGCTTAATGACAATCTACCTACTTAACTTAATTTCCATTCTTTCACTTGCTTTGTTCGATTCTTAACAAATCAAACAAAACCATAATGAAATAAAATGAATCCGACTCCTAATATAAATTTTATTTTTCCTTCCATAAAAATAAATTGATTATGTTTACCTATGAGTACATTTTGAGAAACTCAATACAAAATACTATTTCTTTCATTGAAGCTACTGCGTCAGAGAGATTGAAATCTTAAAGACATTCGGGTTGTCTAATATTTGACTGAAAATTTGCACAGTATTTGCGTGCCTTCCAGTCGAGGTCGAATGATATACTTGTCTAGCAATCGAAATTCGGAGTTCCGAGTTCGGGGAATCACTCAAAATTTCGCCAACGCCATACGCCGTCAGTTTACGGTCACGGACTTCACTCTTCAGTCTTCAGACTCTTTAGTATAAATACTCTTCATTCGTGTTCTCGTTACTCTCGTTATAGTTTTATCTTTCATTGTGTTTTCATCAGTTATGAGATGAGATAGCAGGTCTTTGGTAACACTTTTCTATTTTGTTACCTACCATTTTCAAATGGTTGTCGTTGTTGATCCCTGTGTTAAATCTAACATTTTATGAAAACATTTTAGGGTGGTTCGAGATCAGAATTCTGATCACCCTGCAGCGATTTTACTAAATAAACTGTACGCTAGCACATACCACGCCCACCGTTATATCTCATCTTCAAAGTACTTTACTCAGGCAAAATTCAGGGACTATTTATCCTCAACGAACTAACCTATCCCTGATTGCAATATTTTTGAGGAAGGAAAACCGAATGGAGTGTAGAAACACATTGATTAATAATATATTTCAAAAGTTGAGTTCTTCAACAAAATTGAATAAAATGAGACTGTTTATATATCCTAAACGCACTAACCTATTCAAATATTTTATGAAAAAGGAAAACCAGAATGAAGTAAAAAAAAGTTGCAAAAAAATGTTCAAGTTCACAGCGATTCAAACCATGGACCTTCAGACTGAAAGTCGACAGCGCTAACCAGTAGACCATTTGTGTGTATGATTTCACTGCGTACAAGAGATTGACAACGAGAGAGCTTCAGTCGAATTCGTGTCAAAATCATAAAAAGTGTATTCTTGCGTTGGAGCACAGTATATTTAGTGCGATGTGCTGACTCCGAGTATATCGGTAATGTTTGGAGATATGACGTATTATGGTGGGCGTGGTTTGTGCTAGCGTGCAGTATATTTAGTAAAATCGCCACCCTGCATCTGTTCCGATTAAATATCAGTAAATGGTAGATGAAAAGTTCATATAGGGACATGTGAGCCGTTTTGGCCGATAATAAATAGTTTCGACATTAACAAATCCTAAAGTTGAAAAATCTCGATTTTGAACACCCTATCTGCAATCATTTCCGATAGACCCCAAGTGTGATGTAACGATGAAATCAACTCTTCAGGGGGAATCTGAAAATGCAATAAAATACAGGGTATTCTATTTTAAATAACAAAGTTGTTGCTACTCTTTGATAGAAGCAGTATTCTCATGAATTTCTCTCAACTCATTCTCGATATAGAGATAGTGTAAGCTCGTCGTGACTCCTCACATACCCTGTATTTTTTCAAATCAATCTCCCCAAAGCCAAAGGTACTCTTCTGAGTAAGCCACTATATAAGCTATCATCCCTCCACTAGCAATACCCGTCAGACGAACTAGACAAGCCCAGTCAGCACATTCTTTCGTTTTCAACCTCGAAAGATGTCGAACAGCACTTTATCAAAACTTCTTCATCCATAGAACGGCTAGGCTCTGGAATTCATTGCCTGAGGAAGAATTCCCAACAACATATAATCTCCTCCAGAAGTTCAAACAAAATTCCAATACCTACCTCCTGTCCCTATCCTCCCTAGGAACGCACGATGTTCTCTGAACATCATCGGGATTTCCTTTCGTGCGCTTCAAGCGATAAAAAAAAACGACTGTCGCATAGTAGCAGACCTACCATACATTTCGGCATAGGTACATCCTTCTTCAGCTCGTCCTCCCACCTGATCTCCAACACTCCGTTCATCATGGTCATCAGAGCCCTTTCTCTGAAATCGTCTGCTAACAGAGCCAACCTGATCCTTTCATCTTCCGCAGCTTTAGCGTCCAAGATGGCCTGCTCGCTGGGACTAACGTAAGGAGTAATTGTCAGTTCGTTGTCCAAAACTTTCGTTATCAGCCATGGTTCTTCTTCTTGAGACCATTCGGGGTCTGAAATCGTTATAACGTAATAGCATATATGGTGGATACAGACAGTGGCGTAACTTAGGGGGAGGGGATCTTGGGATTTCGACCCCCTCCCCTAGAACTGTCTAAAAACCGAAACAATCTGGTGAGAAGGTTGACAGATGGTTGAAAATTCCATTGTAAAAAAATATTTTTCCAAAAATGAAATTCGACCTGTACAAGAATGATTCTAAATATGTTTCAAATATGGAAATACGAATTTTATTCCATCGTAGGTTTCCACACACTTTACAGATGCCAGTATACATATGGCTCTTATACTTCAATACTTTCACAATATCCCATTTTCACATATGGTTCTCCAATACAATGTCCCAGGCAACCAGATGACGAATGATCACGTCACTGTGACGTCCCTAATTGGTGATTTTTCGTCAGAGACGTCACAACACCAATTTATGACGTCACTATGACGTACTTTCTATGACGTGATGATCACGTCATCGTTTCGACGTCGAGTGAACGTCACTTAGAAGGGTAAATAAAGGAGACGTCAGTTCCATGACGTTGCAGGGACGTCCTGTCTACGTCCATTTTTCCCAGACCTTCTCTAAACCATGGATACTTATATATTATCATGTGAAACAGAAGTATAACTCATGAAAGCAAATCAACATGCAAGTTTTATTCTAATTATCAATATACCCGAAATGTAGTAGAAAAACTTTCTTATAAAAAACTTTGACACACTGTATATATCTCGGAAAACAACAAGCTAGGTATAAATGAAAATGATTGTTTAGATATACCTATATTGGAACCGTTACTCTTATGACGTTGTAGTGACGTATCTATGACGTCTAAAAATCACGTCGGTGCGACGTACCAATTTGGTGATGAGCTTCGTCATTTAGGAAATTTTTACAATAATTTGCTATTTAGATTTTTCCTTGGGTGACAAAGAATGCATTAATATACATTATTCAACAAAGTGAAGCCAAATTCGCCAACATCCTTTTCATTGCTATCAAACTATTCCTTGTTTGCTTACATCTCGCCGACACAAACTACATAATTTTTGATACAAATACGAGTAACTGATTGCACTCTGATGGAGATGCGTACTGACGGATGGCACTGCATTGAATGAACATGACACAGGAACGACCCACCAAGCAGACTCAACAATGCATAATCAATATCATATAACATCAGAGGCTAGTGGTGTTTATCACACCATGTTGAAGGAATCTTTTTTACTTATCATCGCCAAATTCAATGGTCATTTTGACGTCATTATGACGTCAGTCGGACGTCACAGTTTGGTGAGTGAATGACGTCAATACGACGTGAGTAATATGACGTCATTGGGCTCACTTATTCACGTCATTATCACGTCAATGCGACGTCAACTACAGACGTCACCTTGGTTATTCAAGTGACGTGAAGAACACGTCACTGGAACGTCATCTGGTTGCCTGGGGTGTATACCAAGTACTGCAATAAGAATTCGTCTCAAATAACCATGATGTTTGAATTATTTGAGTACAATTAATCGGTTTACCTATTATATCCAAGAAGATTTTGTTCTCTGAAAAATAGTTGTACTCTGATATAATGTGACGAAGCCGTTGGTGTTTTTCTCTGATGTTGTCGGTTTCACGGTATTTCAACTCTACCAGCTTATCGAATTCCAGATTGAATCGCTGTTTCAACTTGATAACCTCTTGCTGAAATGTACAATACAGGTTTTTTTTGTAATACTCGGTGTACTTCTAGATGTTTTCAATTGTTTCCGAGAAGATTAATCTTCATAAGGCCATGAGATCTACTTGAACCAACTTTTATATTTTGAATAGAACACCTCAAATGTTCGAACTTCTTAATATATATCTAAACATAGCAAATTGAACTGAGTTTTCTCCAGTGCATCCTATTTTATTTGGGACTGCCAGGTTTTTTATTATTATTGAAGATAGAGCATTGCGGTTTTCACGTTTCTCTCCTACTTTTATCCGAAACTCCAGATAGCTCAGATTTTGCATAACTGTTTCTTATTAAGAGATACACGGCGATTTTGAAAATTTGGACTTCTTGGACCCCTGCATCATCCATCTACGAAGTTATTGCAAATTATTACGTCTAACATGAAATTTTGAGCAGAATCCAATGGCGTACTCAATTTTTTTTTCGGGGTATAGTTTTGAAGATACGACACAAACTTTTTTATGGAATGTGTTCGATATATAAACACGCCTATGATAGTTTGCGTATCGAAAAATGTTGATGGCAATTTTTGATAAAATTAATTTCACTTTTTCATTTCATCACCTTCATACTCATGATAATTTTATTACAAGAATATTAGTGAAGACTTGTCTGCAAAAATGAAGGATATTTTATAAAAAACGAGTCTTATCTGGTTATCAGATGGGTGAAAGTCGACCTTGATCGGTCTCCTCTACCATATCAATAATAGGGAATTCTTATTCATGATATTGTTTACAGGAGATTGGGCAAAAAAATTAATACTAACATTAATTCACTTCCGCGAATCATAAAACGTAGGTATTTTGAAACAACGAATGAATATTAATACGAATAGTTCATAATAAATATGGAATACTTAATCAATATAAAATATAATGAATCACACAAAATGATTCTTCAAGTAAAACATGTTAAATTTATGGTCCACTAGCAAAAATTGATAATGATCTATGGTGGATTCATGTAGCAGTGTTAGGTATGTATGTTGAGTTGTAAGGCGATTCATGCAGGAATAAGGACTGTCATCTATCATAAGAAAAGCACCCCTTCATTAGCTCATTTTGCTCATTGTTTACCAGCTTCATACATGTTTACGGTAACACAGAATAGATTTTTTTATTATTCAGCAGTTATAAATATCTGTTTTGGATTTGATTTGATCAAAACAGATGTAAACAAAACCAAGATCACAAATGGTATAGCACACGGCTAATGCGCAGAGCAAATTAGTCATAAGTTTTTAATCGTAAGTCGTTTAGAGATGAATGTTGGTCCACTCTTCTTACGACTTGAAACTCATTACTTTTTATGACACGTGTATGAACATTTATATTGAAAAGCAATGAGTGAACTTCCTAAGACATATGACTTGATACTTAAAACTTTGGACTTAAAACTGCATAAACTAATGTCTTAGTGTTGTTCCAGCATTTCTGAAATTCATTAAAGGAAAAAACAACGAATTCAACGAGATAATGAAATAAAGGGTGGTCCATTGAAAAATATAGATGTTTGTTTCGTATCATAAAAACCATACCCCGAAAAAAAATGTTTTGTATGCCACTTGATTCCGCTCAAAATTTCCTGTGAGACGAAGTTCTTAGCGCAACATTATTTTCAATAACTTCGTAGATATATGTGGGGTCCAAAAAGTATGAATTTTCAAATTTGCCCTCTATCTCAGAAACGGGAACAGTTAGGCAAAATCTGGTCAGGTCATCTTTAGTTTCACAAGAAGTAGGACCGAAACGTGAAAACCGCAAGGTTCTATCTTCAATTCCGACCAAGAAACCTGGCAGTGTCAACCAAAATTAAAGTGTAAGGTGTAAGAATAGTTTTATACTAAACTTTCGCCTAATGAAGACCTATAAGACCTATTATTAAAAAATGGGATGCATTGTACATAGTGATAGAATTTTCGTGCCTACGTTTGGGCATGTTTGGGTTACACCTCATCAGAGTTATACCTATAAAGAGAACCACTGAGGTCTTACGTTTCGATGAACTGATGCTCTTACCTCAGCTATAGCTTGTTGAAGATCGCACTGATGAAAAGATACCAATTGTCGCTGTTTGTAATGACCAGTACTCCTCTCGATATAAAGCTGGGAGACTGTCCCGACTACCGCGATCTGTGAATCTATCGAGAGCGAGCTCAGAATGTACTCTTCCAGGAACGATGTAGCCGCCATCGTGCTGTAGTCCTTATTAGTAATGACTACTTGTTGTTTCAACTGTGTCCGCAGATCCCTATGGATGATGAATGAGAATTGACCTTCCATAGGTAGGTAAGTCGTTTAATCTCAATGTTTATGGATATATTCCCTCAGGAATATTCCTCAGGGATATCGAGTTCCGATGTTCCAGATAGTACAGGGTTTCCATGAATGATTGTAGCATCCTAGTGACCGTTGAAATAGTACCGCTCTCCACTTATGAAGATCGGACTGTAACACAAGCGGTCGTTTCAATGTCTGTAAGCAACATAAGCAAAGATAGGCACTGTTTCAACAGTCACTGCGATGCTACGATCATCTATAGAAACTCTGTACATGCACTGGTCAGATATACTCTGAAATATACCCTGACCGAAATCTCATAACTAAGAGCTCTAGGATGGACAGAGTTACCCCAATTGTCAGCAGGAGCAAGACAGTACTGATGATCTAGTCATGCTATCGCCATCTAGTGGCGTTAGTCCTAAGATATGACCTTCCCAACAAACATTTTAGGTATAATATACGTCATTTCGACCTTAGAATAGGTCAACGACTTATTTGGCCTAAGTGAATATTACGTCTTATTTACTTCAAATTTACCAATATGGGGAAAAAACTGGAAGTAATTCAGAAGACGAGAATAGGGATATTAGGGTATCCTGACCAATAGGTCGAGGAAACAATTAGGTGAAATTGCCCTAATTCTTGTCCGATAGTGGTCTGATTTTAGTTATTCTGACGTTATTCATCACCTACTTATGGGTGAGTTTACTAAGATTTCTACCTGGTTTACTGTCATTTGGTTGGGTTCGGAAAACAAATATGTACCGTGTTTCACGATCGACTATACCTACTCATTTACGTGTGGAGACTTAGTAGTTTATGAACATGGCGTTCAAAAGAAAACTCGATAGTGGTGGAAGGTGTAGATAATATGCATGTTGTTTAGCTTATTTGAGGTTGTTGTGAATCGTTATTCAACCTGCGATGCAAAATTTATTGTGATAATGTTGATTTTACACATGTAAAATTAGTGGGCCCACGAAATTATTGGATTTGTAGAAAAATACTGGATGATATTCTTTGTGTTTAAGAATTATTTTTCAACAATTCCATCTAAAAATGAATCAACTGGTAGAATATGATCATATATGCGAAATTTAACCTTTTCTGTATTACTATTCATTAGGATGTGGTCGCTAAGTAGAGATTTCTTCTTTTTCCGTCAATGGCGAAAAAGGTTTGAGCCAACAAATATGGCGTCGGTTTCATATTGGACTTGAAAGTCAAATTCTCCAGAATCTTCAACTTTCAGGGCGAATAGGCTTCGTTCATAGTCGAAAATTCTGTATATTCTGACTATGGAGCCCAATTTCCCCATATTGGGATTTTAGACTATATCAACGAGTATATTATTTGAGTAGCAGTCAACCTGATGGATTTATATTATCAGATGTTCCCTATAATCATATAATTTGTCGAATGTTCGTTGTTCGCTTTCAATTTCTTATTCTGCACCACGGTATGTTTTCTAATTGGTCGCTGGATGACAGGCTTCATTTTTCAGCGAATCAGAAAAGTCCATCGCCGTGTTGTCATCTCTCGAACAGTGTTGCCGTTCTAGTATACTTTTAGTACATTTGCCATTTTTGTACGTTCTCAACCGAAGTGTAATAATTGATACCTGATTTTTTTTCTATAAAAGTTATCTGAAATATGCATTCTGATCTGACCAATGGAATAGGTGGAAGTAAAACTTCGAATGTCAAAACAAATCGCTGGTTTAGTTGATCAAACATCATCGTAATGTATAGAAAGATATCATGATTTGCTTTAGAAGCGTTCAAGCGGTAAGCTACCTGAACCACTCACTGGTGATAAAGAATAAAAGATTCAAAACTCATACATTGCGCTTGTCTCCAGTTTTTAATATTTTCAGAAATTAATGATCATTTCAAAACATTTGCCGACCTCAAAGCACCAGGATCAATAATAGTCATCAACTTTGAGAACATAATTTTAGGACTAATTTTGGTATTCTCGGCTCTCTCAAGGACACTTCGTTCTATAAGGATTTCATAGTGGTAATCTTGCCTTCATCGGATATGAAGTTGGTACTGATTAGGTTAAAAAAAGTCTAAGAAACTCCTTCGACTCAATTGGTCAAAAATAGGCTAAACAGAGTATAAATCCGACTTATTTTCTCCATCTGATTATTCCCTGACTTTATGATCGTTTATCAAGTTAGAATTTGGTAAATTTCAACTCCAATAAATATCCTGATAGTTCGAGGGCCTGGAAGACATTTTACTGGTGATTTTGATGTTAAATATTACCTAATTGATAACTAAATGCTCACTAGGACCATGAAGTTATGTTTGAAGTCTGTAATAAGTAGTTTCCAACTATGCAATTTGTCTATGAAGTTGATGGATTTTATAGGAAATGTTGAGGTCCTAACCAGGTATTTTACAACCTAATCCATAACTTTCAAGTTACTCAGGGCATAAAGGTAAAATATTTTGTCGGAAATTAGTAAATTTCGACTTCTTCGAGTAATTTCTCCTCTCTGCTTGGTATAATTCTCTTAAAATGTTGGTTGGGTTGCGATCGCGTCAAACAATGCATCATGCTGCCATCTATGGTCAACACGTGCAGATCTGCAGGGTAGTAACACAAGTAAACCACTCTGCTGACAGATGACACTAACTAAATACTTGAATACTTGACAATGTAGGTTTCTCAACTCAAGTATTGAGGTGGTGCTATCTGTCAGCATGCAGAGTGGTTTACTTGTAGTACCACTTTGAAGCGTTGGGAACGTACGTAGGGTTCAGCAAGTGTTGACTGGAGATGGCAGCGTCATGCAGTGTATGAGGATATCGCGAGGTCATACCTCAGACCTAACGCCACTAGATGGCGATAGCATGACTAGATCATCATGTATGATCCGGCGACTTCGAAATACACCTCTCAGGGAAAAACTTTGTGATATCCATTACAGCAGCATCACTCTAGCTTTGCCGATAGGCACGCAAAGATCAAATTTATGAAGATTAATGATTTTCTTGAGTGGATGATGAGACCACCTACATCTCAACAGGCAGAGCTTGTTCGCAAAGGGAAGTGTTGGTCTTGGTATACCTTGTCTAGGCTATATGCCATTGACGACATAGTGATACACGCCCACGGAACCTCATATGCCACATTTTAGACATAGGGAGTTCATTTCCCACCACCACAATGCAGGTAATTCCAGATCTAACGGACTTTGAGTTGAGTTCTGTGGATCAAACTCTTCTACATTCAGTTATACAGTGATGACTGGAAGTCCATCGCCCCACATGTAACTTATTTACTCCGCATATCTCAAGAAATTGAGAAAATTTCAGATGATCTATTAAATGGTTCGAAATTCATTTGTACAGAGTCACTCAAAAAAGCTTAGCTACTAAGGAATCAATTTTTTCGAATAGGACACACTATATATTATATATATTTTTAATTTCTACGTCGAATTTAAGACAACTTTGATGAATGGTTTCATATCAGAAAAAATAATAGTTTTGGAATCATGAACACTTGTAACTTATCATTTAAACCATTTTCGCACCAGTTCAGTGATAAAACCGTTAAAGTGGAGCGCAATGTATTCCACTCTCCTGTCACATTTTTAAATTTTTTCACAGTTTTTGTAATGTGGAAAATGAAAGTGGGGGTGGAGGAGGGGGGGGGGCGATGGACTTTTGGTCCTGACTGTAGATAAGAAGACATAACGATTGAGTAAAGAAGTGATGATCAAGGGTGAAACCTTCTAGACGAGATATATCATTATCATGTATAAGCAACCATCAAAGCGCTGAGTTTAATTATAATTAGCTTCAAACTATCACTGTTAGGCTGTAGGTATCTCCTAATAATTTGAATATCGAAGTGTCAATTGTAATAATTCAGATCAGTCGGCACGGAAGTGAACAAACTTGAGCAAAATATTGAGAATTGCTATTATACTCATTCGATATGTAGACCCAAGGTTCGAAAGTGTCATTCATTGACAAAAACTGCTCCAGTTTTCTTTGCTCTTCTACCCAAGCTAGCCTCATGAGTTCCGCCTGGTTGGGAGGCAACAGCGTATAGTTCGTGGCCATAGAGTTCTGGAAAATGCCCCTTATAATCCGTCCTGGCACGCCCATGGGTTCCAAGTAAGTCTTTATTATATGTTGGCTGACCCTATCCTGTGCCTCCATCAAAGCCTTGAGGTAGACTTCAGTCCTTTTGCACTTTTCTCTATTGGCTATTTTCTTTTGATGGTAAGCAGAAGAATCGAGATAAAACTCCACGAGGTCGATTTTCTCGTTTTCAGGTCCTTCTAAATTACTTGTGACTAGTTCTGTGAGAGTTTTCTTGATGTCGTTCAGTTCTTTGACAATCTCTCCTTTTTCAGCTCTGCATTGTTCTTCCTCTTTTTCTAATTTCATTATCCTGTCTACTTCGACCCAAGTTTTATTACTAAATCTACCTGAAAGAATAATTGGTCAACGCTATATTTGTACCTATACAGGGTGTTTCAAAAACAGGTGACTTCCATGCTAGGGGAACTGGAACACTGCAAAATGAATTAGGTTTGCTTTGTGATAAGATTTTGTATGGATTTGTTCTGGATGCTGACACATCGCATGAATTTGTTTCCATATCTGACTCTCATAGAGGGCGCTATAGTTGCACGGTTCGTATGTGAACATGAATAAAGCATGGTATACATATCCGTAACGATAACTGAAAATCTATGTGAGTAGAAAAAATATGTTTTTCAACACCTCGTATCTTGAGAACGGATGCCGTTACGATATTTTTTCACTGAGCTAACACAACTTATTTTGCAGTGTTCTACCTACCCTAGCAAGGAGGTCATCTTTTTTTGGAATACCCTGTATAAATCACACAAGTATTTACCTTCTGGCGAAAAGCCCAAAGTAGGTCGCTTGAACATTAGTGCATATTTCGTAGATTTCATAGTATTAACAAGATCATCTCGCAAGTCTTCGTAGACTTCATTAGCCACCAGATTGGTGCACACCAAATTTCCATCTCTACCCAGACTGATGATTAGCTTTCCCAGCGGATCGATATACGCCTTCTTGACCCCACCGTCGTATCTGTGGTGTGTGATGACCCATCCAACTTCCCTTCCGAAATTGAAGCATCTAGCTATCACAAAACCGTCGTGACTCCAAGTTAGAGCATGATCTTCGGTTATGCGCATGTCAAAGTGTCGAAGCTGATGTCCTGTTTTAATGGTCGACGTCACTCTAGCTAAGTCCTCCTAGAAACAAATATCTGATTGATACATTTTTTCTCCTGCTTCAAAAAAAGGAATAGGAAACAATAGGAAAATTGATACATGGATCTTAAATCGCACTAGGCAGAAATGGAGGAGATTCCTCACACAGACAACCTCAAAATCCTCAGATTCCTCATAGAACTGAAAAAACAATAATCCTTGAGGAAGCAGAATGAGGTTATGGAAATAGATCTAATCTGGAAGCAGCGCAGTGTATTATCAGTCACGATGACCTTTTTACCACCAATAACAATACCAGATTCCAAATTTTCATAACCAGACATTCAAAATACCACTTCTTTCACGTAGATGTCTACACATTGACATATTTTGGAGAGTGGAATACTATAGTATACATCGTTTTTAGAAGTGTTCTCATTATCTTCTCAACCGACTACCTGCATTATCATCAGTTGATGTGGCCCTCCAATGTTTTGACCTATCGCAATCGTTTTTCTATCGAAAAGTACTATTTTCCACCACTAGCTATAGAACCTAACATTATGCAGTCCTTTTCAAGGCATTAGAAGTGTTTTTTTCTATCAAGGTAGTTTTTGCCATCTTCTGAACTAGTCAATAAAGACATCGTCACCTTTGAAGCCTCGGGATATAATCTTGGCCTTGGGTCATAATGATATTCTTCAATACCTTGGTGCATGAATGATTGGATATTTCCATGAATCCTTTAAAAGTGTTTATTGGCTATTGCTCTACGAACAACCACTTATATAATCCTTACGTTTTTTCTAATATTTGGCACATATGTTCTATAAGGCACAGATCCGATCTGTCCTGGAATACTGTTTTCATACTTGGAGTGCAGCACCCAAACATACCCTGAAACTGCTGGATTCTGTCCAAAAAAGGGCAATTCGTCTCGTGCGTGATGCCTCGCTCACGACCTCACTCACTCCTCTGGAACACCGTAGAAAAGTTGGCAATCTGGCTCTATTTTATAGATATTTTCATGGACGATGCTCTTCTGTAATATCAACAATTGTTCCTCCCTTGGCAGTCCCCGCGAGATTTACCCGTCGAGTTAAGGCTTCGCACCCTTTCGTGGTAACTTTGGAGACCTGCAGAATATCTCTTTCCAAAGACTCGTTCATCCAACGAACAGCGAGGCTCTGGCACACATTGCCGGCACAGATCCAGCACCACCTGGACAGAAGGGTCGTACCGTACTTTGACAATGCAAAGATCCGGATAAATCATGCGAAAACTGAGATAATCAACTTTTCAAGGAAATATACCAACAATACGCTATTTCGACCTTTGCGTGTCAAAGACACTGAGGTGGAGGGCGAAGCTGTTGTGAAATACCTGGGGGTAGCTCTGGACAGGCGTATGAACTTCTTCGCAAATACAGAGTACTTATTGGCAAAGGCCAATGCTGCAATCAGGAGCTTGTATCCGCTGTTAGCGAGGAATTCCTCGCTGACTATGGACAACAAGCTCCTGATATACAAACAGATCATACGTCCTACTCTAACATACGCCTGTCCGGTGTTCTGTAGTATCTCGCCTACCCATATGGGTAAGTTACAAATACTACAGAATAAGGTACTTCGTATAATTACAAACGGTAATAGGTACTCTCGAGTGGCAGATATGCATGCACAGTGCTATGATCTGCCCCTAATAAAGGACTATATTATCCTTAAATTATCGGATAAATTCTACTCGTACCATATACGAAACAGCTCCCTAACAGATGGTATTACGTCAATTAGGGCAGATCATGGCCAACGCAGAAAGCACGGGCTGATTTACGAAGCTTGTAGTATTTTCAGAGAACCCCTGGAATAACCACCCACCTTCCCAATTCATCCCAACAGACTGAAAGCACTCCCTTACAAACAAATTTCACGACTCGAAGGTGGTTTATTGGTCGGCCCCAGGACTGAACGCTTTGGTCCGACTGTACGACCTCCGAGTGTCTACACATATTGCCCGTAGCTGGGCATAGTAAGCGCATTCCTGTTGGCACCGACCAACAGATATACATCTAGATTCTATCTGCATAATCTATGTGCTATATCTCAGTCTGTTGATCCCTTTTTATCCCACAAAACCCATCCTAACCCTCACCCTTCCCTACTCCCCTCGACATAAATACAAATCGAATTGTCAGAATGTGGTTTTTGGTTTTTCTTTAATTTTCCACAAACAAATTAACGACAAATTATAGAGTTCATGATAGCGCAATCCAAACATTCGAATTTTCGCTCGCACTGAGCAGCTCGCCCTATCAGCTATGGAAAGGACCATGTCCTAGGACGTAGTTCGGACGTCTTCCTCAACACACTTGATTAATAAAATCCGCCCCCACTGCGCCACTCGTGGCCAACCTCTGGGAACCGATAGAGGTCTACCCGGAGGGCTTTTAATATGTATATTTATTTGTATCGTTTTGTGCGTTCCATATATTTTATACATGTTAAATATTAAGGATTTTATTTATATTGAGTGTATGTCTGTAAAAGTTAAATATTCAAATAAATGGATTTAAATGGCACACATTGCCAAGTGATGTTCTCTGAACATTACAGGATATCCCTTTTCGTGGGAACCAGAACATAAAAAAACATGTGAACGGCAGTTCTTCGTCGATATGCACTAGGTATGGATTTGTTTAGATTATTACATGTTACATAAGATTCAAATTACTCAAATAAATCTTAAGAAGGGGCGCCACAGCGACTTTCATTCAGAGCAAAAATCCTTCATTTTTACTAGGGTAGTTGTGCAACCAAATAATACTCTTCAGTCTACAGGATGTTGATCAGCTAAAATAGACATAAAAAATATTATGTTAAAAGTGATGATGAGTGTAGTTCACCAAGATCAACAAAAAATAGATAAAAATCAAATTCAACTGTAAAACGAAAAGGTTTATTTCTCTATGGTGGCGCATGGTATAAATATTCATAGTATACGATGAGTTGGGGTTATAAATGTTGATGTTGAGTTATGAATATTTGAAACCATGGGGCGAAATATTGGAGATGAGTTATGTATATAGAAAATAAATAGTTTGCAGGGGGATTCATTTATGAATGTAATACCTAAATCAGTCTCAGACCAACAAAATCTAAAGGTAAGAATACAAACGATGAGTAGGTACCTACCTACATCAATGACAGGTACGAAAATGAATACCTACCTACTTTTGCTCCTGTAATTTACTTTCAGATTCATGAAGTGACGTTCAAAGTCATCTACACAAATTTTGATGGTGTTCTGAACAGTTCAGAAATATGTTTCGAACTCAACCATAACATTCGTGAAGATGACTTCATTATCCTTTCCATTTTGAGCTAAAATGGACTTCTCAACTCGTACCAGAGATACTAGTGTTATTCTTTTATTTCATCATATCGACTTACCCCTCTGTTCGTTTCCATGACATGGATATTTCTGGACGTATATGGCAGAGCATAAAAAATCCGATCCCTATTCGGTCCACGTATCGGCACCAGGCGATAGTACAAGGCACTCTTCGATTCGAAATGGTATTCCTTCACGTTCACCGTATCTTTGTCGACGATGCAATATCGAATGATTTTGTTACCAGCCAAACACTTGGTGGTTACTGGTAACAGGAACAGACGGTAACAATTTTGTGATGCCACCATGAAGTAGTCCACAACTTGGCAGTTGGCAGAAATATGAGCAATTACTTTCATTTGGGTCCCAGGAAGGCCCTGAAATTGGAAAATGTGCCATCCCATAAGTTGGTTAGTATACCGGGTGACACAGGAGACATGTAGCAGCCTGTAGTTTTTTTATTGGAAGAGGTAAAATTTTGAAATTCTTCTGAAAATACCATATCTGATAGGTCTCAGAGTCTTCATAACGGAGATACAGGGCGATTTATCGATATCGAATAATTATTCATTCGTCTATATGTATTGACCTACCCAGTATATTTTTCTCAAATTTGGTAAGGAGCTTATACTTGGGACGTTAAATTTATTCACCTATCGGGCGGAGTGAAAATCCAGGTTCGGCTTCAGGAAAAATTTACATTTATTCGAAATATTAAAATAACACACTGTATTCAATAATTAACACGGTACATCAAAAGAATTGTGAAGAGGAGGAAAAACTGAATTGTGTATGATGCTTTTTGTTTTCCCGCCACCAATTCTCATCGTAACAATCATAAACAAAAAGTTGAAAGTATTTCAATTTGAAGAGTATTGGAATTATGAAACCAGTGTCAAATATGATTATTTGATATTTCAGTCAAAAAATCGCTCGAAAGAACTCACTAAGTCTCACAGTCTCCATAAGTCTCAAACTACCCAGTAACATTTTCTCAAATTTGGTAGGTATGTAGCTTACTTGGAACGATGGATTCATTAACCTATCAGGCGGAATGAATGCGAAATAATACCAAATAATTATAATTCGATGATTCACCCTGTATCTCTGTTATGAAGACTATGAGACTTTTCGTGAGGCTGAACCTATATTTCCATTCTGCCTAATAGGCCAATGAATCCATCGTCCCGAGTAAGCTCAATACCAAATTTGAGAAAATATTACTGCGATGGGTAGTCTAATACTTATATGGACAAATGAATAATTATTCGAAACCGATAATTCACCCTGTATCTCTGTTATAAAGACTGTGAGATTGAGTTAGTTCTTTCGAACGATCATTTAACAAGAATATATCGAATAATCATAATTGAAAGTGGTTTCATAATTTCAAATTGACATACTTTAAGTTTTCTGTTTATGATTGTTACGATGAGAATTGGTGGAGCGAATACAAAAAGCATCAAATCCAGTTCAGTTTTTCCTCCTCTTCATGATTCCTTTGATGAACTTTGTCAATTATTACATACAGTGTGTTATTTTAATATTTCGAATAAATGTAAATTTTTCCTGAAGCCGAACCTGGATTTTCACTTCACCCGATAGGTGAATGAATTCAACGTCCCAAGTATAAGCTCCATACCAAATCTTAGAAAAATATAATGGGTAGTTCAATACTTATAGAAGAATGAATAATTATTCGAAATCGATAAATCGCCCTGTATCTCCGTTATGAAGACTCTAAGACCTATCAAATATGATATTTTCAGAACCACCTTGGTGACCCCTATGTACCATTGAAATATTTCTCTTTACCTATGAAACACCCTGTAAAATAAATGGTAGCGCACTTTACGAACTTAACGACGATTTTCTTCAACCACCTGTTTGACCGGAAGTGACCCCAACTATATTTTTTTCAATGTCACCCTGTACATTTCTTCAGTCTATCTTTTTTGCCTTGAAATTCTCTATCTAACCATGTATCACAAAGTGGCATTTATTTCTTGATTCGCTCTTGAATTGCTTTTTATTCAAGTTGGCTGTGACATGAATTCGATGATATATCGACACTTGGTAGGCTTTGAAATTCAAAGATCATTAGTAAACCGATATTATTCAAAATGTTTTGATATTCTGATCAATATCTGCAGGTTATCGATAGCTTGTTTGAGTCAAGATGAAAACCTTCGAAAATAACTCATGATAATGAGGAATCTAAGATAGGAACATATTTTTTCGAATTCAGATACTCTTACAGAAACTATCTGTCTTTTATTTTCGCCATGTACCTATCACATGAACTTCCCATTTGGAATAATAAAACTAAAATTGTTCCTCTTATACGATGATCCACAGGGCTATCAGTCTATTTTTTCATAATTATTTCACTTAGTAGGCGGTGTACCTACACAAAATGTTTCATTTGTGTGTTGATTTGAATTGCATATTAATTAATTAATTATTAATTACCTCAATGATGAAGAAATCTCCTTCGTATAAAAATGTGGCCACAAGAATTCTTCCTTCTTCAAAAAATCTCAATCTTTGCATGGGATTAGAGCACAAGTGGAAGGATGTCATCACTGACAGCTTTTCATGATTGTAAACTGATACTAGGTCGATATTTCCATCAGAGTATCCCACCGCAAGATATGGAAAATTAGGATTTGCAGTTACTGATAAAGCGTCTCTTTGAAGATTGAACTTGGTCATCTAAAACATGTGGAATATATTACAATTATATTGAATAGACTTGCATGACATTCCAGAATCTGGAAGTAAATAACTGGAACTCCTGGGCCCCTATTCTGCTCTTTCTATAATGAGTAGTTACAAGGTGAACTTGTGATATCAAATACATCGTTTAGATCTGTCAGTACCACAATGTTGCTGATTTCACCAATATAGTGCATCTCCACTATATATAGTGACGTGATAGATTGGAGGATTGATGGCGAATCAATACTCGATTCAAATTAGCAACAGGAAAATCAAGTTTCTTCATGAGTTTGACACTTATTTTCGAGGTCAATGTCAATTTGGAAATCGATGTGAAATATTTATACCAAAATCATCAGGACGCTTCCAAGGTGAATAAAGCATCAAGATGGCTTCATCCACACTGCATTTCTGTGAATTGAGCAACACCAACTTCGGGTGTTGATGGACAAATTGTAAAGTCAGTATTGTAAGGGACCTACTGAAAATAGTATTCTTTTTATCTTCTGAAGGGCACGGAAGAATATCCGTGTTATGTTCGTGAAACATCGTGCGTACCTCTCTTTCAGAAAGGATTCACTTACAATGCTGTTAAATTGATCAATTCATTACCTGAAACTATGATGAACCTTACTAAGTCTGCTTTCAAGCATCGTTTCAAGCAGAATCTCTTAGCGGACCTACCGATCTGAATAGATAATTATTCTGATGTAAATGATAGGATTTAAAGATGTGAAGGACTGTAATCATGTAATGTAACCATGTGATTATTACATAATCTTTTGTTACATGCTGACTTTTATGCAGATCATTATGGGGTTAGATGTAAGAGTAGCCTAGCTAAATTTCGCCCCTTGATGATCATTACAATTTTGTTTTCATCAAATATTTATAAATAAAGTCGATTTATTATTATTATTATTATTATTATCATCATTATTACCTAGAGAGGAGAGGGAGGCATGGTAGATATTGAATTTGTTTTTGAAATTATGGGGGTATAAAAATTGGGCAGCAGCAGTGTATAGGTATAACTTTGAATCTGCATATGAGTTGCGTCACGTAGTGTCCCAAAGTTAACGTGATCCGACAAGATCGATTTTTAGGGCATCAGCTTTAACAGCGTTGAATTAAGACAAGAACCAAATGTCCACCTTGAATAACTGCATCACAGAATAGGTATGCACTGATGATGACTTAACAGTCGAAAGCGCTCTGCTCCGAGTATGAATTTGAATAAATTATCTTGCACGAAATACAACACTTCTCTTCTTTGGTATATATACACTAAGCAACCCTTATTAATTTTTTCTACTTATTTTGACTCAATATCGAAAAAGCACCCTAATTTCCAATCCAGCATTCTCGCGTCAAAATATCTGATTCTTCAAAGAAGTTGATGGTCTTTTTGTTCGTTGAAATCTCTACTTTCTGATGGTGTGAATAGTATATTACACACCGAGCTGGGAAGTGATTCATACCTGTCGTGAGATTAGTTAAGTGAACCAAGACGCAAACCATCATATTTCGATCACTTCTACTATGGTTTACCATCAAGTAAAGATCGAGTGAGATGATAATTTAAAAAAGGGAGTTTTCCCTGGTCCGAAATAAACAAGGAAAAGATCCAATAGTAGTCTGAGATTGATAATGTTATTCATTTCATACCGATTTTCCAGTTTCAACACAAAAAACATTCAGGATTCTCTTATTTCTTAGCGCCACTATATATTCGCCAACTGGGTACACCATGCAAATATCTTGTATGTAGCTGTCATCAGGATTCAAGATGGTAATTCCGTCAGTATTACTTATCTTCATGATGTCACCCTCAGCGTTGATTCCTACCAAGAATTCAGACTTATTGGATGCGAGAAATATCACACCATCTTCCAAAGGCATCGTCCAATCGCATGTCCACGTTCCAGATTTTTTGTAATGCTAAAACATTGGCAAAAGTGAATGAAACGGTTTCACTAAGAGCTCGTCTGTCGATTCGACAAAATCAAATCAGTACCTACCTATATTATCATAATACATACTCTTATATTATAATCTGGTCCACTCACAGCCAACCCTCCCTTATACCAAGCTATAGCTGGAGAGAATTTTCCTTCATAAGATACTTCAACAACTTGGTCTAATAGGAATTCATTATCTACCTATAAAAATATCAGTGAGGAAATTAAATAAGGGGTATCAGCTAATCGAATTTCACTAAAAATTTGTATCGTCTAGAACTAGTGTTTCATATTTTTTCCCAAATTATGCTGGATAGTTCGGACGCTCCAGACACCTATAGACCTGTTTATCTAGAAATTTGTAGAAACAGTTGTGTGTCCAATCTATACAAAATTTCAAACATTAATTACATTGGCTAAGACCATTGGACAGGCTTGAGCAAGCTTGGGTAGGTCATTTCCTATATTATGAAACTCTACGTGAAAATTTAAATTTAGCAGACATGATGATGTACTGAAGAAGTTGTCAAATGAAATGAAAGATGAAGTATTGTATTATGTTAGGCCTCTCAGCGAGATCTGGTAGGAAATGGTGATGGTGGTGATCAATGGTGGTGGTGGACAACAGTGGTCTTCATTAATAACGACGGATAATCCACTCTTTCAGAGATAATTAGGGAATGACCGATTTGTCAGCAGTTTCCGATTAGTAATTTCATGACTATAAAATTAAATTTTAATGAGTTTCATCAGAACAGAATCAACGGCATATCTATGACTATGACAACATAAACGCATATTTTCCTCATATTTTCTCTTTTAGAATGCCTGTCGACCCTGTCAAATGGAGCTAGCAATAGTTTGATTCTTGAAAAGTTCAATCACAGATTATCAAAGATTAGGATGCATTTTTTGATCAGCTATTGCTTCTTCTCGAACTGGCTCAATATAATGTGAAAGTTTTCATTAGATAGATTCAAAGGCAAAGTTAATTCTAGACGTGAACCAAACCAACTTTACAACGATTTTACAATTAGGCGAACCAAGGAAAAAGAAATAAAAATATCACAGCATTTGGACCTAGAGATATCTTATACTCGACACCTAACGAAGTTTGAATAAAATGAGCTTTACATGGAATCAGGAGCGCCTAAATAACATGAAGCCCAAATAACCAAACTACCTACCAGGATCACCCCCTAACTTATTTGATATTCAAAATAACAACCTCATATTATTTCCAGTTATACTTTCTTGATTCAAGAGTAGGTATTTTAATAGATATTTCTTGATGGCGCTACAGTCGAGATTTTGGGATGAATTAATAATTATCATCGCACTTTCAGATTTTCTTCACATAAACAGAGCTTTCAAATGACGAAAAGTTTGTGTCTATTATTCTATATTGAACATTTCAAGTTATCAATTGCTTGTGAAGGATTGAGTATGATATTTCGTTGGATTGAGAATGAGACTATATATGAAAAAAAACTGACAAAAAAACTGAAAATGCAATATTTAACAAATACAAGTTAGGGGTGGTTGCTATAGTGAGTCGTTTGACGAAAAGTTGTTTTGGGCTTTTTAATTCGGCTTCAGTCCATATATTGAAGTAGAGATGGAGGATGTCTTTCAAAGCAATTCATATAATAGGTCCCTGGTGTACTTCTATACTGTAATAAATTACATACAGTATATATGCATCCTTTTCGATCTACGATAAACAGTCCTCCTTCTGTTGTCCACAGAACACCGGTAAAAGGGGCAAAGTTCCTAGATCTTGGGACATTTACAACGTGATTTGCCAGAAAAGATCGTTTACAGCAAGTGAATATGTCCCAGTAAGATATTTTATAGGTGTCCACACCCAATTGGACCATGTTGATTGGTTTCCCCCAATTGCACCTAGAATACACAGGAGTGAATCAGAATTATTCTGTTATATGTAATATGAAGTGTTTCTGACATTTTTTTAAATTGAGTATAAGAAGAACAATTTGTTATAGGAAAGAAAATTCGAAATGAGGTATTAGGATTTTCCAGCGCTATGGCTTGGGGCGTTTTTTTGTCAATAATAAAAGCTGCTCACATAAAAATTTGTTTTTCTATCGTTATTTGACTTTTGATCTCTGCAAATTTTTCCTGACTTCTCCAGTTCCAAACAAAGATGGAGAACGTCGGTTTGTCTCCAAGAATAATCAACAAGGAGGTCTCTGAAAATGCCATTCCAAGGTAACCTTCCTGGGGTCCATCTATAAACAAAACAAAAATATGTTTATCGCTGATGATTGTCGATTCCACAGTGTTTCCATTCGGTTTTCTTCGCTTTCCGTCATGGTAGAAAATATTACCAAAAGTCAGCTCAAATGGTAATTATTGACGGAAATAATTCCAACAGTTTTGATAAGTACCCAGTGAACACACTCGTTATATTTACATACACATGCCGTCAATTTCATATAACGAATGTTCCACAACTCAATTATATCAAATGGACGTCAATGTGCTGTAAATCGTGAATACAACTCTGACATAATCCTATTTCTCTTGAATTTACAGCAATGTTCCATATAACAGTGATACCTCATTCACATTACATTCTTCCGTATTTATTATATAACATCTTTTCGATAACTCAATTGATGACTGGACAACCTTGCTTCATGAGTGAAAATCGGAGGTTATCTGACCAATAACGGCAATAACGAAAGAACATTTAAAACTGAAGTCACCATTTATTCGACTAATCATCAAATGGCGGCTATGACGGTACATTTGAAATGAGCTCTGAAATTCAACGATATTGTACCACGTATAGACTCATTCTTTGGTACTGAGGCACAACCCGATATGTTCAAAAAACGGATTTCTCAGGAAAAGATTATTCATATAAGCTCGCAGGATCGCTGAAATTTGGATTCCATTCAGTTTAATGCAGCGAATTCATCAAAGTGTTTCACAACGAATAGGCTCTTCTCTTCTAGCAGAACAGTGCAAAATTCATCTAGTAGGGAAGTTATTTGTATAAATATGACATATCGTGACACGTACGTCAGATGCAAAGAACAGGAGTGCTACATGTTGGTCGAATCTGACTGTACACATGCAGCACACCAAGGAGCATGAAATTCCAGATTTTCGACACCCACATCGTCCTCCACGTCCAGTAAAACATCTGCAAAAGATGCTGTTCAGTATCGCTTCAGGTGCTACACAGTCTTTGGTTGTCATTGCGGGATGAGCTATCCATCCCTCCCTATAGATTTTTTCATCCCTTGTATTCCAGAAACTATAATTTAATGTTTTTCAATCTCGCATATCTATACTTTTCATTAACAGGCCTAGACTTTCAAACTCTATTTTCCAAATGAACTCAGTTTTATATTAGCGAACTGAATTGAAATCGCAAAAACGTAATTCGCTTTCTTTAGAATGTTCCTCTAGCAATTCTGCTGTTCTGGTACTGATTCTCAAGCTCAAGTAAAAACTGTTGCACTCAGATCGAATCACCGGAAAAAGATCATGTAAGTCCTGTCCCTTTAAGAGATTGGTGGAAAGTGGCCTAACATGAGATTTCCTCAATAAGAGTATCGGTGAATTGCTCCTTCAAAATAGTTTCAACTCTATCACTCTGGAGTTTTAATGATTAGTGATATTTTTTCGTTCTGAATGAACTGACACAGTTCACTTGAACTAAACTGAATCAGTTGACATGCGATGAACGTCATTTGAAAGAACGCATATTAACTGACTTCAGCAGTCTTCTTTAATCTTTCATGATCCGATAGGCCAGACATACTGGGATTCACAATTTTTATGCTATAACCCGACGCAGCCAGAACCCGATATGCCTGATATAATGGGTTTTGCCTTCTACCACTTTTTGTATAAGGAACATATCGGAATTAAATCAAATTTACCTACAAGCTGTTAGAGCTTCAGATAAATATCGTGTTTTGCCATCGTATTCTTCGCTCCAAACTGCATATTATTATATTGGCATTAAAAACTAAAATTCGATATTTTATGACATATCGGGTTCTGCCTCACCACACAGTACCACAGCATTATTCACATAAGAAAGCGTGAGAAGTATTGCAAAAATTAATTTTGGTCCCCAACGACACAGTGGAGTAACGGAAAGCCAATAATTCATTATCAGTCTACTCGCCCATGCATGTTATTTTTCAACCAAAATAGTTTTTGATTCGAATAATGAATCTCACTTGTTATTTTGGCAATGACTTCAAACGAAGGATACGTTTTGATGTAGCAAATTGGGCTCTTGCAGTTCTCAGCATACGCGAAAACGTAGATGCTGCGATGTCCCGTCATGGTGGCTATTCCATCTCCATTTCCAGAATGGAAATTCGCGGTGAAAGAGAGCTCCTTTCCTGAAGGAAGTTCGATGAAGTGCGCATGACAACCCACTGCGTAGCAAATGACGTCTTTCGCTATGAAGCTCAGGTGTTTCACCGCCCCTATCTTGAACCATCTAAAAGAGGATGTTATATTCATAATTGGCAAACGGTGCAGGATTTTCTACTAGAAATCTAAAATCTATCTAGGTCAGCGGTCCTCAACCTGTTTTAGTAATGTACCACAGAATCTTCTGTATAATTTGAAGTACATACCACGTAACTAAAATTAGGCGGCTCAGTGGTCCAGAGCGTGAAGGCGCTGAGTTCGTATGGGGACTCCCACCGAGACATAGGTTCGAATCCTAGTTAGGCCATGGATGTTTGTGTTTGTATGTATACCTAACCCCGCACAAGTTTCGACTTATGGGGCGTTTGGCCCCAGTGCTGGGACCAACGAGGTATGCAATTGCAAAAAAAATAGAAAAAAAACTGATAACTCATACCATAACATACCTCTGTGTGATAAATGGATTTTCCGCAATGTTGTAAATTATTATTGAGAATGTATACAAATAAGCTATGTATTAATACATAAGCACAACCTTCCCCAATTATTGTAAGTACCTATATGTATGAATTCTGAAAATGTAATAATAGTTATTTATTTTACAAGGAAAAAAGTATGAGATTTCAGCTCGATGTTGTGTTGTCTAGCTAAAATCTAATTTTCTCATATGTAATACCACAAGTGATAATATTTTGCCGGAAATATTCGGTGATTGTTACGACAGCTTGTTGCCTAGTAATTTCGTGAATGAATCAATGTCATGAGCGAAATTAGAGGAGCAAGCTGGAGTATGTCAATCGACGAATATTTCCAGGAAAAATAGTATCACGAGTTGTATTCGTATGACTATTTCATGATTGAATGAGACAATATATATAAGAAATAGGACACATAATGAAGGTATATTCCAACACAAACTGCGAAGAAGAACATAATGATAGTAATGAAATACAGAATTCAATTTTTTAAAAATCAACTATCTACTTATAGTTATTCACAAAGTGGAATGTACAATTTTGATAAACAGTATTTTCTTTATTATCTTGGAGATGGTCGCTCTCAAAATAGTGTATAAAATTGCTATCCAATTCAAACAAAATAAATTGAATTTATGAGACATTAAATAATTTAAAAAAAAAAGATAACTCGAACCATCGACCATCGTATCTTAGCGCAACAACCCTAACAGTTGCGCTACATCGGTAATTATTTTATAGTCACAATAACTTGAGTGCTTGAAGAAGATTACTTTAAAAAGGAATTTGAATTCTAGTATTGTTCTGTCAGACCGTCAACAAATATGCAAACTTTTTAAATTACACATGAAACGTCCAGCCAAAATAAAATTGTCTCGCTTTTCGTACAAAATGTCTCACTGACGCGAATTATAAGTAAATTAAATGAAGTAGGTACTTTTAGGATATTGTCTCAGTGGATTTGAATCCAAAGCAATCTTGACCAGGCACGATGTCAAAATTTTATCGCTGATAAACGAGGTTTGTTGGTCACGTGTGGGTCAATTCGGCTTCTGTATTGGTAGAGCAAGTCCGATAAAATTTAATAAACAAAAAATATCGCTAGAATACAGAAGAAACCGTGAAAATGGTCGATTCTGATTGGTTCTCGAGATCAAGAGTGGAATAGTCAATGTAATTTCTTCTCAATATTAAACCGTCATTTTTCCTGTCACAAAAAAATGTGTATAATTCACGGGGGAAAAAATCAGAAAATTATCGATGTGAAATTTGAAGTTTTTAACTACCTGTGTTTGCAGGCATCTCTTTGTAGGCATCTTTATTGTTGCTATGGAAACCTTTTGAAGTAATCGGATATGAGTCAATTTCATTATGTGTTGTGATTTTAGAAATTGCGAACTTAGTGGTTGTTTAGTAACCGCAAGGTGGAATGGAAGATAATAGTTATCAATGGTACTAGTGTGTTATGTTGAAAATAAATCACAACATAACAAATGAGTGGCATACAATGTTTCATCCAATAAGTGGAAGATATCGTTTTTTTATGAAATAATAATTAATAAGTTTTGTGATCAAATCAAAGCTTCCTGCGTCTCAGTACCCTATAAATGTCAGAATTACTTGACAGTGACTTTTTTACATTTTGGTTAAAGTAGGTTGTTTGTTGGGTTGCCACGTGATCAAATAAATATTGACACTCGTCAGTTTTCCCTTCAGAAAAAAGGAAACTTTTTTGAAAAAAAAAGTGGATAGAAAATGGAGGAAACTGATGAAAATTACGTTCCTGAGGATATCCTTACGGAAGCGGAAGAAGCAGCGATGCAGATTTTGCCAGAAAAGTCCCGAGATGCTTACGACAAGGAGTTCAAAATTTTTGAGTCTTGGATGAATTCACGGAAGATGAAAGGTATCGATGAGAACGTTCTATTGGCTTACTTTTTACATTTGCAGAAAAAAATTAGCCCCATCGTCGTTATGGACCAGATACTCGATGCTTCGCTGGACTATTCACCTTTATGAAGAAATCGACAGTTCAAAATATGGTAAACTGACGAGCTTTTTGAAAAGCGAATCACAGGGATACAAACCAAAGAAGTCCAAGACATTAGAACGACCTGAAATAGAGAAGTTTTTGAACGAAGCTCCCGATGACGAGTACTTGTTGATGAAAGTGGCTTCGATAATGGGGATTAGCGGTTTTGCCAGACACTAAAACCAAGAAATCGAGGAGTTTCACCATACTTGAAGAAGGATTTCCAGTCAACCCGATCAATTTGTGTAAAAAATACATGTCTTAGAGACCAAAGAATACTAGTTCTAGCCACTATTTTGTGTTTTACAGAAATGGGAGGTGTACCAGCCAGTGTGTGGGAATAAATACGTTGTCGAAGATACCTTCAAGAATTGCAAAGTTTTTGAACTTGGAGGAACCAGAGCGCTCTACACAGGTCACTGCCTGAGAAGGTCTTCGGCGACTCTTTTGGCCAATGCAGGGGGCTAACATGAATAACTCTTTGAAGCGTCACGGAGGATGGAAGTCCTCGACGGTAGCAGAAGGATACCTAGAAGAATCAGTGCATGACAAAATACAAATTGCAGAAAAAATACAAGGTTCTAATGTGTCGGCGTCTTCCAGCACTATCAGCAGCTGTACCGATATGGGAGCATCTGGTTCCAATGAACCAACGAATATTACAATTACTTCAGATTCGAATAAACCTTTAATTTCAATATCAATGTTCATCCTGCCTGTGATAGTGATAAATTTTGATTGGATACTACTTTAAACTAGTGGAATTTTCAGTACTTTCTCAAGTTTCTCGGAGATGGTGTTATTTATTGGCTTATTTTCCAGAACTGGCACAACAAATGCCATCAACAGTTCACAGTGCACCTATATATTTCAGCTCTCGGTTTTTTGTATCCCTCCGCTACGCCTAAGGAGACAACGCAACCTCGAGCTGAAATCTAATACTTTGTTTTGTTTTTTTTAAATTTTTTAGTTTTATTCCATGTGGTGATAATTTGAGATCTATTTCAGGTTTTTGAATCAAAATATGTTTGTGTGTACCACCGACCACCACAAATAAAAAATTGTACCACTAGTGGTAAGTACATATGCCACAGGTTGAGAATCGGAATCGCTGATATAGATGATACAATTAATCTACAGTGAGTCCTGATCAAATGTAACCAACATCGTATTTTACAGTACAATGAACGATTAGTGTTTTTTTAATGTTCTACTCAAAAATACTTATGAGACATCAGAAAAACTTCGAAAACAATTAGACTTCCACAGAATTCCCAAAAACACGACATGTTTCGCTAACACAGTAACAAAGTAGCTTCTTCAAGTTAAATACTCGTACAATTAATTGAACTAACATTGATATGCCTAAATTATATAGGGTGTGGAAGAAAGTGCATCAACTTTTGGCAAAATATTATAGCGTGTTCGACTGCCCGACTGGTTTGCACTGACACGGTATAGATGCGTATTTAGCACTGCACTGACTTCGGACAGAATTCGTTTTGTTCGAACCAATCTAGAGCAGATGCATGTCGATAATTCGAATTATTTTGGTACTTCATGAATGAAGTTCAATATTGACATTGTGATTATTCGACTGGTATGTTTAGGTCAACGTGCTGTTGGATTCTAAGGCGGGATCAGGCTAGATCTAATCAAATATCTCAATTCAAAATTGACAAATTGTCGAATTATTTCTCAAATTTCGAAGTATGGAGAGAATAATGATTCACGACATAATAAGTATACAGTGTGTCCCACTTACCATGCTCACCATGGGTATCTTTTTAACGGTGACAGATACGAGGTCGGTTAAATGACACCAAATGTGGAGTTTGTCAAGGCCAACTATAATGTGAAAAAATATGTTGATAAAATCTATTCGTTTTTGTTTTATACGCAAAAAGCAGATTTTGATCATTTTCATGTCTCCTCCGTAACTTCGCTTCATTAATGAAAATATTCAAATAGGAATTTCACATTCTCATGGCAGTTTTCCGAAGTGATTTCGAAAAAAATATGAAATTTATACCAACACTTCTAGAATTTGAGATATCAGCACCAACTTTAGTTTTTCAAATGTAGGTCATAGCTCACTATGACTTAGTTACGAATAACTTTTTTTTCTCTTACAGATGATATGTCGTAGTAATAATTTCGTGTTGATAACAACGGAGTTATCGTCATTTATACAAAAACAAAAAATTATTTGGAAGCCGCCCATACAAATTTTAACAAAAAAATCATGATCTCCGACCTCAAAAAACCCCCACTTACCAATTTTGAATGGGATCGGACCAAATCTTGTCCGCCATCTTGGAGCAGCCATTTTTTTTAATTTCAACAAATGTTGCAAGTGAATTTTGACTCACTTCTGGCCGTCCTATCAACTTGAAATTTGGCAGATATTCGTAAATCCGGTGACAATACATTATGGAATTTTTGTTGAAATTTTGAAAAAATGGCTGCTTCAAGATGGCGGACAAGATTTGGTTCGATTCCGTTCAAAATTGGTGAGTGGGGGTTTTTGAGGTCGGAGATCATGATTTTTTTGTTGAAATTTATGAATTCAAGATGGCGGCTTCCAAATAATTTTTTGTTTTTGTATAAATGACGATAACTCCGCTGTTATCAACACGAAATTATTACTACGACATATCATCTGTAAGAGAAAAAAAAGTTATTCGTAACTAAGTCATATAGTGAGCTATGACCTACATTCGAAAAACTAAAGTTGGTGCTGATATCTCAAATTCAAGAAGTGTTGGTATAAATTTCATATTTTTTTCGAAATCACTTCGAAAATCTGCCATGAGAATGTGAAATTCCTATTTGAATATTTTCATAAATAAAGAAGTTACGGAGGAGACATGAAAATGATCAAAATCTGTTTTTTGCGTCTAAAACAAAAACGAATAGATTTTATCAAAATATTTTTTGACATTATAGTTGGCCTTGACAAACTCCACATTTGGTGTCATTTAACCGACCTCGTATCTGTCACCGTTAAAAAGATACCCATGGTGAGCATGGTAAGTGGGACACACTGTATAGAGATATTCTATGAATTATCAGAAATTCGGAAATATCATTATTGCTATCGACTAATAACTACTATCACTGTTGCTCGACAATATAGGAAATCATAATTGCTAGTCGTTTTATAACAGTCATTTAGAAATCTGAACATAACAATGTAAATCATCACCCAGTATCTTTCAGCATTTTTCAGCCCGTTGTGCCCAGTGGCGTAGCCAGGGGAGGGGCAGGTGTAATTTCTAGTTAAGGAAGGTTACCTAAGTGAATTCAAAAATTTCCAAATTGCACGTACGCACATCAGGAAATTTATACAACTCAGGCAACAGCGGGGACAGCCGTTATTATTGCACAATGTCCTAAAATAAAAGAACGTCGTCCCACTCCCCACTCTCACTCACTGCTTATTGCGTGCGCTTTGTGTAAATTGCCAGTTGCATACGAAAAGGTACCCGTTGATTGATTAATATATCAATCAACGGTTATATGATGTTTCCATAATTATTATGGATCCTAATAAAAATCGAAAATGTCCTGCTGATAATCAGACAGATCAGACAACTATTAGCCTATTTCAATAGCAGAACTTTGGTTGAATAGACCGAACTATATAATTATCTGCTATTTTATTAGAATTTTGATTCATTTTATTGTCTTCTTCTGGTGGGGCAGATCATGTTCCCTCTAGGGTACTCTGGTCCTCTATCTGGTGATATATATATCATTTCGTTATTAGATGACGGTCTAAATTTGCAGCTGGCTCTTGGAGTATTAGAACAGTTGGTGGGTGAAAAGTGAGTGTCAGAGGAGATTAAAATTAATTACCAAATTATACTATTCGAGATAAAATCATCAGGTTGAATTTTATTCCACAAAAACAATGACATGTTATGTTTTCTTCCATTTTCAATGGGTTTTATTTCACTATTTTTTTTTTGGTTTCAAGTCTATCGACCCTGGTCTATCTGGCATTGACGGTTCTTCTTTTTGTGGATGAATTCAAAGATGATTAATCAAGCATTCTGATGACAATAAAGACCTCCTCTGGCAATCACTTTCCACCAACCTACTGATTTGCCAACTTTTTCCATTTGAAACATTATACAGGGTGTATCTAAATAGTATAATAAAGTTGTTTCAATAATTCAATCTAATAAGATATGTAACTCAGAAAAACCGGTGGTTTACAATGACATGAATATCGATAAATTTTAGCCACTGTGACGCCACTGGAAATATTATTTCGAATCTAATTGCACTAGAAGAAGCTCCATATTATTATTAACAAAACCACAACGTTTCATTGAAATTGATAAGAATACTATTGAGAAATGAATAGAAAAAAGATTTTTCATGGAAATATTAATACCCTGTATCTCGAAAACGAAGCACGTTCGGACACAAAATATCACAAGGAATCACACTTGGATATTTCCGGTGTCATTTAGATACACCCTGTATATACATCAATTTTCCGAAGAACCAGACTGACTGAAGTATATTTTTTTTTGCCCTAAAAATTCTATAGGAGCGCCAAAGCATAAGCCACACCGCTGGGGAATATTTGTATAAAAATTATAGCCCTATGCTCTAAGGTGTAACCTAACCCTACTCTAATATTCTATCTGTATAGTGTATATAAGTGTGGTTTGAACGTATATTGCCGAGTATATTGTCAACGATTTCAAAGATGGAATACGCTCAGACAGCAATTATACATACCACTCATATTCTTATTCATCTGATTCAACTTATTCTACTATAGGTAAACTTTGCTTCCCGTTGAGTAACACGCGGGTATGTTGATAAAAATCTAATCAACGAATACAAATAAAAGCTGATGACGGTCGTACTTACTGTGTTTTATTTTCAGTAGCTCTCATAGTCAATGGAAACTGATGAAAACTGATTCTCCATTGACACAATATTTAGTGGTAACTATGTTACGAACTGTGGTATCGATGGTAATAGCTACAACCATTTAGGTATCCATGTAAACAAATTCTCAGGATTCTAGGGTGTTTCAAAGTTGTGGTGGCGAAAGCCTAGAGCATAGGAGATTCCTCTCAACAAAATATAAAAAAGTTTATATGAACATGTGTACGAAATGGCTTCGATTTCAAAATTCCTACTTTGAAAAACAAATTATAGTTTATTATTGATATCTCGAAAATGCTCAAGCCGATTCGGATGACATTTTTATTGTTTATTTAGATTTCATCCAGGATTTCCAAGGGCGTATACTCATCCAGCAAGTAGCCATCCTCTGTTTTTTTTGCATTCTTCTCAAATATTCAGATAAAACCACTGAAAATACAACATTTCTGTCCCTTGGCTTTCTTCGTATCTTACTTCTTTTTCGAGAAAAAGTGCAATACCATACCCGCACTCCACAAGTAAAAATGAAAATGCTTAGATATCATCCAAAAATTCATTGCACATTATCATTTTTTATGAGAACAGGAAAGAAATAAAATTCAATAGATACTCAAATTAATGCATACGATTCTCAAATTTTGTGAGAAATATTTTTTCCTCCGATTGGCAGCAAATATTAATTTTGCTGACACATATCGATCAGCAAAGTATTACTTTTCCTGCCTAGGCAGCAAAGTGGGTACTTTGCTGATTGATATGTATCAGCAAAATTAATAATCCATAAATCGTTTATAATTTCCTTCATATTTCATCCCAGACTTCTCCAGCAACAAATTCAACTCTATATTTTTTGACACCTCCCTCATTTCTGGAGGTGTTAGTACTTCCAGGTCGCTTTCACTGTCCATTATATAATAATTTAAATAATCCGATATTTTTTCGCACAACTGTCAAAAATTTCATGAATTGTCAAACTATAATTATTATGAACATTTCCATAGCAACCAACCATTCCAACAACTGCGATTTCTATCAAATTTCATTTTAATTGAACATTACAAGAAAAATAAAGAGATATATATCATTATGAACAATCGGAGAAAAAATTATATGTTCAACTCGGCAGCAAAGTAGATTGACTGCCTTAGCTGGATTCCTAGCCTCGCTACGCTCGGCTATGAATTCAGCCTCGGCAGTCAATCTACTACTTTGCTGCCTAGTTAAACAAATAACTATTCCAATTATTAAGTCGTCACGAAATTACAAGAAATGTTCAAAATTACGGCCTCCTATTCGATGCAGGAATTTCACATTCTCACAAAATTTTGACGTACCTGGATTTTTTTTAATAATCTGGCAAGAATCGAAAATTCGTTGGTATCATGACTACCATGGACATCTTCCAGAGATTATACACAAGGTTTCTCAGGTAACCATAACAAAATCTGAGCAACTAAGGTCTGGAGAGCGAGGTGGGGTTGAGAGGTATGCCGAGGTATCGTATTTTCTGTTTTCCTCGAAAACGAAGCAATGCACGAGGAAAAGGCATGAGAGAGGGAAATTGTAGTTTCAGTGGGTTCGTGGTTGATCTGCACCGTAGAAAAGTTGGCGATCTGGCTCTACTTTATAGATATTTTCATGGACGATGACATTCTGAAATATCAACAATTGTTCCTCTCTTGGCAGTCCCCGCGAGAATAACCCGTCGAGTTGAGGCTTCGCACCCCTTCGTGGTCACTTTGGAGACCTGCAAAACATCTCTTTCCAATAAAGACTCGTTCATCCAACGAACAGCGAGGCCCTGGAACACATTGCCAAGGGAGGTGTTCCCCGAGGCATATAACCTCCAGAAATTTATCAAGAACACCCATTCCTACCTTATTTCCCTTGGTTCTCACGATGTTCTCTTAACATTACAGGATATATCTTTTCGTGGGAACAAAAACATAAATAAAATACTCCTGTAATCGGACTTTTGGTCTGTTGGATGTATTACTTCAATAAATAAATAAATAAGTCATGACCCGTAAGGGATGAGCGAGAGGGAGCGTAATAATTGTTGTTCTTGATTAATTCTAAGAGCGCGGGCTCTAGCGAATGTGTGTGAATAAATGAAATTGAACAACATAAAAGTTACTACGAAAAGGGTTCCATTCATTTTTTGTCTATAATGTCTGAAATACAGGGGATGAAAAAATTGAAAATTAGCAATGAGATAAATCGTTCATCCCAGTGACATCATTCATAAATACCCAGTATAGCTACTGTCTGTAGGTTATTCGAGGAGGTGGTACATTTATTTTACTTAATTATTAGGGATTTTTCTTTCCTCGTTTCTATATAATAAAAATATGAGTATTATTTGAAAACATGTGTAGTATAGGACAAATCAGATGATTTGCCTGCATTTAACAATTTTTTCTATCAGTAAAGAAAATTTCAATAGCTTGTCAATGACACTTCGTTTGGAAAAATGTTTGTAGAAAAGAAATATCGAATTTTTACTTATCTTTGGACGTTTCGGGAACGAATTTGCTCTCGTTCTCAACATGAAAATGCTTAAATATTTTTCTTTGACAATTTAATTCATGTTTGAAAAATCCCACAAGCCGCGTGATTTTGTCATTATGTCATCGAAAAAAGTTTGCCCTAACTTTTCCAGCGACAATAACGGAACCTAACTTTTGAAAGTATGACAACCAGCCATAAACAAATAATGTTTGATGAATCAAATTGTCTTACCGAATTACACTCTAGCTTTTTCTTGTTAGTCGAAGTAAACTTGCCATTTATATATAATTCGAATTTTGTTGCCATTAGGTAATTCAACTAAAAAAACTGCCAGAAAGAATTACTCGTCCTACGGACTCGTATTTTTTTCAGAGGCAGTTTTTTTCGTCAATTCACCAGGCATCAAAATTCTTATTGATACATGTCAAGTTTACTTCGACAAAAAAAAAAACTCTCGTGTAATTTCAAGTGAAAATTGTGCTCTTATAGTTTGACACTCCTCAGTGACAGACTGATGTTGACATATGAATGAATCTACCATTTTCATGTTCAGTTCTCAGTAGTGAATACCATGTTCTATCTTATCATCTCTAGAAATACTTTCTGCTACATCAGGATCAGGTGGTATATGTGGCAAACATCGATTTTGTGTTGAGATATGCGAAGCGTGACAAGCTCACCGCAGTCTATTTTTTCAATAAGGTTGGAGGAGGAGATGAAAACAAGTTGTATTTTTGGCCATAAATAGTTTTAATAACATTATCATCAATTTATAAACTAATTGTATCTATACAGATATCCTCCATAAGCAAAACTATATTCAATTCATCATAAAATAGTATATTTCATTACGTGTCTACGTACAGGATGATTCACCATAAATGTCCCCCCCTTCTAGCTCAGTTATTTTCGAACCGATTTCAAAATTTGAAATATCATCTCGAATGATTTTCGATAAAGTTTTTTTCCGCTACATCAGAAAATACAGGATGCTCGGAACAAACGATCTACAGGGTACTATTTCATTTTTTCATATGGAACACCCTATTTTTCATTGTATTTTTAGATTCTCCCTGAAGAGCTAATTTGGTCAATGTATATCACACTTGGGGTCTAGCGGGAATGATCACAGAGATGAAGGGTGTTCAAAATCGAGATTTTTCAACTTTAGCTTTCATGTCCATGTCTCAACTTTTGATTTACTATCTACTGACATTTAATAATTGGAACAGATACAGGGTGATCAGAATTCTGAATCTTGAACCACCCTGTAAATGTTCCAATCAAATGTCAGTAGACAGTAAATCAAAAGTTAAGAAGGAAATATAGACGCCGTTTCGACCAATAATGAATAGTTTCTGAAATACAGGGGATGGAAAAATTGAAAATTAGCAATGAGATAAATCGTTCATCCCAGCGAAACTATTCATTATTGGTCGAAACGGCGTCTATATTTCCTTCTTAACTTTTGATTTACTGTGTATTCTCTGATGCAACGAAAAAAAATTCTGATCAATCATTTAAGATTATTTTTCAAATTTTTAAATCGGTTCAGAAATAAGTGAGCTAGAGGAGAGGACATTTATGGTGAATCACCCTGTACGAAAAATAGGGATTTTTCCGTGCGCGTGTGACAAATTCTCTTGTAAGGCGAAGCCGAACACGGGAAGTCATGCAAGCACGGAAAAATCATTTCTGGAGTAATGAACGATATTTTTTATTACACTTCGATGGAAATGAAAATATAATAATGAAATAGTACATAATAGAGACACAACAGAAACATGAAACATTTTTATTTTCACAGTTGTAGGAATGAATAAACTTGGAATTACTAGACCTGGATTTTTCTGGTATTAAATTCTCGGTCGTTCGTGCCACTTGCTCTAGGATATTATCGGGAATTCCGGGATTTTCTTCTGAGTTCATTTTGTCGGCATCAATTTGATTGATAGAAAATAAATAATGCTGACAATACAGTGCTTAGAATGTATAATTCGTTTCCATGCTTATTCTCAAAGTTTTTCCGTGCGCTATTTCCGTGCGATAGCCCGAAAAAGCCTATCTTACAATATTACTAATAGTTATTTATTATACAAGGGGAAAAAGTAGTAGATTTTAGCTCCAGGTTGTGTTGTCTCTTGACGCGTAGCGGAGGGAGACAAAAAACCGTGTATAATACCCCAATTTCCGGAAAATGATATTAGGAGTCAAAATAGGTCGAAAATCACTTCAGATTTGGAATCAGGACGCCCAATTTACTAACTATTCAAATTTTTCTTGGAAAATTTTCAGTTCGGAAAAATGAAATTTTGTCGCATTTTTTATGGAAGCACCCCCGTATCTCACGTAATTATTGAGGTAGGGTTCTGAAATTTGCCGGAGGAAGAGAAAGTCCAAAGATAAAGTCAATGTTTGAGGTCGACGAAATAATGTAATATGCACCTCGGCGAAAAACTGTCTATTGTCTCGCCTGATTGTTAACCTCGGTTAGGCCTCGGCTATCCTTTTGCAGACGCGACCATAATAGACAGTGTTTCTTCCTTGGTACATTAATAACTATTACGGGTTTCAGAACAATGTATGATGACATCACTCAGATTTTTTTTCCTTCATCATTTTGAATAAGTCTGGATCTATACCCCTCAATCTGCCTTTATCGATTCCTATTGGTGTTTCTGTTGCAGCTGCCTCGTCACGATGGAGAAGATTTCGAATCTCCTGTATAGTATCATCATTGAGAGTTATCTTCATATCACTAATCGTCCCCTCTTTTCTTGAACGATCAGTCTTAAAGTGATAGTTTCCCAACGCTATGTCGAAAAAAATGTTCGGTGTTACCCATTTCAAGAAAAATTGATCAGTTTTACAGATTTCTTCCAATGTGAGATTGTAAGCATTAGTCGCGATTTTCAAACCAACTTCTGTTAAATTCACCGTCTCTTTAACATCCTCCAAACGACTAAAGATTTTCAATTTACACGAACTGTTCGCGAAAAAAGGATCCGCCGTTAGAATTATAAATTTCCTAGTTACACCATAGTCCTTCATCAAAGACATTACATCTAACAAGAAATCTTTATCATCTTCAAAGAGTTCTGTCGTAAGTAAAAGAGGAATTCTACCAGATTTCCAAAACATTCTGTAGAGTTTGCTTATGGGTAATCCTGGTTCTCGTTTAGACAAGTCAACTTCTTCGAAAAAATATGCCTTCATCATTGGATCACTACTAATTTTCTGTAATAAATCAGTGTTAGGCCTCATAGAATTGGAGATTTCATCTATTCTTTCTTCTAAAGTATTTTCGATAAATGTATTGAAGGGTTCACAGATTTTACTCATGATGGAAGGTTCATTTTTCATCATGATCAGGTCCACACTTTCTATTACTTTATTCCAGATTTTGAAGTCATTTCGCATCAAATTCACTGTCTTTGATGGTACAGCCACATAAGGAGTGAGAAATATTTCTCCGATTTTCAATATCACATCGTATCTGTTCAAATAGTGGTGCCCACCTAGTTTCCCCTCTGACCAGTCCTTAACATATTTGATGTAATCTCCTATTTCTCGATTGAACATCTGGCGCTTTTCAAAGGTATTCTTCATGATATCCCGTAACATTCCTGGGAATACTTTTTGACTGGTGTAGATAAACATCGTTGGTAGATCAAATTCGTCAGTTTCTTCTTTGGGATATACTGTGAAAACATTTTCAGGGTCAGTGGTCATATTCAAATATTCGTTCCTTTTAGTGAACGGTTTAACAACTAACTGAACCTCAGAGGTTATATTAATATCTTTTCCTTTCTTCCAATGCTTCAAAACGTTCGCGTCGACTTCTTCAGTACCACGAAATTTTGATGTTGCAGTACATGTAGTAAATATACAAAAGTTGGTGTTCCCAAACTCGGCAATCTTTTTCAATTTTGAGAGGCATTCGTATTCTTTGCTTAGATTTATCTTGGCTTCGCCGAGGCTTCCGATTTTCTTGTTACTTTTCGATATTTGTTTAAACTTGATAGCATAAATAATCTTCTTTTCTTCCTTCCCTTTGTTCCGTTTCAACTTAATAACTATATCTCCGTATGATTGATATTTCAGGTCATCAGTAGCTATGTAAAAGTCACTTATATTACGATCGAAAGCTAATCTGAGACTCATATAAGCTACTAAAGCATGAACGTAAGACTGCAACTCAAGGTAGTAGTTCTTTTCTTGGTAGTTGATCATTTTATCTTGTTGCCTGGGTTTGTATTTCTGAAAATGAGCATATAGAAATTATTCAAAATTCAAAATTGTTAGATCAATATTCAATGTTATAGATATTCACGTAACTAGTAACGAAACGCGTTGATTTGGCAAAATGCGCTTTCTAACGTGCAACGTACAAAATCTTCACTAATTTTGATGAAAAATTTTGCTCGAACAGGAGTAATGAGCAGCTCTACATGTACAAAATTATGGCAAGTTGACTTTGCACTTTGAAATATCAGTCAAACAATAAAATGGTCATGAATCAGCGACAAAATGCACTAACTAGACCCGTTTGATATCTTCATAAGTGGAAAATAGCTGATTTAAGTTCGGATTTCCTAGGTGATATCGAGGAAGCGGCACAAAATGCGCTATCCTTTTGATCAATCCATATTTTCATTTCGTAACTTGTGTTGAAATGAACATTTGATCACCAGTTATGTAATATTTTACTTTACACAACTGGTTACGTGAAGTAAGACGTTGAAAAAATTTCAACAATTCTGAAAGGTGTCAAATAACATGTCCAAATTAGGAAACAGTTTTTCTTGAGTTAATTGAGATCTTAAACCAATTCATGGAACATGAAACACATATGTCATATCTCTTATTTGATAGAAAAGGAAAGGGGTTGATATATAAAATAGTATAAGAACTCTGGAAGAAAACATCCCGTATCCCCTATGAATGTTTAGATATAAGGTGGGTCTACCTTCACGAAGGATGGTGAAACCACTCTTCAATTGCATTTTTTTTTAAACATGAATATTTCGATTTTAGTAAGGATTCAGCGATATGAAACAAAATGGTGGTATAATCGTCGATAGGAAGAACAATGATGGAAATAATTAGATGGTGCACTTACTGATGCGCTTTTGTTTCAGAAATTCTTCTCGACCTCTCGAGAACAATGGTTTCGGCGATCTCCTCATAGACGGCGACATTGCACAATAATGACATCTGTCAATTTTGAAGTTGCCGCAGATTTTTCGAATTTCACTTTTTCCACTCGTTACAGTAGCATAAAGTAGCATTAGCAACATCACCATATAGCGTAAAAAGTAGATTTAACGTCTCGCTCGATATGACGTAGAAGAATCATAGTAAGCGGTCGAGAGATTCTTCTTAAGTTTTCAATACGTAAAAGTGGCCGAGTACGCATCACCATCTACTTATTTCCATCATTGGAGAGACCAATTCTGAATTCTATATCTAACAACAAATGGTCGATAGAAGCAATAAATATCTTGCAAGATCACTTCAACAGTGGCGTCATCTGGTATTCATTTCGCGAACCCTTGCTATATCTAAATAACACCGAAGAAATTCGAAAGGTGTTCCCTTGTGACATTCTAGCAAATGAAGTTCACATGAACATGTGTCCTAACTTGTTCCGTTCTTGACATACAGAATGTTGAAGTTGTGAGTATTAATTGTTTTTTTAAACCCCCCTGTATGAGCTTTTATGGTGCCAAAATTCAGTATGGATAGAGACTGAGGAAGCACCAAAATTTCAAAATGATTCTGATTGGGGTTATTGAGTAATCTCAATGGAAGTCTTGAGAACACCTACATTAAAATTTGGAGTCAAATCGAATTTGTATTGTTTCCTCAAAAACTAAGCTAGATACAAAAATCACACAGAGAATGAAAAAGTTGTTATTTCAAAAGTTCAATCTAATGAAAATATGAAACTCAGACAAACCGGTGGTGTACAATGACATTCACCATGAATATCGATGAATTTAACCACTGTGACGCCACTGGAAATATAATTTCGAATATAATTGCACTAGAAGAAGCTCCATATTACTATTAACAAAACCTCAACGTTTTATTGATATTGATGAGAAGACAATTGAGAAATGAATAGAAAAAAGATTTTTTATGGAAATATTAATACCCTGTATCTCGAAAACGAAGCACGTTAGGACACATGTTTATATTAACTTTATTTCCTAAAATATCACAAGGAATCACCCCTTGGATTTTTTCAGTGCTAATTAAATACCTATATGGTATGAAGATCGACATAATCAAGTCGGTAAATGTCTGCAAGGTTTTCTATGGTTTTATAGGAGTAAGCTGTTTTCACATCTAATATATCCAGCTAGCTTACCTTTCTACTAAACTGGCTGATGACTTCTGAATCGACTTTCTCACCTGTAGAAATATAAATAACGTCAATAGACCACTCCATTAGGTTGGTATAGTACCATACCTGTATTACGAACTAATCTTGATTCATTTCTTCGGTGAGTTTTGGTCCTCAAATGGTTTTCAAATAATTCGTTATTTGTGAAATGAGTACCGCAAGACTTGCATTCATATTCACAGAGACGCCTGGATGCTGAAAATAAATAACGAGTCATACAACGATAGGAAATATTAGATCTAAAAATTATACACCAACCTAGTAATCCAGCTGTCTTTGTTGTATTTGATAAGTGATGTTTGCTTTTACGGTGCTTCTCTTCCTGATCCTGTGAAATGTTAACACCACAATCGCAAGCTATTCGAGTATCATGTTGGCTGTTCTTCTGTGGATCTGAAATTTTAATTGTAATGAATATATGAATCAAGACAGCCGATCTTCAAATCAATATAGTTGGATGACCCGGAACCAATTTATCCCTCTGAATGGATTTTTTCCGGATGACCCCATTTTCTTCATTCAAGATTCAATTCTATCAGAAAATGAACCCTGATTGCAGTTATCATCATAATAATATCTTTTCTATAACGGGAAGAAAGTTTGACATTTCATTTCTGTAGACAGACAAAATGTCTCTCATTAAACTTTCGTCACTAGAAACGAGAGTGAACGTTGCCTATCAGAATTTCTCTCAATGGGAATCACGTTTCCGCTGAAGGTATTCTATTATAAATTGCCGTCTTGGGGTTGTAGAAAAAATATTGTTATCTTGTTTTCGAAATTTACGGAAACCATAGAATCACTTCTATCCCCACCAGCTTAGTATCAAATTATCTCAACGCACTGATTTATTCTTCGCATTCATATAAAGATCATCATGAAAACAACATTTCGAGCATACAACCGTTTCAGATATCCTTCCGCAGCCAACACATCTATGACATGTCATCTCTGAGATGTCGCGATGAGGCAACACTGCGATATTACGAATGTTCCATCGGCTGCGATGTACAGAAGCAAGCACATCTGCGACATGACATCTCTGAGATGTCGTGATGAGGCAACACTGCGATATTATGAATGTTCCATCGCTGCGATGTATAGAAGCAAACACATCTGCGACATGACAACTCTGAGATGTCGCGATTAGATAACACTGCGATATCACGAATGTTCCTCCGCTGCGATGTACAGAAGCAAACACATCTGCAACATGACATCTCTGAGATGTCGTGATGAGGTATCACTGCGATAGCAGAGAGATTTTTAGGTACCAAAGATGGCGCCGCTGAAAAGACGATTGAATGGACAGGAGATCTGGAGGACCACCAACCAGTAACAACAACACATAAGCAATATACGATGTCATGAGAAGTCAGTGATCTATTTATCATCACACCGTGTTTGAGGACATTTTTTTTCTTTTTTCGTTTTACTGCGATGTCATCTCGCATCACATCGTAGTTTTATCACAAAAACATATAGCTTTTCCATCACAAATAATATATCGCAATAACATTGAAAAAATATATCGCTGTTATATCGCAGTAAACCTATCGCAGCGACTTCGCATGGATGAAACTTGAGGGGGACAAAATAACATCACTCTGACATGGCAGCGACGTCTATACGACACAAAATGCCATATCGCAGGTCACAATTGTTACATCACTGCCATATCTATGTGATGAAACTGTTTTTGCTGCATGAAGTATTCTTGTGTAGACTGTAAACAACAATAGTTTTGTTTTGCCAACGGTACGATAATCACCGCGTTATTTGTAGTATCACATTTGTAGCGCAGTACCGGGTGACACAATATAAATTGCCACCTCTCCTACTACACTTTTATTTTCAACAGTAGAAAATTAATGAAAACTGCCTTACAAGAAATGTGTTTCTCCTTCTCGAATCAACAGATACATTTTCACTATGTGGAATAGTTATTATTGTACCAAGGACGAAAAACTTTCTTTTATATTCGAGCCTGCAAATTGGTAGCCGAGGCTAGCAATCAGGCGAGCCAATAGGCAGTTTTTTCCCGAGGTGCATATTACATTTTTTCTTCGACCTCAACCCTTATATTCACTTCACGGTCCTATTCACACGTGAAATTATCGGATTTCGTGAATAATTAATTTAACAACAACAAGTGACATTTTGTCTCAACTCACTCTCCGCGCGGACCAATGTTGCCAGTTCGATTTTTATTTCATCAGTAAATACCTTGGTGAATATTCAGGTCTATTTTATGCTGTATACGAATTCCAAGAAAGGAAAATGAAATATACTTTATAATGTCGAAACATAATGTACTTTTAGTAAACAGAAAAGTAACCTATTTCCATCAAAATAGAAACAAACAAAACGAACATTCTTATCAAAGCCTCCTCATATTCTTATTATCAATTCAAAAATACTCACAAATATCACAAAATACAGTAACATATGTACTTATAAGTTTTGAGTATATACAAAACAGGAACGAATAGCAAAAATGAACAGCAAAAATATAAAACGAATAAAAAAATTGAATCTAAGAGACAAACTGTTATAACAGAGGTATATAAAAAATTTAATTTGATCTGAACCAGATGAAGTACAGTCCTTTTTCAGTTTATACATATTATCGGTATCTATAGGTGAATTTATTACTCATTTTGTAAAATCAATTCAAACAGAGCGTTCCGAAATATCAAGCAATTTGAAATGTATATGACTGAGGAAAGACTGATAACAATATAGGTAATTATAATACTGAATAAGTGTTGAAATATTTTTCAGTAGGATCTGAAATGTTTCAGTAGATCAATATGCAAATTAGGAGATCTACTGAAAATTCAGTAGATCTGACAACCCTGCAAAGGACGAAAAGTGTTGTCAGACAAAAAGTGAGTGTCTGTGGACGAACATCTAAAAGCACCTAAAAGTGCATGAATCTCAAATAAAATACCCTTGATAATTCATCATCATAGAAAAAATCTTTTGAAGCGCTTTCCGAAAATACCTTACTCAAAATATCAATTTCTTGTATTCCTCAAAACAAGGGCTTTCAAAACTAACAGATTTTGATTGATTTTGAATGATTTTAGAGCATAGGCTTTGAAAATGATTACAAATCTGATTTACAGTGAGCACCACCAAGTAGAATATATCATAAATAGCGAATACCTATACCTGGATTTGCATTCATTGTATGCCCATTAATTGAGAAATATGAAAGATGACGTTATCAAAGTTGGGTATTTTCGGAAAGCTCTTCGAAAGGTAGGTATTTTCAATGGTGAGGAAATATATAGTGTTCTATTCAAAATCCATATACTTTTTGCTGCTCCCTGTATATTTTCTCAGATAGTGGAAATGTATCTTTTGATTCAAGAATTTAAAAAAATCTCCTACGGCCGGCGGGGTTTATACTTCATAACGTGTCTCCTTGTACAGAGCAATTCGTTATTCGTTCGATGAATGTTGATTTGTTATCAATTTTAAAATCAGTGTGTCCTGTTTTCGATGCTTTTGCGTAATATATCAGTTATCTTCGGGTTTGCGGTTTTCCTGTGCCACTTTTTTTGTGGAACTCGAGATGGTCTGATCAGATTTTGCATTGTATTGTTTTTACTAAAAAGGAATATTCTCAGATATAATTATGAACATAAAAAATGTATGTATGCATATATTTTTTGTGAGGACATAACTTACGAACCACCCAGTATATTCATTTGGAAAGTGGTACACAATTTCGCCTTCTTCTATCTAAGCGACTCACCTATCAGTCACGAGAAAAATCCAGGACCGGATCAACGAAAATTGATCATATATCTGGACCCCAAAAATATCACCCTGTATTTTCGAATTTCCGAAATCCGCTCACATATTTGGAAAGTGCATGAAAATCTGAATCGTATGATGTACTTTCCATTTTTCCGCATGCTATTTCACTAGGTAATTTCTGATTTTGAATATGAGGTTTCATGCATTTGAATAGGTAAAAATGAAATGTTTTGAGTTTTCCCAATCGAATAACAGAAACTATCACGAATCACCCAGTATATTCTTTTGGAATTTGGTCACGATGAAAATCCAGGTCCGGATTAACGAAAAATTATGATCTTCTGGGCCCGAAAACGAATTCATGACTACAATGAAATAACCAACAGCGACCAGGATCCAACTCCCTCGAAAGTTCTCTAGTCCATCCTCTTGCTAATGATGTGTCACATGCCATAAAATATCTTTTAACAACTTTGTGAATTCGCTAGAATTGTGAATCGAGTCAAATAAGGCAAATATTCAGAATTATGATTTGAAAAATTATTTTTGTTTGAATGATACCTGAACCTTTTGAATTTGTTATCTCACTCTTATGAGGTGTATCTCGTATCTCTATTGTTTCGTGGATTATACTTGAAATAAACAAATAATAAAATTGCATTTTCAACATTTATTTCCCATTCATTTCATAAATCTCACAAATCCTGCTCAAATTGTTGACCTCTCTTGCGAATGCAGGCTCGACATCTGTTTCGTATTTCGACAGTTGTTGTTCGAAGTCGGTATTTCCTCCTTAATGGTATCGAAGGCCGTTTCTATGCGTTGGACTAGTACATCCTTAGTTTGAACTTCCGTGGCGTATACCAGCCCTTTGGCAGGTCCCCAGACATAAAAGTCTAACGGAGTTAGGTCTGGGGAACGTGGCGGCCATACAATAAGGCCATCGCGCCCAATCCACGCATGAAAGAATCGCGCGCGGAGTACGATGAAATGAACACGTTAGGTAGCAGAGGCAGTGATGTCTCGACTAAAAAATAATGGGATTGGTGGCAGTTCGTGATTTGTTCAAACAGATTTACGTTGTGCAAGAAATATAAATTTTACTTGTTCTGGAGTAACAGTTACACAAAAATAATTTTTCAGATCATTTTGAATAACAGCCTTATAAGACTTGATTGACATTTCTAGCGAATTCACAAAGTTGTCAAAAGATATTATTGGCATATGTGACACATTATTGGCAAGAGGATGGACTAGAGAACTTTTGAGGGAGTTGGAAGGTCCTGGTCGCTTTGGGGTTTTTTTGTAGCCATGTAGAGTCAAAGCTTTAATTTGATTTTTACATATTTCGAAACTTTGCGAGTGAATTAAAAAATAACTAGTTATGTATTTAAAAGTACTCTAACACAATACACATCTGAATAAAATTAAAATCCAGAGTCTACGCCTTATACTTTTTTCAAAATTTCAATTTGAATATGGAATTTGGGTCTTTTTTTGAGATGACCCCTTCATTCAACCATTTCAATTTGGCACACGATGCACCAAACACCCTGTATATCATTTTGAAGGGAAAGAATTTGGAATTCAATGAGCTCATAAAATACAGGGCGTTCCATTCAAGAAATCATAAGTTTGAGTGCGCCACACTGGACTCTGCGTAAAATTCTCTATTGGATAAGATTTGAATTTGACAATTTCGCTTAGAAACTTCGTGGATATAGAGGAGGTCCAAAAAGTATAAATTTTCAGAATCACCCTGCATATATTAATCTGTATATAAACGGAAACAGTTATGCTAAATCTGATAAGGCCATCTTGAGTTTCACGAAAACCGCAAGGTTCTATCCCCAAAGATAACTGATGAGATATCACGCAAAAGCATCGAAAACGGGACACATACTGTACTTATTGGTATTTCCTAGTATTTCTCAATGTCAGTAATCAGATAACCCATATTTCGAAGCAGTGATTCACGAAATCAGACAATGATCAAAATGTTGCAGTATATATATATATATATAACTTTTATCGTTGATGGTGATAATTGTTATCGAATCCGAATCTGATAGATGCACTGAAATCAGTGTTATCATGACCACTCATGATATCGAAAAAAATATAAGAGTTTACCCAGAGATAAGTAAGCAATCTTATCATTGGTGCGTTGGTGGTTATTCATCCATGAACTGTTGTAAGTAGACCTAACAAAGTAATGAAGAAAGCACATTTTTACTATTTGGCTGTATTTGGCTCTATTTTTTATCCTACATTGAAGTTATTGAATTTAGTTATAGGTATAGTCTATCGACAGTCACCTTGAGCAAAGAATATCCGCCATTTGCACGGACTTCAAACGAACTTCAAATGAACCGACACCGACCGGCGTATATTTTTTGCTGAAGATGTTCTTGACTTTGAGAGAAAGGACGTTGACCTGATGAATGATGAGAATTCAGTAACTTACTTGTGTTGATGATTTGTTCTGAATTTGGTAGCGAATCCCATATGGTGGACATTTCTTTATTTGTACTCCTACAAACTACTAACACACATTCAGAATCATCAACAAATAATATTCACACTTTTATTGATGATATTCAACACACTGATCCACAATTACCTAAATCATTTCCAACAATGCCGGAATATGATTTATCAGGAAAACCGAGAAATGCTATCTAATCTGATTCCCATAAATTATTTATCATAACAGTTATTTTATCGAGTAGGTATACTCAACGACTAACGTCCTTTCGTAAGATGCTGAGAAAACATGTACCGTGTGTCCACGTAGTGTGGAAAAGCTCTATATCTCCGGTGTGAAAAGAGATAGACAAAATATTTTTGCGGATATAGTGGAGTCCGACCACGATAACTTCGGGACACCACCCCAGTTAACCACACAACATGTCTCAGCTCTATCACAAGAGAGATCAGTCAAAGAACTTTATTGTTTCATCACACCGTTGGAGGCGATCAGAATGCTGAATCTTGAACCACCCTGTATTTGTTCCAATTAAATGTCAGTAAATCGAAAGTTGGGATAGGGACATGAAAGCAGTTTTGACCAATAATGAATAGTTTCGACGCAAAAAAATCCTAAAGTTGAAAAATCTCGATTTTGAACAACCTATATCTCTGTAATCATTCTCGCTAGACCCCAAGTGTGATACATTGATGAAATCAGCGCACAAAGGAAAATGCGAAAATGAAATGAAATACAGGGTGAAAAAGTATAACTTTGAAACGCCACGCAGAAGTTTTTGTTCATCTATCTCAAACAGTAAAGCCGTTATCTCACTTTGCCACACTAATGACTCACCCTCTATATTGCTCATAACTCCTCAACTAGGTATCGAGTTTTAGACAAAAGTTTATAAGGCACTTATTTCGATCTAAAATTGTTCAAGGAATATGCCCTTAAACTATATATGGGCAAAGAGTCACGGGTCACCCTGAATATATAAACAAAAAAACAAACGTAGGTACGAAAGGAATATGAAAAATGTGTAGGGAATGAAGGAGATTTGATCAAGAAAACAAAAATCTGAACTTGTGAGGAATACTACAAGTATTCAATACATGCTGTTTTGTTCTTTGTCTAATTTTTTTTGTTATTTTTGTATAGATTTTGTTGAGTTTCTATTTATTTCTTGATAAGATATCTAAACTCTAAGTGATTTCATTAGTAATTTATCGCACTCTGTAGCCAGATGATCTAATCCTGACTACCATCTTGCCTGATATCATTCAAATTCTAAGAATCATTATACACGGTACGGTGACTTGAGAAGTGCAATGATTAAAAAATTGTAACGTTGATAAGAAACATACATGTTTTTTATAGCAGGGAAAAATTATGAAAGAGCAACTAAAAAAAACAAAAATTAGATAATCAGATAATCATTTTTAAATCATATAGATAATACATACAATGTTGTTTCTTCTAGATACTGTTGAATATAATTTCTTGAATTGATTCAGGATGATATAAAGAGAATCAAAGACATAAGTATTGAAAATTGCTTTAGGAGTATTTGTGACTAGTCCGAATCGATTGCCTACATCAACATTTTTGTTAAAAAAACCCTAACTCGTTTTCTTTAATTTTGCTTGAGTTTTTGTGATCGCAGCAGGCTCAAAAATTGTGATTGATAAGTTTTATTTGCTCGAGAAAGTAGATAATTTTGAGTAGTATACTGTAAGAAAAAAAACAAACTGCCCTAGGAATACGAAAGTACAGGGGTGGAGTGGGCCAAACTGTAACACACTGTTATATACAGGGTGTTTCATAATTGAATGCTGATCCTAAAGGGCGATAATCCTTGGATGATTTTAAGAAAAATTCTTCATGTGAACATAGGTCCGTAACAGCTTCGTTTCTGAGATACAGGATGTTGAAATTTAACAAAAAAATCAGTTATTCCCCAATATCTCTGAAACCGCTCTGGCTTTTTTCTTCATTACAAATACTTAAAAATAGTTACCATAAAATTATAAAAATATTGCTTAGATCTTTCGGTTACCACAATTGTGAAATTATGACTAAGAGTAAAAATCGAATAGGGACAAGCAAATGAATGCATTTTATTTTTTAACTCAAATACCGTTCGCCGGACGAAAAAAAGACAAGAGACCATTTTTATGAGAAGATAGAGGATAATTACAAAAATGATATTTATTTGGAAAAAAGGCAGTGGCGTATCATTATTTTGATGAAGAATATGACAGGGTATGTTAACAGGGACGCCACTGATGGAAATTAAGAAATCCTTTATTATGGAAAAAATGTATTTCTATTCATACTTGGCATGTACCGGAATTGAAGAAAAAAGCCAGAGCTGTTTCAGAGATATTGGGGAATAATAACTGATTTTTTTGTTAAATTTCAACATCCTGTGTCTCAGAAACGAAGCTGTTACGGACCTATGTTCACATGAAGAATTTTTCTTAAAATCATCCAAGGATTATCGCCCTTTAGGATCAGCATTCAATTATGAAACACCCTGTATATCTGACATACCCTGTATTATGTATTATGTATGAGAGGTGTCCTAAAGAAAATATTCAAATTTCAGATCCTAAGAAATGGAAATGGGTTCGCAAACCACATTCATGGTTGATTCGGAATGTAGAGACACAACCCCCCTAATGCAACTTCAAAATTCAAATGTGAATCCAATAGATCAACTACTTGATGCCGTACTGGACAATAAACTTGATGAAATTCAGGCAATCATCGCCAAATTATCAAGAGATCAAATCCTACAGTCGAGCCTACAGTTCAGATATAAACCCAGAAATGAACATGAAAAATTCATCAATAACAAAACCATTATGGTCATAGCATGTATCACAGAAACAGTTAACGAGGAAACCCTGGGCAAATTATTAGGTTCAATAAAATCGATCCGATTCATAGATACCAAGTTGTTCGGTTGGGAACCAATCCACCATTTGGCCGAAATTGCTAATCCCAAAAAACTGAAAGTCATGTTAGATCTAATGGACTGTGTAAATGCACTCACATATTTTTCAGAAAACGCTCTACATGTTTTGCTCCAATACGGAAAATCAAGGTCTACAATCGATATACAGCTATATCGCAATAGCAACTCCTCCGATGCCAAAAGATGCACCATAATCGACACAGAAAAAGATAATATAGCTGAATGCGCTAAACTCCTTATAGACAAAGGTGTTGATATAAACCAAGCTAATATTTGGAATGAAACACCAATTTACCTTGCTATAGGAAACGTATATCCAAAGGTGATTCAAGAGTTATTGAAAGTGAACAACATCAATTTGGAGAATCATATAGGTGCGATAACTGTAAAGGAATATTTGAGAAGGAACGACATGCTCCCTAACTCAACTTACTATGCCCACGAAAGTACTGTCAGCCGTTTATTTGCTTGCTTGAAATCTGGCAATGAAGATTGGTTTTTGCAATACAACAACGGGAACATCAGAGATTATGTAAATGATGTGGAAGGTAAAGATGGCGGAACCATGCTGCAAATGTGTTTGACGAAAGGGTTTTTTGAGTACCTAACGGACGAGTGTTACAACAATGAATTGATCAAGGTTGACATCAGAGATAGTCCAATGCTGAAGATTTTCAATTCGAAAGGACTGAAAAGGTCAGAGTTGCATATTAAACGGAGTTATAATTATTATTATTTGACCGTGTTTATACATACCTAGGCAGAGTTGCGATGATTTGAATCAAATGATTTAAATCATGATTCAACTTCATCACTGATTTTTTTTTTAGTTTCAATCGTCATTCAAATCAAATTGTTAATTGCTGTAAAAACAAGTTGCTGAATCAGATCCGGAAATTCAAACAAAGGGAGATATATATATATAGTTTATTCAAACCTAAAAGAATTAACTGACATACCTCTACACTATGTATATATTATTTATTCATTTATCCATCCAACAGGCCTATCGGCCTAATTACATGGATTACGTAGAGTCCGACCACGTTAACTTTGGGACAGCATGTGACGCAACGCATATGCATATTCAATGCATACGCGACCACGTGCTGTCCCAAAGTTATCGTGGTCGGACTCTACAGGGCTTTCATTTCAAAACTTACCACCCTGAATATCTTCTGATCTGCGAAAATTTCAATTTTCGGCAAAAACAGGTCGATTTAGATATCGAGGGGAACGTAAAATAACAGTATTAATTGAATGCTATGTTCATCCTCTTCACCCCCAGACACCCCCACTTCGAAATCTCAAATGGCACCCCCTACTTTGAGATAAAGTCGTGGAAATACACCAAGTCACAAAACAAAAGCCTAAAGAATTTCTGGTTACCATTCGCATGTGTATTCTTAATTATTCCAGATTTTGACAATCATGATAATCATGGTAACGAATATGGCAGTTCATCGAAGTCCACGAGAACGGATATAGGAGTGTATGTGCGTACCATTACAAGTTCCCATGTTTTTTTTTTTTCAAAGATTCATAATATATATTTACCTAAAAAAACGAATAACTATAGTTGAACACTGAACAGTATTGTCGCGGAAAATCAGTTCGGGAAACCTGACGAGATGTTTTCAATATACCTACCCGAAATAAATGTTGAAAATACGAAATTCGGATATGAGATCTCTTGCACCATGAACAAATGGTAACTCTTGATATTTCAATACCTACCTTTTCTCCCTTTCCACCCCAGGGATGGACGATGTTCTACGAACATAAAATAGTCATTCTCTCTCGTTCGTCTTTAGCGATAATAAAAGTTGAAAATATTAGCCTCATTTCTAAAAAAATTATAGATATAAAAGTATCTGTGGATGACTGGGCGTGGAGATTTTTCTTTGCCCCGAAGTGTTTGAAAATTCATTTTCAGACCCGAAAGAATTTTTTCAGCTGATAGTCAGTGACACTTCGTGAAATAAGATTTTGAAAGGTATTTGAGGAAAAAATAATAAAGAAAATATGTGAAGATGTATTACTCTCCATATCAACTAGATGTTTCGGAAAACACTCTGTATCCATTATCAACATGAAATTTTTTCGAACAATAAATGTTTTGTCTTTGGCTTTCTGCAAGAAAGTAAGTGAGTAGAATAACTCACATGAATTAGATTTCGAATAATAATTCCTCGTCAACATCAACTTAATTTAATGAATTATTCAGGAAGTTACATTTTTCAAAAACAAATATTTTCATTTGATCCTTCCTCCGATGACGTATCGCTCTCATCTGAATCGAAAGTTATCACGACAGGTTCAATATTGGAAGCACCTATGTATTTCTCCGTCTCCAATGCCGAAAATATCACTTTTTCTGTATGTCGTACATAATTTCTCCAATGCTCCACACCCACAGCTTCTAACGCCTTTGACCAGACCATTATCACATCTCCCGGGGATGATTTAGTTTAGATGATTTCGGTGTCATAAATCCTTTCAGCCTCTGACCACACCATTTCTATGGCATTTTATTGGTAATGGTGAGGTGGTAATCTCAAAATATTGTGACCATGTTCTGATGATGATATCTAGATGATATTTTTTTTTCGAATGACGTACGCTTGCCTGCAATTGATGGTTGTTCTACAAGAAACTGCCTATTGTTGCTCCTCTTGAATTTGAATCCAATTTTGCGAATTCAGGTATTCACGGATCTTGGTGAACAAGGAAAATCAGGCCATTCTTCAGTGAAACGCTTATGGAGCGATTTTATTGTAACATGTACTCTCACAGCCTGTAAAATTGTGGGATTTACCTTTTTTTTATTTCTTCGGCCTTTTTCGAAACTGTTTCTGCATAAACAGCATCAGAGTTTGTTTGCGGATTCTTGATCCGATAAATACTCCTTTCTGAAATATTCAGAGCTTCCGCGGCAATGCTGACAACATTCTTTCTTTGAACTTGGCAGAAATCATCGTGTTTTACAAAATACGCGATCACACTCAGAATCAATGTTTTAGATTGATCATTGAATCGTTTCACCATCATGATATAAGGAATTCGAAATATTATTGATGTATAACCAGTACTCTAATTGTTTGACATTAAGTCACAGTGACAATTCAATGATCAAAATATACAGGGTGTTTCATAGGTAAAGGGAAATATTTCAATGGTAGATAGGGGTCGCTTAGTTGGTTCTGAAAATACCATATTTGATGAGTCTCACAGCCTCCATAATGGAGATACAGGGTGATTTATCGATTTCGAATAATTATTCACTCGTCCATAAGTATTTAACTACTCAGTATATTTTCCTCAAATTTGGTATAGAGCTTATACTTGGGACGTTGAATTCATCGATCTATCGAGAGAAGTGGAAATCCAGGTTCGGCTTAAGGAAAAAATTACATTTATTCGGGAAATAAAAAAAACACACTGTATTCAATAATTAACAAAGTTCAACAAAAGAATCGTGAAGAGGAGGAAAAACTGAATTGGATCCGATACTATTTGTTGTCCCGCCACCAATTCTCATCGTTATACCCATAAACAGAAAGTTGTAAGTATGTCAATTTGAAGAGTATTAAAGTTATGAAACTAATTTGACAATTATTATTTGATATCTACCAGTTGAAAAATCGCTCGAAAAAACTTAGTTAGATTCGGTACTTCTCGTATTTACTGTAACTAATCCTAATGGTAACATTCTGAAGCAGAATGTTGGAATTATATCAATTTCGAAGTATAAAAATTATAAATAAATGCTAATGCGTAAGATATTTCTTGTTGTTTGTCAGTCTCAGAACAGTTCCAAATGGTAACTGTAGACCCGTTATTAGGTCAAAATACTACCTACCCACTATTTTATTTTGAATTGGCGGTGACTACATAATTATAATGAGTTTCGCTAGGTATTTATATGAAATCAAACAATGTAGGGAATTCAAAGAGTAACGTCTTGTTGAAAGCTCAAATTGAAGGATGAAAAAATAAAATTCATACAAGGAGGTAATAATTGAATACTTCTATAACACATGTTCAAAATGTCCGCCGTTTTGGTCTATGCATTTCCTTGCACGTTTTATGATATGTCTTACGGATTTTCTAATGATGTCTTGATTGTTTCTTAGGTCTTCACAAACATCTTCAATTCGTTGAAGGAGTTCCTCTCTAGTATGAATTTCTTGTGAGTAAACTTTGCATTTCAAATATCCCCAAACAGCATAATCCAATGGGTTGAGGTCTGGGGATCTTGAAGGCCAGTTATGAGGACCACCCCTTCCTATCCACATATCGGGAAAGTTATCATTCAGGAAATCTCTTACAATGATTCTGAAATGTGGAGGGGCACCATCATGTTGAAAATACATTCCTCGAATATCTTCATCCTGCAGCAAAACTGGTAACATATTTTGAATGAAATCCAAATAATCTTCACCAGACAATCTTGTTGGCAACACATGAGGCCCAATAAGATGATTATTCAAGACACCACACCAAATATTGATGGAAAATTTATGTTGGGAGTTACTTTGTCTAGTAGCGCAAGGATTCTCTTCTGCCCAAACATGGGTATTGCGAGAATTAAAAACGCAGTCTCTAGTGAATTGAGCTTCATCTGTGAATAAAATCCTATGCACCAGCCTATCATTTCTCAAAATCCATCTACAGAAATTTTGACGTGGAATCTCATCTCCTGGTTCTAACCTCTGTACTTGTTGTATATGGAATGGATACAATTTATTTTTTTTCAATCTCCGCCAGACAGTTACATGAGGGACATTCACGGCATGAGCAAGTCTTCTTGTACTAACTCTGGGGTTATCTTGTAGAATATTCAGAATATTTTCTTCTGCACCTAAATGTCTTCTTTCATTGCAATCATTCACACCTGCAGTAGGAAATCGTCCATGTTCTCTTATGTAGTTGTAAACCCGAATAAATGTCTTGTGGTTTGGTACGCGTCGTGCAGGGAATCTTGTGGCATATTCTCTACTTGCAGCAATTCCGTTGCCATTACAAAATCCATAAATAAATATGATATCAGCGTATTCTTGATTTGAAAATTGGTACGGCATTGTTGTTCAACTAGGAAAGCTGATTTCACTTCGATATGCTCATGAGATATTATGAATTAAACAATGAAATATGACATGTTATTATTAGCTGTCAAAATATGATAAGTATTTGTTCTAGCCTCCTGGATATGTGTTAAATTCAATTCAAAGAAATATCTTCTTCAAATTCCAAGATAAAAAGCTGTTAATATCTTATTCATTTTTCGAGCGATTAATCAACTAGTAGATATCAAATAGTTATAATTGGAACTGGTTTCAGTTAGATAACTTTCAAATTGACATACTTTCAACTTTCTGTTTATTGGTATAACGATGAGAATTGGTGGCGGGACAACAAATAGTATCGGATCCAATTCAGTTTTTCCTCCTCTTCACGATTCTTTTGTTGAACTTTGTTAATTATTGAATACAGTGTGTTTTTTTTATTTCCCGAATAAATGTAATTTTTTCCTTAAGCCGAACCTGGATTTCCACTTCTCCCGATAGATCGATGAATTCAACGTCCCAAGTATAAGCTCTATACCAAATTTGAGGAAAATATACTGAGTAGTTAAATACTTATGGACGAGTGAATAATTATTCGAAATCGATAAATCACCCTGTATCTCCGTTATAGAGACTGTTAGACTCTACAAATATAGTATTTTTAGAACCACCTAAGCGACCCCTATCTAGCATTGAAATATTTCCCTTTACCTATGAAACACCCTGTATAAATCAAGTTCCGACGTTCCTTTTTCTAGTGATTTTCTGTCTCATTCAACTTGCGATGAATAAAAAGAAACAGATTTTGCTTGTTGTATTTCCACGACTATACATAAAATTGAAGGTCTAATGATCAAATCAATCAGGTGAAAAAATATTTATTTCGTATACAGGGTGAGTCATGAGGTACTGTACATACTCCTACCACGAACAGAGGCCCCTGATGAGGGGAATATCGAATGGCCATCTGGAGTATTCCCCCTCTTCTGCAATAATAAACAGGGTGATTTATAGGATTGAGCGAAACAATATTTTTGTAACAACTTTCCAACATTTCATTTTTTCATGGAACATTAGGCACTCCAACACCAATAGACTATAACGTTTACAGAATTGAAAAAAGCCAGGACCGTACTTGTGAAATGTTGCCAGCTATATCAAAGAGTTCACTCTGAATATGGTTTCAGTGAACAATGACATCTTCTCTGTCAATCAGAACAAAATGTGTTGATGCTCCATCCAGCTGAGAATGGTATACCCTACTAGTTCCTCTCAAAACCAACTGGAATGATTAATTTTGACGAATCGTGTCTGAGGAATGCAATTTTTCAGAGTGGTATTCAAGGAGATTGCTCAAAATGTGCTCCATTATTGTGTAGACAATAGTACAGCATATTTTCAAATTCGTTACGAACTTTTTGAAACGTTTCCCGATTGATTTGCCTGCATTCTGAAATTATTCTTGTTTTGAGTTCATCAATATCTTCTGGTGGAGTCTTATGAACTATTATTTCCAAGTGACCCTACAGATTACAGTCACGAGGTGTCAAATCTGGAGATCTTCGTGGCCATTCTATGGCATCTCTCCTGCCAATCCACTGCCTAGAAAATCGTTGATTCAACCATTCTCTCACCTCTAGAAAAACAGGTGGTGGAGCTCCATCCTGCTGGAAGAACAGGTTATTTTCTTCTAGCAACATATTTTCATGATCATCAATTGAATTTTCCAATAAATCCACGTATAATAATCCATTCAAATTGTCTTCAATGAATAGTGGTTCAATTATCTCATTTCTAGAATACTAGCCCACACATTGATTTTCTCAGGAAACTGAGTTTGGTCCTGTCGACATATGTGTGGATTTTCATTGTCCCAGAATCATCAATTATGTGAATCTTCCCAGACATCATCTCACAAAATTCGATTCTGCGGTCATGATCGTCTTTTGTGAGTAAGACACGATTCGTCTAAATAAATCATTCTAGTTTGATCTTCTGCAGCTTTCTTAATCGAACGAAATTTGCCTTCAAAACTATCCAAACCCGAGTCGGAACTTTCGTCTTTATGATGATTCAATCTATTTGGCAATCGGACTTTTGGTAACGCTGAAAGTCAATTCATAGTATAGAGGTCTGCATTCCAGCCATTGTGAAATGACCTTGGTAACGCCCCTCTGTGCACTGAAGGGTTGAGACATCTGAGATTTTTCTTCCTGTCAAACATATCACCCTCTGAACGTAAAATGTAATTACGTACTACATAGATCTAAATACACACTATTTAGATCTATGTGTACTATGACCTCATGAACTAATTTTCTTTCTTCAAATATTTTTCAGATACATAGAACATTTACTGGATAATGATGCAGATATCTTCAAAACAACTGAAAAATTCGATACGCCCGTCCTAGAATACGCTGCAGTAAGAGGATATTACCCATTTGTTGCTATCTTGCTGCAACATAAAAATTCCAAAATTGGTTATGACGAAATTTTCACAACTTTATCAACATTGTTTTCTGGAGAATTGAACTTGAAGAACCATGAGCACTATGAAAAATGTGTTTTGTATCTACTACTGAACAAATTAATAGCCATCGTATCTTATAAATACCAAACAGAAAAGAGCAAGTCCCAATCGGAACAGAATTCCAGCAATTCCCAATCAGAGATTTATAAGGAAACAAGAAAGAAAGTGGCCATTCTTAATAAGATTTTATGTAAATTAAATCTAGAATCGAAGGATAATAATGTTGATGATTCTGAAATAATCTGCCAGTTACTACATTTAGGTGCATCATTAACTGAAAGAGTTGATAAGAGCACAGTAATAGAAAAAATACATCCAAATATTTTAAGGTCACATATCAATGGTTGTATACAGAATAATGAGTTTAACTATAAAAGTATAGTTCAAGATGATAATATTGTATACTCTGAAACAAAAGCAATACATTCTCTGGCTAAAATTGAAGGAAAAAAGGACATATTAGCTCACCCACTCTTTATTTATTTTCTTCACGAAAAATGGTCAAGAGTTTCGCTGATCTTTTATCTAGATTTGGCATTTTATTCTTTGTTCCTAGTGAGCATATATTTCTACATGATATGTATAGGGGAAGGTATAGCTTCTCCTTTCATCAATTTCATGTCTTATCTATTTTACATCTTAGTCATCTTCCATTTCCTAAAAGAAGCTTTCCAATTGTTTTTCCTTTTTTATTTGAAGTACTTTCACGACCCATCAAATTTCTTCGAATTATTTTTGATAGGAAGTTGTATTTTAACTATATTCTATCCTAATATTTATAGCAGGGTAATAGCAATTCTCATTGGAACTATTATTTTCTCTGTAATGTGGGGTCAACTACCAGGATTCACAAAATACACCATCATTTTTGGGTCCTCCAAGTATTTTCTCGAGTATGTCGTTTTTTATTTCGTGCAATTCATTGCTTTTGCAATTTGCTTCTATATATTATTCCCCTTCAAGACCGAAAATAACGATGAAAACTCATCTCTAAGTAATTCAACGAGTAATTCCACAAGTAATTCCACCGACTTAAAGACTACGGAACAGATAATGGGTGATCTAATGAAAAATTTGTTCTTCACCATCGTTCACTTTACTGGCGAATTCAGTGAACGAGTTTTGGAACCTAGAGAGTACCCCTTCTTCGGGCGAGTTATCACGATAGTTTTTATTTTTTGTATTACTATTATACTGAACAATCTTTTAGTAGGTTTGATAGTAGCAGACATGGACGACATACAAAAAAGTGGAAGACTCTATAAGCAAGTTAAAATGGCAAATTTTATTGAGCGGAGCAATACTTTTATCGAACGCATACATGATTGGAAATCCTTCAGGTGTATCGAGAGAATTATTGATCATATCAATATCTTCAAGAAGAATAAAAAGAAAATTCTCTACCTGAACGAAATTAATTCAGCTAAACTTTTTGATGACAATAATAAACAACTTTTGATAGAAATTAAGAACCAATATGCCTTTGATAGACATGTTTTGAAAGATGTTTACGATCTCATTTTAAAGTAAATCAAATCATGATGCATTTCATGATCTGGTTCATTATAGGCCTTCGGTAGGAACAGATCGTTATCTCGTCTAATTCTAATGTTTTTGAGCAAGGCATTATTCAGTGATAAAATCTGATGAGAGGACGATCTATATGTCACGAGACCCCAAAAGCAGCACAACTAATGTTTGCATAATTTCAATCACAGCAATCGGTCAAAACCTGCCAATTGGAAGGTTATTAATCGAGCCCCATTGATCACATCGCACATGCGCATCGCAGAAATTCAAGCTGTCAGTGTGTTGAAAGATCGTTATAGTGCTGCTGTTAGGGTCTCATCGACTGAGAAACATCCATTTCTCGACAAGAATTGTTCATTTTATTTAGAAAAATGGTAGAAATTCAGGTGTAATGATGAAATAGTATTACAGTGTTTTGTTTATTTTAATCACTGAATAAAAATTCCATATTTTTACTGTATTGTTATTTTCTGTCTAAAATCAAGGACACTCTGCTCCCAACTCGAGTAGACCATTCAAGAAGGTAAGAATTACTCTGTATTAAAATTAGAAAAAATTATTAATTTCTGGAGATATCTTTGGGTTTCCCTCTACGTTATCGAGAAAACTGTTGGGACCAACCTTTATTTTAAATAGGACAATCAGGTACAGAACTACTGTAAACTGAATATGAATAATAAGTAGCCATGAGTTTCAACATGTCGCTATAAAGTTAACTGACATAAGCACAAAAAAGAAACCTTATAAGGAAAACCAGAAGAGAATAACTCTCAAAAAGTCCTAAGCTGAATTACACTTCATATTTTCATAACCTTTTTCCGTAACTGTATAAGTTTTGTTAATCTGTGACTGTATTTCGTCTATAAGGATTCACTTGAAAGCAAAGAACCTTCAAGTTTCTGACATTTTAATTTTCAAACGCAGTACTTAAACTTTTTGGGAAATATCTAGCGATCTGCCTTCCAATACAGATCAGATTTATTTTTTTAGGATTTATTTCAGGGACGAGATGTGGAAAGCCCAAAATAGTTCAGCAAGTATGTAATATTTTACTTCCTTGAAAAATATACAGTGTAGAAACACCCTGTTAAAAATAGTAGAACCAATAAATTGGATCAGTAAAAAAATATTGAATTGCTATTATATTTATTGAATTTCAATTGACATCATAGATTTCTTCACGAATATAACTAGAAAACAAAAATATTTTAGATACACATACCATTTACATTTTATATAATATTGTCGATTTTAACACATTTTTCATTAAATGTGATAAATGTGTTGAACATACATTATGCAAAAAATTAAAAAGCTGTTGACTTGATATGTCAAGCTGATAACAGGAAAAATAAAATTCTTAACACTATGAACAGTTAAGCAACTAACTAACAAGAAGATATATTCTCAATATTTTTCTAATTAGCATATTCAACAATATACAGATTTTGAGATCTAACATCATCATTTATTTATCAAGATTTACATGTTTATATTTAGAGTTGTATAACATTCAACCAGAAATAGTTTCAATGAAACTACATTCCAACTATGTGCAGATTAAAGACTAGATTTTTGATAACTCTTAGGGATTATTTAAAGCTTAAAAACATTATTTAATATTATGAAAGTGCTCGATTTTTTTCAACTTGCCAGTTATTCATCGTAATATCCAATGTTAAGTAGGAAATATGAAGTTCCACTAGACATCAATGAAGTACCTACCTAATTCAACTAATAATATTCAAGAGATAATCAATCATCAGAGGAAGACTAAAAGTTTCAAATGCTTAAACATTGATTACGAAAAAAATTGGTGACATATATTTTCATTTGGTATCTACAGGCATAGATTAACGGGGGAGTCGTTAATCTATGCTACAGGTATGAAAAGAATGGAATGTTATGAATAATTTCAAAATTATCAAGAACACGAACTTATACAGCTTTTCATAACAATACTAGATATCAACTGAGAACTCAAAAAGCAGGAGGATACGATAAATACCAAATTAGATGGGTATTGGAAGAATGTTCAGTACATTCTGGTTATGTCAAGTTTCACATAAAAAAAAACTCTATAATCATATGACGTTGCAATGACATTAAAACAACGGGAAAACATGTCTAACTTTCATTCTAAGCCAGTTGTTAGGAATGTTTTCCCCTAGTTTTCATGTCATCGCTACGTCAGATGATGACCGTGGCTACCGCGAATTGAGAATATGACAACTTCAATCAAAAATTGAAATCGAATTATAGTGATTTATGGAAGTCATGGAAAATTCCAAAAATTTCTTGTTTTTTTACATGCTTCAAACATTACCAAATCACGCCAAAATCCATCGATATTTGTCACTTTTCGTTGTTGTACAGACAACAACAGTGTTATTAGTGAAGTGCCGTTAGAAATAAGGGGAGAATCAAACGCAACTTTAGAAATACATGGAAAATAAAAGTAAAAAAAATAATTATGAAAGATAAATTGCAAAAGAAAGTGGAACTGAAAATTAGAAATTTATCAAGTGAGTACCTACCTAATTCATTGAAAACTAATTCAAGGTTATAGAGCCGGTTACAATATTTGGGATTTAGGTAAAAAAACGAATCTTGTGATACCTACAGGGTGTTCATTAAATGATTGATTGAGGGTGAAGAAGAACATATACACAAATGTATGTGTTCATAAGAATGCTGATTGTGCAATATGATTTTCTAATAACTGACGAATTTCTGTGTTCATTAGAATACAAATTGTGGAATATGATTTATGTTCATCAATTTCTGGCCAACAGAGCTCATATCATGTTAATGAGAATACACACTGTGGAAATTGATTTATATCTCACGAATTTCTGGGCAACAGAGCCCATATCGTGTTCATAAGAATACATATTGTGCAATATAATTTCTATCTCACGAATTTCTGGGCAACAGCGCCCATATCGTTGTCACAAGAATTCCCATTGTGGAACATGATTTCTCACGATTTTCTGTGTTCATAATAACACACATTGTGGAATGATATGATTTCTATCTCACGAATTTCTGTGCAACAGCGCCCATATCGCGAATATATCTTGTAAGGTCTGGGATATTTCTTTTTCAATAATGGAAAACAATCAACTCTTACGTAAATTTCTAGATCTATGTACAAGGAATCAAGGATCCAAATTAGGTAAAATATGTTGGGTGCAATTACAAAATATTCAAACATATTACTTTGAAGTTAATAATGGAACTTATAATCGGTTCAGAATCAGACACCAAGCACTTCCAACCAATGAAAAAGTAATGGCCATTTTGAGCACAAACCCTCTTGAGCCTACAATGCTGGGGCAAGAGATACATGCTGAAATTGCTAGCAGATGAAATCTGTTCCTCGATAGAGGCATTACCAAAGAAAACCGAAAAGAACTGTAGCCTCCCTTGAAAAACTACACCTTTCTTCCTTCCATGATGAATGTGGAGGTTAAAGAGGCATTCCAGAGAAAATATACAGGGCAGAGTATCCCAAAACTCAACGTCATCCTTTGTAAGGTTGATAGTCCAGCTCATGACTGACCAGAATATCATTAGGTTAGAAAACTGTTCGAAACCTGAATAGTAATTTAGAAAGGCTGTTGAGTTGAGATGAATACTCTTTCTTTAAACAGTTATTGTATAATATTTTTCCCCTTCTTTCACATTTTGAGTTATGTAAAGTTATTGTTATTTCATTGCAATGTGAATTTTCAGATTGATGAAATAGGTGGCTATATCTTCATGAACCACTAGTAAATAAAATGAAAAAACTGCCTTGGTATGGTGATTTCAACTCTCTCGCTCACGAATTGATAGCTTCAATGAAAAAAATCTGAGAACATTGTATATTAGAGAATCTATGATTTTTTCAGATATTTTAGTATTATCATTTATCAATTTGGAGTGAACCTTTGGGCTGGAGTGCATGTCCCAAAATAGGGACAAAGTAACCCGATGGAATAAGGATGATCTGAACTCTTCATACAAAATATAATGCAGTGAAATTATAGACATTGTATTTTTCATCCGGAAACTATTCATCAACTGCAAGAGCTCCTCACCAGTAAGGGGTCCACAAAATAGTACAATGCACAACAAAATTTCCAAGATTATGAAAAACACAAAAATAATTGATAAAATAATCAGAATTCAAAAGTCATCTGTTTGTCTACATGACAAAGTAATTTTGACAGTTGCTGTAATTGGAATGTAACCAAGAGAAGCTACATGACAGAGCTGTACACAGCCATATTCTCACTGTCATAAATAAGGTTAATTTTATCGATTTCCAAATCTGAGCAGAATACAAATCAGATTAGAATAGGTTGTCCCCATTTGAGGACACGGTGAGCGAAAGGGTTAAAAAGATACATAATGGTACTATTATTGAAAAAGCAACAACAGTTCTCAACACACTGCATTTTTCAAAGAAATTGACCGACTTTCATGCTGCTTTCGGTATCAGATGCGATAGAACACTGTAAAAAAGTCCGAAGCATTGCAAATGCAGACCATAGTGTAATGGTTCGACTTCACACCCTGTGTAAGTTTCGTTCTGCGGACTTTCTCACAGTGCTTCAACTTCCTATGAAGTCGATGAAATATCTCATATGATATCAAAAACCGCATGTCGTCGAAAAAGAGTCAAATTATGGGTGGTCCACTTAGTGTGTTGAAAACACAGAAATCATAATCTTTATAACCTACGACTAGAGCGCGCGATCCTATAGTTTCACACCAAATTTCTGAACAAAACATGGGCATTGAAATATGGGTCAAATTATACTCAGATTTACGCGGCTGTATGGTAATACAGGACAGGAGAGAAACTACTAAGACGTAGGTCATGCATTTTTATTGGTTTGTTTACAAACAACGGAATGTTGCCAGTTTTATTAGCTGCCACTTGTGAATGCTTGTCATTGAATTTACTTCTTAAAAAGTTGAAAATATTACTATTAGATATTTGGTAATATCTATCTATCTATGGTTAATGTGATGTGATATGTTCAAGACTTCATAACTCCTTGTTGAACATGAGGGCAAAGTAAAACGTTCTAGTACCTATCTATGGCCTATCTGTATCTGTCACATAAGATGTATTCCATGTTCTGACCATCTGTTTAATTAATTTTAACGAGGATGGTTTTCTTATGATCAAACTCATGGTAAGATTTGATACCTAACTCAGAACCGACATTATATTCAAAACTACAAGAACACATTCCTAACTCCTGGCTTAGATTGAAAGCTTGACATGTTTTCCCGTAGTTTTTATGTCATCGCAACGTCAGATGATGACCTTGGCTACCGCGAATCTTAATTCCCGCTTTCAGTTGAAGCTGTTGAAAAAATTGTCTCAGAATTTCTGGATGATGTAATAATATTGTCTTCACATGATAAATTGATTGTTTCTGATCCATCAGGAATAGATTCTGAAAGCTATTCGAGAAGTTTAATGAGTAGTCTAAGGAAAAGACCATTCGATTTGGGGTGTGATTGTATGTTCTCTATATATTTATCAGCTTACATTCTCTTCAGAGGTCCCAGTACAATGAAAAATGAAGTGAGGTGAGAATATTGAGATGAGAATTATGTAAACAGTTGAATGACAAATTTTACATAAGTTTATATTGGAATATATCCTTTCAGTATCTATTTAAAGTGGAATATGTAATTACTCACATCATACAAATTTCCTATTGAAATTCTATAGTCATCTTCTGGTTTTCCGAAAATTCGGACGCCACTGGCGTCCATTTACATTTCGCCATGCCTTAAAACACCGCTTCTATTTATGCTTCACTTACAGTGTTCGAGCTGATGCATGATTTGTTCGTCCGCCATATTGGATACGCATTCTAGCCGTAAGATATACCTAAAGGTTATGAGCTCTGTGATTGAGAACTGTAGTATTGCTACGCGAGTAGTTGAACTACGAGACCATGACTATCAGCATATGAAAAAACACGCTTTACTCCTAACTGGAACGCGGCAAGTGTTCTAGCGGGGGCGTTTCAGTGGTGTTTTCGTGATGATTTCCTGTTCCGTAACGTTTCCGTGACGTCTCCGTAACAAATTATCCTCGTAAGTCACGTGGCTAGAGTCATTAATCGAGTTGAATAGTGGATTATTTCATCGGATCAAAAGTGACTTTGTTCGACTAGCAAGATTGCTGATTAGCGAGGCTAACGTGGCTAATTTATCACGGAATTGTCACGGAAACGTCACGGAATCGTCACGGAAATGACACGGAATTGTCACGGAACATGGAATCGTCATGGAAACACCACGGAATCGCCACAGGATCGCCAAGGAAATGTTACGGAACAAGAAATCATCACGGAACCACTACCGAAACGCCACGAGATCGTCACGGAAACGCCTTGCTCCCCCACTTCCTGGCTAGAACACTAACCGCATTCCAGTTAAGTGTAAAGCGTGTATTCCCCTATGCTGATAGACATGGCCTATTAGTTCAACTAGTTATCATTAGATATACATGAAGTTGACAAGACCGCGACGCGACGAACCTACCGCCCGCCCTCAATCCGGCACATCGAACGTGACCCGCTTGGGCGTGTCCTAGCCGGCCAGCGTTGCCAGGTCGCTGAGGAAGCCCTCCGGCGTGAGGATGTGCGACGAGCCGATGATCACCTCCCAGTTCTTCTGCGCGTTGGTCACCTCGTAGGCGCAACGCACCTCCGAGAAGGCGATGCCGCCCACCACGAAGACGATGAGGCGAGGCACGTTCTTCACCGCCTGCTGACCCCTGTCCTTGTGCCACTGCCCGTATCTAGCGCTGAAAATGGTTCATCGATACTATTTATTTATTTATCTACTCACTGCATAGAATGTTAGCGTTGGCTCCCTCATTTGAGGACACAAACCTATCAATTTACTACCACGGGAGGAAAAAAATATTACCTCCCGTGGGAGGTGAAATAAATTGGCTTCAGCATGCTTCCTTTGTAGAGATATACACATAAGATTTGTGCTACTCAAGTACCTTATCAGTGTGTCCATCACTATACTTTATAACAAATAACTACAAAACCATCAATGAAGGTAATCATTATTGTCGTTTATTTGTATATTGTCGTTGATTTATCTTGCCAAAAAACACTCGAACTTTTTTATAATTGGATAAATTTCCTCACTAACTTAAACATTTTCTATCAGTTATTTATCTCGTGAAATTACAGATCGGCAAATGTTTTTCGTTACCAAGAGAAATTTATTTTTCTATTTCTGTTACACAAACTTCATTTATCGCTTCGACTCCAGAAACACCCTGTATACTGCTTCAACTCCAGAAACACCCTGTATACTAATTACTTCGAAATTCCCGAAGGATTCTTGAGATGTTTTGCATCAATATACGATCACAATTTTTCTAAACAAATAAACCAAAATTGAAAATACCTGGTGGGTGCATGATATCCTGTACTCTGGGCTCTTCCAACCAAATAGGGGTAATGTTTCTGGTCCAGTTTATCTTCAATACAATCCTCCATGACATCTTTGATCACTGGCGTCCATCTTGACATCTGGTACGTTTGCTCCGTTATCCTCTCCTTTCTTGGTACATTATAGGTTTTCTTTCGTTGACCACCCTGAAAAACAAGAATAATCGCTTATTGATTTGGAAAAAAGATGGTCAATATCTTCCATCTCAAAGGGTACATGTGTCTCATTATACCATTGAAAACAATAATAAATAACAAAAGATGGTCACGTATTGGACTGTATCTATTTTTGTAAAGATCTTGCGTTGACTCCCTTTATACAGGGTTGGTTCAACATGAATAACTTACATCATTGATTACATTGACGCCAAGCCATTGCAAATTGGAGATCGTTTGTTTGTCTTTGATTTGCGCATGTGTAGCAAGTTTAGACAAATTCTCTTCTGTAATTCCATTCTTTGTCATGGCATATAGAGCAATTATACGCATTTTGTCATATTCATTCGTGATTTTCGGGTCTAGAAGTATGGGAACAATATTACGCATGTGATCCTTTATTTTTTCTCCTTCTGCATCTGTACCCATTGCCAAATCCTAAAAGATTCAAATCTAAAATTCAACATCAACAGTAATAAATGGAAAAATATAACCAAACAGATACGTTTTCATTTGGGAAAATAAAATCTGACTAAAAAAATTAATGTATATATTAAGTATTATTCATCTGAAATTTTCCATATCATCTCCAATTCAGTATTATATTAATAGCTCAAAGAACACATATTTTCAAGATGAACATTTCGTCTGAACATATATGCGTAGGAAGATTCGTTTCTGATATACAGGTTGCCAGAGTTTAGAGAGAGATAATATTCTTTATTGTCTAAAATGTATTACATTTCGTCGACAAAGGTATAACATATATATAAAAAACAAACTATTGTAGAAGAAACAAGACTAAAAAAATATTTACACAAAGGGTATAATACGGTACGGTACACACGTGCTTTCACAACTACAGTTTATTAAAATCTTGATGTAGATAGTAACATTTATATAGAAAGACTAGAAATTATATGCAAAATACTCTTCCAAACTATAAAAGCACTTTCCCATCACAAGGTTTTTTACAGATTTCCTAAATTGCTTCTGATCATTGATTGCTGTTATTTGTTTCGGTAAATGATTATATATCTGTCTACTTCTATAGATTTGAAAATGCTTGGTCAAAGTTGATGTGGGGAGTGGAAGGACAAGTATCATCTCCTTTCGTGTATGCCTTTCTGCTCGATTCAAAAACTTTTCTTTAATACTTTTTTGTATTTTTCAAGTTCACTCCTTCAATTTTCAAAATAATGAATTGGTATTTAGTACATCTATTACACTCAAGAAACTCAATATTTAGGACTAATGAGAATTTTAGATTACCTACAGGGTGATGCACTTTTGGAGGTTGTACCCAATTCCATCCTCTTGAACTTTTTTGCGTGCTGCTTCTGCTTTCAATGAGACATTAATTAAGATTATCTCTTCTGTTTGAATACTTTTTGCCTCTGTGTATTTTTTTGCAGAACTGTATAGATTTCGAAATGAATGCCAACAATAGTTTACATGTGATTCAACTTAATTTTTCTATTTGACATTTCCTAAATGATTTGACTAGAAACCTTGGAAATGATCGGAAGCTTTCATAAGGTGTGTTAATGAAACTCGGTGGCAAAACTTGGAATTCTTCATATCTTCTATAGTTTCCAATATCCCGATGATGTCCGTCACATTTGAATTACCCTTTAGGTTTACATGAGATTTTCATCTTGAAAAAATATCTTCTTCAAGCTGTTCTTCAAGAATGTTCATCATTCTCAAAATATGTCTATTCATTCGGTTTTTGCAATTATTCATTCATTGATTACTTATTCCATCTTTTCATACATCTCCCAATCATAAATAATAAAGATGAAATAATTATTATCAATGTGAAACAATTTTTGGCACCAGAGTAAAAAAAGCAGCAAGAATATGAATTTACCTGTTCTACTTTACAAAGTTTGTCGATGTACCCCTGATAAGCTTTCATGCAGTCCTCAGCCAGATGCAAGTGAGTCGCATACTTAGACAACTCTTTCTGATACTGGGGCATCTTTTTAATCATGGTAGAGAGGTCTTTCATGGATTGTTTATCGCTTTGGGTCATGCGTTTCGAGTCGGTGAATTTCTTCAAATTTTTAGTTACACTTTGAGAAACAACAGCAATGTGCTGGTGACGCAGTTCTACCCATAATTCGTCGTTTTCATCGAGAAGGACTTCTTTGACAACACCAGCCGAAGCCTCATACCTAACCAAATATACCGGTTAATCATCAATCAATCTAATATTCCGAGGAATGAATGTGTAGAAACAACAAACTCTGAATCTTCAACACAATGAGAAATACAGGATACCCTGTCTAAATTGGAGAGTTAAGATGAATCATCGAATACTTACTTATAGACATCATTCTCAATCGGTAGCAGATCATAGGCCATAGCTTGGAATGTGAGTTCATGTAATAAAGGGGATACGCAATCAAAACCGCGATCTAAAATGATCAGCTGCGATCGTGCTTTTTCAGGCCCTTCTCCCATTGTGGGCTCATCGGCCTTATATGCATCCAATTTCTGTTGAATCAATTGGGCCAACTCCACATTTTTCTCCCAATCACTAAGAACAGTGAAATCATAAATTAAGAGCGACCAAAAAGTATCATCTACGAATGGGCGAGTGATCAGTTCATTTTTTATGAATAGTCTTAACACTAGTGCTCTCAATTCCAATATATTTCACTAGTTCTGAGAATGATTATAATGACTCGAAGTCATAAATGAAGTCACAGTCCCATTCAAATGGTCATTGTGACGTTACGAGACAGTTAAGTAAAGCAAATAGTTTATCTTGAATTCAGAGAAACTGTCTGAATAATATAAACATTGCCCTCCTAGGATGTGGAAAGATTCCTAGTTGCTTTACTCGGCCTCTACAATCAGCTGGATGTTATTACCTTCATACAGGTAGGTAATAACGATGTAAATTTACTAATGTACTTAAAATGTACCTACATGAATTAACTTTTTGTGTCTCGTAGTTAGGCAAGACAGAGCGCAATTGCAACAAATGTTAGGTCACATAGCAAGTGGTCAACTTTTGCCGGTATTAGGTACACTAGTCTTCGGAACACATCTCACCCTAAAATGGTTTCAGCTTACCACCAAAATAGTGCCTACACTACATCTTCTGTTCAAGAACCTCTCTAGTCATTCTCTTCTTTAGATTTAGTTTAAATTTAGCTTAGAATTAATTATGCATGTTTTCGCGTTTGGAGAGGTACACCGCATGCGAGAAAACTTCCTCGATTTTTGGTGCACCGAGGGTAAGTCTACTTAGCATTGTTGTCAACCCTTGCCTTGCGGCAGATCAAGTACCTACTACAGTACATCAGTAGTTTTTCTTCAAGATCAGCTCTTCAACAAGGTAAGTAAGGTAAGTACTCTCACAAACTTTGACCGCGATTGAATCAGTCTTTCATTCCAAATTCATGTGAAAAAATACAGTACACATACAGGGTGTATCTAGATAACACCGAAAAAAATCAAAAGGGTGATTCCTTTTGATATTTTAGGAAATAAAGTTCATATAAACATGTGTCCTAACTTGCTTCGTTTTCGAGATACAGGGTAATAATATTTCCATGAAAAAATTCATTTCTCAATTGTCTTTTCATCAATTTCAATGAGACGTTGTGGTTTTGAATATAGTAATATGGAACTTCTTCTAGTGCAATTAGATGCGAAATAATATTTCCAGTGGCGTCACAGTGAGTAAATTTATCGATATTTATGGTGAATGTCATTGTACACCACCGGTTTTTCTGAGTTTCATATTTTTATTAGATTGAACTATTGAAATAACAACTTTTTTATCCTCTGTGTGATTTTTGTATCTAGCTTAGTTTTTGAGGAAACAATTAAAGTTCGATTTGAGTCCAAATTTTAATGTGTGTTTTCAAGACTTCCATTGAGAATACTCAATAAACCAAATTAGAATCATTTTGAAATTTTGGAGCTTTCTCAGTCTCCATCCGTACTGAATTTTGGGTTATAAATAAAAACAATTAATACTTCCAACTTCAACATCCTGTTTCAAAAACGAGACAAGTTTATATAAACTTTATTTGCTAGAATGTCACAAGGAAACACCTCTTGAATTTTTTCGGTGTCACTTAGACACACCCTGTATATCATAAACATCATCCAAACGCTACATGTTCTCCGAAAACGAGTGCACCTACTCATAAAGTACAATAATAAATATTAAGCCATTCTCCCATTGGGTGAAAAGAGGATTCTCGACAGTGAATGGCGAGATGGACGTTTCCTTCGATTCAAATCAAGTTTCAACAATTTTGAAAACATCATGGGCACATAATTAACAACAAAACAGTTGAATATTAGTCTTTTGACGTATGTAACAACAGTGTATTTAATGATTGTGGAAAATTCAATACCCGTCCAGTGACCTATTTGATATGAGAGTACAAAAAACGTGTTAGCTTGTCTCAGCAGGGTACCTACCTTCGATATCTTACATGGGGATATTCGCCGAGAGTAGCACATAATGTTGCTATCTGCTCAGCCATTCTCTCCATATTAGCGTTTCTGGCAGCAGCAAAAGTAGGATCATAACTACACTGGAAGGTGTCAGGTGAATCTAAAGAGAATACCTAAAAACACCATCAAGTGAAAATGGCGATTTCTAATTTGTGAAATAATCAGTGCTATTAATGAACAAATTAGTGGAGAAATTAAAGAATTTATTTCTACAATAATAAATACACATACGGCTAGTATAAAAAGCTCATCATGAGAATTATGTATTTGTATGATATATTGAAATTATTTTAATGGGCCAACCTCACAAATTGTCAATTTCATATAAATATTTTCATTAGTCACTCAAACAAGAAGACATAATTCTGATGAAACAATTAGTTCAAATGAACTTCAACATCACTCAACTCCACTGAAAAGTTTTTAACTAAAGTTGAGTGGACCACTCTGATTTTCGACGTTTTTTAAAAGGCGATATCTTTTTTGCAATTGAACCGATTTTCAATCGAAATGCAAAGTTCAAAAGATGCGTCTTCTGTTTATGATTCATTGTTCAAAACATTTCGAAGCATTCTAGTTATGACATACCAAGTGGTCAAAAAGAGTGCTACAGGCGAAAACGTTTAGAAGCTCCCATATTCCCCAGGAATGGAGAAAGAAACACTTTGGTGACCAAAATTCGCCATTCCATAAGTGTGTATGAGCAAAATGACAGTTTTTTTTATTGAGTAACAGTAATTAATTTTGACATTTCAAATCAAACATTTATCGCGCCTGAAGAAAGATGTAGAGACTCTGCCAATGACATTAAGAGAGAGAGAGAGAGAGAGAGAGAGAGAGAGAGAGAACGAGCAGCTACCCAGCTGATGGTTGGGTAAAAAAAATATGTTTTTGTTGTATAGTGTGTCCAGTTTTGGATGTTTTTGCGTGATATCTCAGTTATCTTTGGAGATAAAACTTTGTAGTTTTCGTGGTCCCGTACCACTTTTTTGTGAAACTCAAGATGGTCTAATCAGATTTTGCATAACTGTTTCCGTTTTTGAGAATCAGGGCTATTTTGAAAATATATACTTTTTGGACCCCCACATCTACGAAGTTTCTCAGCAAAAATGTAAATCAAAATCTTAGCCCTTACGCAGAATCCAGTGGCGCACTCAATTATTTTTTCCGGAATATGGTTTTGGAGATACGACTCAAACTTATAATTTTTTTAATGGAACAACCGCTATTATATCAGCTCATTGAATTCCTTATTTTTTCCCTCCGAAATGTTATATAATGTACAAATATAGAGATTTCAAAAATGCTCCAAAATCGCTAAAACATTGAATTTTGAACGGATTGGATGGATTTTTCATATAAAAAAAGTTCCGATTGATCACAAATATTTCCTTTGATTTTTCATGAAGAATACAAAAACAATACCAACACAAATTAACTAACAAAACACAAAACTTTGTTACCTGATAGCAATTTCAATTCATAATTTAAAATAAGCACCTGATTGAATATTTACTAGAACAATTGAATTTCGAAATTATTCACTTATTCATTGAATTGTTCAAATTGATGTCCATTTTCCCTCACACACTTTCTTTTATGCATTCAAAATAATTAAAAGATGTCTTTGTAATTTCTGGAAACTGCCTCTGTTGTTGCATCAAGTTCTTCAAGATTGTTGTGCCTCTTGGCTCTTACTGTATTAAGACGTATTGAAATGAATAAGTTACTGAATAATTTCGAAATTCAAATGTTTTAGTAAATGCTTATCCAACATTTATGAACTTTTAATTACTATTTATTTGTTGCTTTCAGGTACCTTACTTGTGTGCTTTGTTAGTTAATCAGTGTTGGTATTGTTTTTGTCTTCTTCATGGAAAAATCGATAGAAATATTCCTTCAATTGGAACTTTTTCATATGAAAAATCCATAGCCCACGAATAAATTTCAATGTTTTAGTGATTTTTGAGCATTTTATATCTATACATCACGTATCATTTTGAAGGGAAAAGAATAGGAAATTCAATGAGCTCATAAAATACAGGGTGATCCATTTAAAAGATCATAAATTTGAGTCGTATCTGCAAAATCGTACCCCGAAAAAAAAATTTAGTGCTCCACTGGATTCTGCGTAAAATTCTTTATGGGATAAGATTTTGATTTGACATCTTGAGTTTCACAAAAAAGGGGCACAGGACCGCGAAAACCGCAAAGTTTTATCTCCAAAGATAACTGAGATATCAGGCAAAAGCATCCAAAACTGGACACACTGTACATGTAGTCATACCGATGGCCCTCTCTCTTTTTTACGTGACGGTAAGGCAATGGTAAGTCTAGTAGAGTATAAATCAATAGATCTTTGGGAATTGAGTGATGTTGAAGAATTATTCTACTACAAATTCACATCACAACGAAGCAGAATACACCAAATACTATACACCACACACCTGCGACTCGTATGGCAAAAATGCAATGTTGATCTCCTTCAAAGTTTTAATTTTTTTGGCCGCACACGATTTACACAGCTCATTGAAAAGTTCCTCGGGGCAGACTGTTACACAAACATTCAAAATTTTAGCAAACATTTTTTTGAAAATACTGTTTTGGGTAGAAGGGAATACGATATCTTTTTGAATGAGAAGCACTGTTGGACTGATCACGATTATGGGGAATTTCCCGAAAGGAAATTTGCATGTGAGTACAAATTTTCTTTCTCTGTTGCTATTATTGTATAAATTGTATACACTGTGTCCTCGGATTGGTACAAAATTATTAATTGAAATCTTCAGAATTTGGGATTCAGCTCAACTTGATTAAGGACTCACTTTTAACATATCAGTTTTAAAAAGATTTCCTTGGACATTTTCGAAACCTATTTTTCTGCTAAGTGCCATTCATGTGGCAAATAAACAACAAGTTATGGAGAAGAGTTGTTTAGAATCAGTTTAGAGGCTGATTCTCAACTACATTTCTTTTCAACTTTTAAAAAGAGTTTTCATTTCGACAGTTTACTTCAATTTTCAAAACTGGAATGATGTTATGAATTAGTCTTCAACAAAGGAGGGCTTTGAAATAGTACTTTTTACAGTTCAGTCACCAATCATTTTACGAGCGCCTAACCTAGAAAATATTTACATGAGCATAAAGAAGACCACAGTTGTGTAGCTTTTTCATTCTCATCCAGATAACAAAAATTAAATAGAAAATACACAAGAAAAATTATAAATTTGAAGAATAGTTAGTTAGTAAATAAACCGTGGATGAAAATAAAAAATTACACACACAGTGGGTCACGCCTTTGTGGAATTCAAATAGTCTGGAATCAAAAAAGAAAACAGAATTTCGAAGGAAGACTCTTGATAAAAAAATCACAATACACAACAGGTATACTTTGGTTACAAATGTTGTCATGAGTTGAAAATCGAGGATAATGTTCTAAATTGTTGGGTAAATGTATCACTAGTAGAGAGAGCACATATATCAGAAAAATAGAGGTTAGTGTACCACAAACATACTGTAATTTATCAAACTCATATGCAGTAATATGGAAACCACTTTGGAACACATTAAGTAAGCCACCAAAGATATCAATCTCGTTGATTTTCTATATACAGGGTGTTTCATAATTGAATGTCAATATTCGAGGAGGCGATTCTTGGGCTCATTCTAAGAAGAAAGTTTCATATGAACGTATGACCTAAACGTCCCAACTTTGGAGATACAGGGTGGTAAAATTCTCGAAAATTAATATAGCCTACTACAATGAGAAGTTATAATTCGAAAATACCAAATACGAATACAAAGTTCATGAACTATGAATTGTATTTCTGAAATTTGATCTTAAAAATAAAAACTATTTCTCTGCATTGTGATATTATCATATTAACAATATTACTATAATCATGTAGTGAAAAGCTTTTTATTTTTAAGCGAAAACCGTGCATCAGATTGAAAAAATTGTAGTGATCAAATTTGCTTAGAAATGATCGGGAATTTCAGGAATGATTTCAATTTGGAGATTAATCAGTGGCGTACCATCAATGTCTGCCAAAATAGGTATGTGAAATTCCATACGAACGCCACTGGTGGCAACAACAAAAAATGTGGTACGCTAACTGATGCCTCTTGATACATAGTACATGTATGCCAAATTTCATCAGAATATCTGAAGTGGTATTACAGATATTAATAAAAAACTATTAATTTTTGAGAACTTCACCACCCTGTATCTCAAAAGTTAGGATGTTTAGGTCATACGTTCATATGAAACTTTCTTCTTAGAATGGGCCCAAGAATTGCGTCCCCAAATATTGACATTCAATTATGAAACACCCTGTATAAGTACCAATATCGGCTCAATGTATTAACAACTGAAATGGTGCTTGTTTCATTAGATATTTCTGATGGTATATTGGAAATTGGTATCAAGTCATATTCATCCAGAATAAATATTCTTGTAATCTTGTAATTTTTGAAAATCAAAAACGGATAATTCCTAGAGCCGGTTTTCATATCGAAGGTTACATTGTTACGTACGAATCTAGAAGTGAAATTATAACTAGAAGATATCATCAAAAGAAATACTTCGAGACGTGACTAATTCAAGGTAGATAAATGTCATAATCTCATTCAAATGGTCGAAATAATTTGCCACTCTGAACTACTGACGTCACGACTCAGGAAGTGAAACATATAGTTGGCAGATGGAGTGGAACATATAGTTGCCAGATGTCAAAGTACATCCGGAAATAAAAGAAATTGTCTGGCTGTAAACATTCATGAATCATGATTTATTGCCATCCTAATATGTGGAAAGTATCCTTGTTGCTTTCCTGTTAACTGGTAATCAGTTATGAATTCACACAAGAGGAGATTCAATGTGAAACGTGACTACATCGCTTCATATCTTGTATATCGAAGTTGAAAAGTGCAAAGCGCAGTTGCCGAGTCACCAAAGGATATTCACCGAATGTTTGATCACATTACAGGTAGTTAGGTCTCATAAAATTTAATGATACATATTATGCCATTTTCCATGGAATAATGCTCTGGTGAAAAAAAAAACGAAAGTTTACAATCAACTTGAATATAATTTGCGACTTCCGACTTATCAACATGGTTGATGTAGCAATATTAACAACTAACGTCATCAAGATCGATATCAAACTCCCAGCAGAGCATTGGCTCATAATTTGCTACAAAAATACATTTGAATGGTAGGAAATCACTTTTGAGGGCTGTAACAACACATTATGTGATTGTTGAATGTGAAAAATTCAGTACCGGCTCAGTGGATTATTATTGTTAGTAAACATAATGTGTTGCAAAGTGGGTACAAAAAATGTTCCTAGTTTATTGTTTTCATAATTGTGATGTTCCAAATAGAAATATTTGCAGCTATATATGAATTTAATAAATATACCATGACAAAGTCAACAAGCATGGAGAAAATTTTAATAAAGCATTTCAATACCTGCGACTCTGTGGGAATGAATGCTATGTTGATTTCTTTCAATGTTTTAATGTATTTTGCTACCGGATGTCGTGATAATTCATTAAACAATTCGTCTGGGCATGCTGTAGACAATGAAAAAAATAAAATAAAAATAAACTGATTATAAATTGGTCACATTTCGAGGTAGAAGACGATATTTATAAATGTTATACCAAACAATAGTTTACACTCTGATAATTCTAATTCGAAATAAACTGAGCTGAAATGATATTTTGTAACAAGTGTTCAAAATACTGCTTTATTTCATGAGCATGATTGAACGTTATGTATTAAAAGTGACATGAATAAACATGAAATCTTTTTAAATAATTTGTGTGCATATTTTTCATCTGAAAATGGTTGTCATTCGAACACGGTGTCAATTTCAATAAATAATGGAATGTCATAATGCAACTTTGTGTATTTATGTTCACCATTTTGACATTTCAATTATTAATAATATGCCAGCTCTCTGACTACTGGAACTATGATAGTGTTAGTGGAAACCATTACCTATTTAATTTCAATATTCTAATAAGTATTCCATACAATCAGAAAGTCTGGTATATAACATTTATAAGTATATTAAATAGGGATTTTCAGAAAAAAAACTTTATTTTAGAGTGGAAATTCAATTTGTCAAAATTGTTCAGCAGTTTCTCTACAAGCTACAATACTCGCCGACAGTGGCGTATATAAGAGGAGGACTTCCCCTCCCCTCCCCCCCCCCACAAAACCTGCGACTCGTTGGTGAACCAATCAAAAATACAAAAAGACCCGCACTATACTTGTGGAAATTGGTTCCCGGTCAAATCGGCTGAAATTTCAGTTTGTTATACTTCATGATGAATGTCTCCATGGGCACAAAGTCCGAAAATACTCACATTCCCAGATACAATCATTTTTCCTACGACTGCTACTGTTAATGATGAATATTGTATACAAAACATTGTCAGTAAGCTTCCCTTACGCACGTGTGCGTAAAGCGAGCGATCGCACGGTTTTCATAGGTATGTTGATAGATGACTTTGTTTTGTTGCCTAGGTGATGTATCAATTTCCGTTGATGTCAGTAGCTCGGTCAGTAGCTAACCTATCTTTGCATCAATAAATCAAGTTATCAAATGAAACAGGGAAGTAATATTATTTGAAGATGATTATTTGTTGAAAAATGTCAAGCGATGACGATAAGATTATTTCTACACCATTAGAAACTTTGGAAAGAGAATAAATGGCAACAAATATGTTACTACCCGTGAAGTCTCGTGAAAGATACGAAATCGCTTACAAAAAAATCATGGAATGGAAACTCAGGTATAAAATCATGTCGTTTTCAAAAATGTATTTTAGTTCAAATTGAGGAAACTGGCTTGTTATGCAATTTACAAATAAACAAAAACAAGAATTGTAGAAGAGTAGTAGCGTTCCCTTAGGGGCACGGGGAACCCCTTTTTTAAAAACCCGTTAATTTATGGTGTTGTCAAAAAACAAAACCCTTGGGCAATTACCCTTCATATACCATTTTGGTATATGAAATTTCAATGAGATGAATTGTATGCGCTCTCAGGGCATGGGGCCCTTCATTTATTGAGAACCCATTTTTTCATTTATTAACTCGATTTTTGACAACAATAGTAGATAGATAGTAAAGTTTTCGATTTCTCAGGTTTGTATCCATATTCTGATTGCATAATTCTGCTCACATGAATGTTATATGCTAAAATCAGTTCCCATTGTTCTCAGTAGTATCAACTTACCAGCGATAACAATTCCTCAGAACATGATCTTGACCTTGAAGTCAGCATCCGCAGAAATGGAATATAATATCTGCTGACGCTGGCATCAGCATTATTTTTAATATAAATTCATTTTATATTGTATCAAAAAGTCAGTCTTGAAATAAAGCTCATTGTATAAACTTAATCTATGCCGGAATAAATAATTCGAACACCACGAGATAACAAATTGGCGCAGTCGTACGGATTTCGTGACGTTGCTAGAACACGGAAACGACCTAACTAGTGACGGTGGATCACAATCCTTTGCCGAAATCAAAGAACCAACCTGAGGGAGTCATCACTCGAAGAGCTGTGGAAGGAACACCTGGTGAAGCCCCTGGCAGAATCGACGAGATAACATCTTCATTTTCACCTACAGTTTATGGAAACATGCAAGTACCTACCTAAAATATTTTCTTCGATTTCACTTTCGTCTACATTTCGCATACATTTTCAATGAGGAATTCTGATACAAACAGAAATTGTTTGAATAATTCTGATTGCAACAAAATTCGAAAATGACAGTTGACAGTTCCTACAATTGACAGGCCGGACAGAACTCGAACGACTGAAGGTGTGTTTAAAAAACTCTGTTGCCATGGTAATGTGATTGAGAAATTGTGTTGCCATGGTAACGTGTTAAATTTTTTGAATAAATCACAGATCATCAAGGCGTGGGAGAATCTTGATAAATTTCCGAAGTTTCAAACCAAATTTACAGGCATCATGACACATTCATTAGAGTTCACATTTTCATTTTCACAATTTTTTTGTGTAAATGGAAACAGTGCGTTATATTTTCGACTTTCAGTGGTGAATTCATGAACGACACGAAGTAATAACTCAAGAAAAATCTGTGATAATAGTTTATTTACTCACTTTTGGTACATAAAATGAAACGAATGTTTCGATTTTCAAATAATCCTCACACATCGCAGTATGGTCAGTCCATGATGAAAGCACAATCCACTCACTCAACTTCCTAATATAATATCAATACCTGATTAATGAACTACCAATGTTCTTATTAATTATCATTCAGAAGAATTTATATTTCTGTTTGAAATTTGAACAAAATCATAAATATTCCGAAAACGTCGTGACACTCGTGATAGATATGTCGAATCACGATCAACGGATCAAGATCACGATCAAGATGTTTCCGCACGGATTATTTGTTGTGCTCTGTCTCTTTTGCGTCCTTTTATTGAATTCGTGCATCATCACCGAGACTCTTCGGGTCCCGAAAAAAGGAACACACATCCTTGAAAGTTTAGTTCAACTTCATAATAAACACTGAAGGTTTCCAAGAAATCTTCCATCGATCACGCCATCTATCATCGGATATGAAAACCCCACGTTCCGAACTCGCATTCAATTGTTCATATCGAGAGTTAGTCTGACGAAAGAAATGAAGAGTGGACACACCAGAGGAATTATAAACATCTCAACATGAAGTATAACATACTACTGGTACTGATGGGGGACGTTTGCACGTCAGAAACTAGTCCCTAATGGGACCTTTTTGCAAGCTCCAAGGTGTTTTCAATGACTGCTGTGGTTCGCTTAAGAGAGCTGGCTAAAATCCTATTCAGGCACCGCCCATCAGCTCTCTTTCAGAGTTTTTCGGCTGTGTTTTGAGGCTAGTAATGTACTCACTACCATATGCTGCAGTGGCAGGCCTGCTAGCTATTCTCGTCAGAGACCGAGGTCCACTAAGCAGCTGGCCCGCTCTCACGCTCAGCTGGTAGTTTTCCACACCCACCTACATACACCTTCCTACTTCTTATCTGATGCTCACAACCACATCATCATCTCTTTCTGCGTGTTCTGTGTAGGCTCTGTTACTAACTCCATGCGCCACTTTAGGAGCAGCACTGTTAATTGGAACGCAACAGCGAATCGTGCCGGACTATTCCCAGCCGATGCTCCGATACTTTACAATATGCAATTCGTAAATAAAATATCGAAAAACGTTCCTTGCTCGTGCTGGGAATCGAACCCAAGACCTTGCGGTCGTGAGACGGACGCTCTTCCACTGCGCCAATCCCGGCCCCTATAAAATACTAAAATTTCATCCGATTTGACCGGGAGCCAATTTCCATAAGTTCAGTTCGGGGTCCTTTGGTCAAATCCACCATCTAACTTTGTCGAAAATTCAACTTATGCACATGAAAATGTTCATTCCCGTCGAAGAAATCAATTTTCATTTCAAAGGCATTCAACCTTGAACAAAAAATGTTCACCTATTAAGGTGCTTCTTAACTTAATAGACATGCTCATGCAGACCCCCTTCCAGTAAGGAATTCCTATATACGCCACTGCTTGCTTATATGCCTTACTTTGCACACACATTGAAATGAGATCAATTTGGTAATGGTAAACAAAATAGGTATAGACATCGATAAAATGAAAGAAATGGAGAGTTTCGGTTTACCTTCAGTGAAAAAAACGTGTGCTCCTTTATATGTGTATCGTGGTGGTTCGAAATCGTTCATTAGCGCATGAACTGACTTTTCAGATGGAGTGATCAAGTATACTGCCTCCATGGTGGTTAGCGGTTCTCTTTTCTTGTGTATATCCTCAACCACTATTGATAGGAACACATATTGATAAATAATATAAAAGATGAAAAATGCAAATGAAATAATTTCTCGAGTGGTTTCTCAACAACTTACTACATTCACATGGATATTTTATATCTACAAGCGTGCGTGATTCACCCTATACCAGCACGCAATTCAGTTTGGGAAGTGTCATTTCCCCGCAGTAGTGCGGGAAAAACATTTATATATAATATGAGTGGTGGGTGACACAATATGAATTTTTTTTTGTTTTTTGTTGCAGTATTTAGTAAGTTTGTAGAAAATCATCCATCAAAAATTGCACTATTTGTTGTGAAAATGAATCAATCAATTTCCTATGCATGTAGAGAAAATATTGTTCCTAACTCAAGCGGAAAGTGTCTTTCCCGCACTCAACTGCTTGCCCGAACTCTGCTTCGCGTCGTTCAACGGCATTCGCGTGCGGGAAATTATCACTTTCCGCACTTGTTCGGAAAGTTACTATTTCAATCTCAATGCGCAAAATTCAGCAAAAAAAAATAATTTCATCATCAGACTGAGGATAACATAAAAAACTGAAACAGTGCCCGATTTGATCAACACTTAATCAGTGTGAAACCAGCCATGGCATGACCCCGCCAATATTTCAAGGCATAAAATTAATAAAAGCTTCAAAATATGTCACGTGGATGGACGTTTATATTCCATGAAACTATTACTCTGAAGGCACTCATTATGTCAATATATATTGTGACATAAACAGCTCATCAAGTATTCTTAGAAGAAATACATTCATGGCAGAAAACTCTCATTAATTCATATTTTGAAAACGTTCGGAATTTTCATCTTGAAATTCCAAAAATAGGTTATTAGTGAGTGCCTGACTAAATATTGTGACGTATCCAGATTATAAAATACCATTAGCGGAATACATTCATGGAAAAAACTCACATTCACATTTCTTTTTGGAAGGTCAAGATTTTTTTATAAATCTCAAAAATGTTTCCTAAATATGCACAAATAACAGCAAATCTATCTGAAATACTTCAAAAAACTTGTACGCTGATATTCGAGTTGAAATTGCCGCCTCAGTATTTGGGATATCAAAACTCATTTTAGAATTTAAGATGACAGAACGTCGGGAAACATTGCAAAAATCATTGATACTTCCGGTGCTTCTAACCTCGCCGATAGCAAACGCTTGGATTCGGCTGTTAACCTCTCACCAATGATTCACAAACATTTCAGACTAACTTCAAAATTCAATATCTCCCAAAATATGTTTTCACATAAATGAATGTATTTTCATTTAACCATTTATTATCCATTCAATTTATCGCCCCAATTTCGGAAACACCCTGTATACAGGACACCCTCATAATATCCTTAGTCAGTTTGTAGGTATGCGGTAATAGAATGGAGACACTCCTCTCATTTGCCCAGAGACGGACCAGAGTATTTGGCATTCAAAGAAGAGCAGTGCCGTACCATACTGATGTCAAAGAAAAGGTCTCAAGATATTGACCATATGAATGCATTGTCTATATGCGAGACAATATTAGTCAGTACAAAACTCAAAGCAACATACATAATCATATAGGAGAAAAAGATACAATTTTAGAATGAACAATATCAGACTTCATAACTCTAGAAATGCTTCACTATTGTATTGAAAGATTACTTGATCAAGAAAGCCTTCTACAGCTATAATGAATGTCTTAACAGCAGAATCGAGATGTAATGTACTTCTTGGAATGCTATAAGACATTGAAATTTTCAACTAGTTAATTGTTTTCATTCTGTGACACCTATTTTTTATCTATTTTATAAGTATATTTCTATATGTGAACTTGTGTTGTTGACCTCTGTGTAAAACTTGATGTTTATTAACACAAAATAAAATATTCCATTCTATTATTTCTATTCTAATCTATTCTATTCCATGATAGAAGAAAAATATGAATCAGTTTTAAATCTGGATTGGTTTTATCTCGGGTTTTATAATAGTATACCGGTATCAAATGGGTCACACTATATAGGAATTCTGAAATGTCTAAGGTTGAATTGTTGAAAGTTAATTTTTTACTCACATGTTATGCCTTCTGCAGAAATATCATGCATTTTACAGCACGCTGACACCATTCTCATGGCAAGCTGATCTACTACAAGAATTCGCCATTCTACACCATGTATAGTCTGTTGTGCTGCAGGTCCATTTTTTTTCACAGGTTTGTGTTTTATTACCTCATTCATAATTTCTGAAAAAAGTGGATTGTTCACGAAACTGATTCAAATCAATAGGCCTGTTTCAGTGAAAAATTTCATTTCATTATTTTGAAGCTCGTTTTGAAGTACTAACCCATATTAGCCCAAATTAGTTTACTATCGCAAATCGATTTCTCGTCAGAGCTGTGTAGTTTTCTTACATAATATTTGAAATTCACGATTTTTGCGGCGAAGAGAAATTTGATTACTTGAAAAATTCGAGACAACCAGGTGAATCCATATTCGCGGTAGCCAAGGGAAAACATTCCTAACTGGCTTAGATTGAAAGTTAGACATATTTGCCAGTAGTTCTCATGTCATCGTAAAGTCAGATGATGACCTTCTACCGCGAATAGGGTTTCTCTCTCTCTGAATATGGTCTCTTGTCTTCAACATACAGCCAGTCCTTATTACGGAGAATCCGTCCCCATCCGGCCTGGATACCGGCGTAAATAAAAAGGGTTTTGTTTTTCGAGCACCCTAGATGTCTCACTAGAGGTGATACCAGGTATTGTGCTCTTTTAGCGTTTTAAACTCACAATCACGAATAGGGTTTCACCCGAGCTCTCACCAGTTGGCGCTACTAACACATGAGTCAAAAATCCCAAAGTTTTACCGGCTCGGTTTTTTACTCCCAATGGGGAAATTTACGACCAATTCTTACATTGAAGGAAAAGAAGATATTATAGCGAAAAGCGAAATGACAGGAAATGAAGAAGTAAATTTATCACTTCTACCAACCCTCTGACCTCATGTTTCCGTGGCGCGGTTTGGTGGACAATAAATAATAATTATTAGCCCTCATAAGCCGGAAACAATTCAAGGAGTGACTACTTCTGTCATATGTTAGGAAATAAAGTTTATACAGTGAGTTTCATTACTAATTGGGAATATTTCATATAAAATCCTATTCTCAAAATATGAAGATTCAACCCAAAACACCCAGATAAAATGTGTCTCCTTCTGTTACAGGGATTTATGTTAATATTAAATTTGAGAATAATTATGTCATTATGTTTTTTTGTTAATATGGATTCAAGTTTTCTGTATCCAAAACATGACAGAATGAATACACATCAGAATCAAAATAATTGTGCAACTTCGTGTTTAACCTGAAATATCTAAAAAAATAATGACTTTATCGCTATGAAGAGAGTAGGACATTTTACGAAGAAAGTATTGGAGAATCAAAAAATTGTAAAAAAATGGGGATTTCGCCAGTGGCGTAGAATTTGGGGAGGATCAACCAGTCACTTGCTCCTGTCGTATGCCTCTGGTAGAAATGTTTATTTCACTTAGTTTAGTAGGTTGTATAGTATCTACAATTCCCACTGAATATGACAATAGGTCAATTAGTATCAATTTTTCAAATCTCACACATGAAACACTTTTTATTTATGTTTCTAGTTAATATTCATATTTTGAGCTCAGGATTCACTGGTTGAAATATATTCAATTTTTTTTTTCGTTTGGTGCGCACGGAAAAGAATCCCTATAATGTTCGAAGAACATCGTGCGTACCTAGGAAGGATAGGGAGAGGAGGTAGGTGTTTGATTTTTTTATTTTTTCAACTATCGGAGAATATAAGTTCATGGAAATACTTCCTTATAATGAAACACCCTGTATAAACATGTATTCTAACTTGATTTCTTTTTTCTGGATACAGGATGTTGAAGTTGAAAGACAAAATTGTTTATATCATGAACCCCTGTATAAGCTTGCATGGAGGAGAAATTAGGTCTGGTTGGATCATTAACCTAAAAAAATCTGAGGAAAGATAACCCCAATAAAGTATATATATTTGAAATCAGAAGAAAGAGCTCTACCGTTTGGGAAAATAAAATACAGGGTGTTCCATTTGAAAAATACCAGCTTATTAATCCGTAAACTTTTTAGGTTTATGATGATGCTTTTTCGCATTTTCTAGTACTCAGATTCTGAATGTCAATAAAACATAGGTACTTCACTTTAGCCCATTTGAACGTTTCTCTAAGACCAATATTAACTGAGATAGATTAAGTAAAATATAAGCAATATCGTAAGGTCTACAAATCGAAATTATGTTAATCTCTACAGATTGATGTTTTTTCAACGCGGAGCTTAATGAATTCAGTACGATTTTTTCAAATGGAACACCCTGTATTTTCACATACTTAGATTTTTTCTATAGGGCTTCAACACAAAATTGATAGTATTTTTTCTGTTTTTGATAAACCAATGAGGTAACTTTGTATGTCTTCAATTATATTCCCTAATCTGATATCACAATGACTTCATTGTGTATGTTATTATTTTCACCATTGTCTGCTAAATATGGAGAAAAAAATCTAGTGAGCTAGAGTATCATTTTCACAATAATTGTGGCATCTCCCATGGAATGTCAAATTTCAAGTAATGACAGATCTATCTAATAGGACGGCAGAGCTCATTATCTCCAACAGTTCAAAGAAAATCTAATACCTACCTCCTCTGCCTATATCCTCCCTAGGTTAGCTAGGGTACGTCCGAACATTATAGTGTTTCCTTCCGTGTGACCCAAGATATAAAAAAAAATAGAGAAAATCAGATCAGAGACAAGCCAAAGAAATAAAAAATTTCGCAGTATTCTATTACAGCCGTAAAAAAGTATAGTGTATAACTCGCACGGAATGCTCATTTTCCTCTCGTATTCTAGTAGGAAATAACCTCGGAAATTACATCAATTCCGTGCTCATCAAAAATATATTATTTCGTTATCTTGTCTACACAACCAAGATTTTCAAGATTGATGCTTGGATTGGTGAGATTTCCAAGATTAAAAGCGGATTGAAAGGAAAGTGTACACCATATCGTCAGTGAGACACCATTCGTCATTTACACTCTGTATCTGATAGGACTTAGACAGGCTGTTATTTCTAAACCGCACATTTGACGTATTTGGAGTTCTTGAAATGACACTGATTTGAGAATTTGTATACAGGGGTTATGGATTGAGTCCTGTTCAATGAAAATATTTTCAAGATGGCGGCACTTCGAGATCTGCTGGAGGGGTAAACCGCGGTGGAATTCTGGTGTACAATCAACTGGAATTCATTGGAATTCCTTGGGGGAAGTGCGATATAATTTTGGGAATACCAAGGAATTCCCTGGAATCCCTTGGTATTTTCAAAAATGCTTTGGAATTCCTTGGATTTTCTTAAAATTTCACGGAATTTGAAATTTACAGGAATTCCTTGAGTGAAGTGTGGTATAATTCTGGTCTACAAACAACGGGAATTCCCTGGAATTCCTTGGAATTATTTCTAAGCGTCAGTGAGAGGAAGAATTGATATTTTTTAATATATCCGTAATTCGGGATAAACTATTAAAAAACTAAGAGGGATATTCCATTCACATTACCTCATACATTACCTGTCATGGTAAAAGCTGACAATCACATTCCATTGTGTTTAACCATGACGTAATGAACACCTCCCCTACATGTCCTTGGGTTTACCAACTCTATAGTTGGCATAGATAATTATACAGCACGCTGATAGTTGGTAAAGGTGGTTAAAGGTAAACTTGATTATTTGTTTTCAAATGATGAATGTGAAAAATGGACAATATGATGGGAACATTCGAATTGAAAATGAATGGAATGGATGTGAAGTAAGATACAGGGGTAAACTCAAACTGTGGAAGTGGGTAAAGTGAAAGAAATAGGAATTCAAAAATAGTCAATGTTGACGTCATTATGACGTAGTTGCCTCCCACCACCCTCACCTAAATAATCTAAAGGGGTTTAACAGGGAATGTGAATGAAATATCTCTTTATCAAATTCGGGAAAGCATTTGGGAAAGTTCAAGTACCCATAACTATTTTTTTTTTATAGAAAGCTTCACTAAATGAAGAAGAAAGAAAAATCTTTATTAACTCTAACAAGGACCTGAAGGAAGGTATAGAGCATATGTCATACAATAATATTGAAATTAGAGAGAGGACAGTTCTCTCCTCTCCCAACTTTCTCTTCAATGCTACCAAGGTAGTAGCGTTGATTGATAGTAATATATCAATCAACGGTAGAGAGAGATCCGATAACCCTTTCCTTGTCTGACATTTAGTTTAGGCCACTGAACTATTTGCGATGTTATATGTCTATGTCAAAATATGATATCATTGACCGAGTCATTGACTGATAATGTTTTGAATTTTTGGAATAAAATTTCAATTCATCACATTTATTTTGACATCATTTATTATTATCATTAAATTTGACACTCTGCTGAATTAAAAAATAGTTCAGTGGCATAAACCAAGGCATAAACTAGATGTTAGACAAGGAAAGATTAATGGGGCCTCTCTATGTTTCAATGAGGCTACCTTGGTAGCATCGTTGATTGATATATTACGCTTACGCTGGGAAGATGCCCAACCTTATGGGGCAAAACGAGGTCCAAAAAAATCTCACAACTAGATGGCGTACCATAGTTCGAAATCTCACATAGTGGCGGCGATAGTGTCGAACGATGTCGGAGCAATACTTCGTAATTTGACTGGCAGGTGCGCCACGTACGAAGAGAATCTATTGGAATGCAGATGGCGTGCGACTTGGAACAAAATTAAACAATCCATAATCCAGAACGCTTGTATCGAATCCACCATCAGTACGATTCTAACTAATATGGCGGTAAATTCGAATTTTTTAGTAATAGGTGTACTGGATGTGCTTTTAACGAGCGCAAGCGCATCACGGACGTGAGATCATGAAAAAAGTTTATAGAAATCGAATTGGAGTGAATCACAAAATGTAATGTCTCAACAATAAATGCTTCCATTTTTGGCGATTGTGGAATAAACTGGTCAGCGGATATCAATATATAAGCTGCTCATAAATTTGATTGAAATTCACGAACCCGGACCTTAGTGTATTTTACCCTAGAACTGAATCTAAATGGGTCTGTTCGAGTGGAATTTCATATTTCATTATGTCGAATAACTAAATCAAACTATAATTCACTGTCGCAAATCATTTTCTTGTCAGAGCTATGTACAATTTTTGAAATTTTTATTATTGAAATTACTGATATTTATCACATGAGAAACGTGGAACATATTGCGTGACAATTCTATACCGCTATCAATCCAAAATATATGATCCAACCTATGTATTGCCGAAACTTGGAGTGCCAATAAATTTCCTTTGACTTTTGTGGGGCGGCCGACTCGGTGCGTTTGTCGGCGATAGGGCTGCCAAGCCGTCGTTTGTCGCCCTAACAACACAAGTACATCCTAAGGACTTCCCAGGGACGTCCCTAATTTTATACAAGGACATCCCAGAGATATCCTTTGTCGGGACAGAGTACATACTAGGGACGTCCCAGAGAAATCAGCTGGCTGACAAAAAAAGCATCCAAGGGATTTCCGTCTGGTACGTCCCTGGGATGTACCAAGTACGAAGGAAGGATATCCCTAGGAGGTCCCAAGGATATTCCAGGGACAACCCTTCGACAAAAGAAAAAAAATTTGGTCGAGTGTAGGGTTTAAACCCGGGACCTTTAGCTCCAGGCACGCACCTTACCCCATTGGCTGATATGCCTTCTGAAGATTTATGTACCAAACATCGATTTTTGAACAGGACCAAACTGCAGAAACCTGAATAAATACATTTGGGTATAATTATTATCATTCGTGGATGTTTAAAAATGAGGGGCATTATGCATTTACGATTTCTGTTTGCGAAAAATGGTAATTTCTTGAGAAGTTCTGAGACAATTTTCTTTATTTTCATTACAATTAATTATTTACCGGAAAAAAATCAAACATTTTCATAAAATTCAACAAATATTTTGATGAAAGTCAATGACTCTGATGTGAATAGATAACAGATATTCCAGGAAAACGAATAGGATAACCTATGGATGTACCGGGCCGGATGTCCACTGGACAACCACTGCGGGACATCCCCTGGATACCCCAATTATGTCCTTGTACCGTGTGACAAAAAGGGCACGTACATTCGTTAATCTATGGTACGTACCTAGAACATCCCTGTGTTGTTAGGGCGGAGATTCTGAGCGTTCCGTAGTCTGTACTCCGTTGTTCTGAAGCGGCAAAATCGATTCTACTCAGAAAAAGTTACTGGTATCACAAAATATCAACGCCGATTTCATGATTTTATATATCGTGGCATATAGACTGGAAATGTAGCTGCATATAGACTGGAAATGTAGCTGTTTTCTGATGATTTTGTTTTTATCTCTTCAAATATACCAAAAAAGAATTCATATTTTTCAACAACTAGATACTGAAAAAAATGGTTCATAAGCTTGCAGCTTCAACTCTTGTAATCCAATAAATAAATGAATTCTATATATTATGTTCCAATAGTTATGACTCACTCTGTATATTATGCCTATTATAGATGATGTATTTTATTTCATTTTTATAGTGAACCCTTAACAATCGAAGATTCAAACATATCTGACTATTTATTTTCTATCTACTGATGAGACTCTAAGAAATTATCACATTCAGATTGATTATATTAGGTATCAATATTTTGTAATGTGTTATTAATACAAATTTTTAATATGGATACAAATTGAGTGAAAAAAATAATCAACGAAAAAGGCGTGAGATGTTCTTCCAGATATACATATATATTGGTCTGGGCAAAGTATGACAAGTTATTCACAAGGGAATTTAAAAAAACGCCACGGAGTAGGAACCCAACTGAGTGAGAGATCATAATATGTTCTTCTCTCTTCCGCAAGGAACCGAGAGAAAAATCAATACTCGCAACCTTGAGGAATGCGGATTCCCCATATACGTCCATGGGATTCACCGACCGTAGCAAACATTTTTTCATCGGAACCGGTCGGGCGGGTCGGTTCTCATCGTAGAAGACAAGGATAAACAAAAATTTTTGGAGCGACCATGCGGTGGGATGGGATCTGTAATTCTGTACAAAAGTGTAGTAATCTGTACAATTAGTTCAGACATGTTCTGTGTGCCTAGTGGAGTCGCTACCTCACAGTGGCTAAACGATAGACGAGGGGATGAGCGGGGCATCGACTCGCAAATAACACAGGTTGGGCATCTTCTCAGCGTAAGCGTAATATATCAATCAACGGTAGCATTGAAGAGAAAGATAGAAGAGGAGAGAACTCTCCTCTCTCTTGTTCAAGGTAGAACACAACTCAATTCAAGCAAGCTACATTAGAGAATATCAAATTGATAACACAAGACACTTTAAAATGTGTGATTACAAAAATAAACACTACACTACAAGTTACCTACTTAATTTAAGATGTTTCAGGAAAGCAAAATGCTGGGCAAAATGTATCAACCATGTATTAACCTCTTGAGAGGCCTATAGGTATTCAATTTTTAAGAGTATATCAAAATAAAAAGGTGTAGAGATTGTAGACATTTGCCATCCCCCACAATTTTTTGATTATGCTGGCTAATTAGGTATTCTGGTATTCATTGATTCCTGGAATAATCCATGAGGAATTGGGTTGAGGGCTGAGTGGGGCATGAATGAATCATGTAAATTTGAATTCATTCGCCACTAGTGCGCAGCCGGAACAATATTGACAAGTAACGTCATGACATCACCTTCCCTAAGATGAAAATAATATGGGAGTATTCCATATAATTTAGGTATCATTCATTCATAGGAAAATGCATTCCAAACTAATTTTGTTCACTGTGAACCAAAACATACACTTTTATGATATGATGGCAATTGCTATTTGTAATAAATCGTTATAATGCCCTAGTATCCTCGCTAGTATCAAATCAAAATCGATTATTGGGGTTTCTTCATAATAATAGCTCTTGAAAAAAATAGTCTTCCACTTCCCACTTACTTTGACCAACTTGCGCTTTCAAGGCCATGTTGAATGGGGCTCACCACTTTACAAAAAGCAAATAAATATTTTGTACACTTCGATTTGGTGAATATATTCCAGAAAAATTGAATCTGATTCAGATAATTTCGAACACAATTCACCATCCATGAATGAACTGACAACGGTGACAATGACAAGTTGACATCACAACAACAATGACAATGAAAATGACAACACTGACAGCAGTGGCGCAGTGACAACTGACACTGACAAGAGTGACAAATTACTTTTGACTTGAGTTTGTTACTTTATTGCTTTCATCAATCTTCCATCTTTCGTCATCAACATAGAACTTGTCTGAGCCACTGAACTATAACCGTTATCACTACACAATTGCACGCTGACAAATGATAACAGTGGGCTGACGCCATGCTATTAGTGGATCAGAATAAAACCCAGAATTACGTCAATTGACAGATTGCTGAGGGGCAAACATTGTGTTTTGCCAAAATTCGTGATATAAAACCAGAATTAGTGGAATCGTTTTCCTTGGAATCCGAGTTGGAACCAGAAAGAATTTCATAATTTTGTTTGGTGAAACTGTTATTATATTGTGGATGTGGCAGGGATGGCCAGGGCTATGCTCATCAAAGGTAACCTAACAGATAGTTTGTGTGCCCCTCAAGATACCATGTCAAAATCACGTGTTCTAGAATGGTCATTCATCAAAAAACCAAAAAACACGAATATCAACATATCACGTGATGGAATGGTTCGAAATATTTAGGCACGTCCTTCTCAGGCAAATCAAAATAAGCACTACGCCACCTGGTGACATACGGAGTAACTGAAAATGTTGACATTGTTCTTCCATTTTGCTCTGTGTTTTTGTGGTGTTTGTATAATTTTGTTCAAAGATTTTTATTTTGAAATATCCAAATCAGTTCAAAAGATAATATGAGTAATTCAAATCGCTATTGTTCAGTTCCTCAATGTTCTTCATGGGAAAAGAAAAGTTCAAATGTAAATTTTCATGCTTTCCCTCAAGCTGGTGATAAGTATCGTGTTTGGGTTGAAGGAAAATTAGGAAGTAAAGTGCTGATGGATCGACAAAAAGCTTGGCAACTGAATCTCAAAATCGGTAAACCAGTTACAAGAAATATGAAAGTATGTTCCCTGCATTTTACTGATGATGATTATTTTTATCGGGGTAAGCACGAATTACACATGAAATTTCAGGTTATATTTATGGTATTTTTTTACAGATCCCAATTCCAAACAGAGAAAATTTTTGAAGAAGACTGCTGTGCCTTCCAAAAATATTCCTGTTGGATCTACTATTAGAAAGGAAGAACCCGAATGTTCAACTAGTAGAGCTGAGAGATTGAAACAAAGAAGTCTCAACAAAGAAATCCTTGTTGCTGAAGAATGTTCTTGTGAAGAAATCGAACCTGCTGCACAAAATATTTCTCAGGATGAAATGAATGCTGCAGAAGGTCTATTGCTGCTTCTTCAGGATCAGCCAGATTATAGTGGGCCTAAAACTTTCAAGGATTTTGAAGTGCAAGTGAATACTCCAAAAGTGTCTACTCTGTGTGATCTGATATCAACAGATGCTGCTCTAAATAGTTTCACTGGTATCAATAACATAAAACTATTGGATACAATAGTAGCAGCAGTACAGTCTGTTTACAGTGATCAAAGGTTGCATCGTTTAAATATCAAGCAGCGTATTGTTTTAGTACTAACTAAATTGAAATGTGATCTAACCTATGTGACATTATCTCTTTTATTTGGAATTTCACAAGAATTGTGTAAGAAATATTTTTATGAAATGCTAACCATTTTGAGTAGAGTTCTGAGTAGTGTGATAAGATTTCCAGATTTTACTGAGATACAGAAAAATATGCCAAAATGTTTTGAAAATTTTCAAAATGTCAGAATTATTTTAGATTGTACAGAAATTTACATACAAAAACCAAAATGCCTTTGTTGCCGAATCAGATTCTACTCTCAGTATAAATCAAATATCACTGTTAAATTTATGACAGGTGTTTCTCCTGGAGGTTTAATTACCTTTGTCAGTGAACCATATGGTGGAAGAGCATCTGATAAAACTATTTTTCAGCAAAGTGACCTAATTTTAAAGTTAGAAAGTTCTCAGGATGCTATTATGGTAGACAAGGGCTTTTTGATAGATGATATTTGTCATCAGTTCAAAATAGAGTTGATCAGGCCACCATTTTTAAAAGATAAAAAACAGTTGAGTACGGAGGAAGCATTATTGAATGCTAAAGTAGCAGCTGCTAGAGTACATATTGAGAGAGTGAATCAGCGCATCAAAGTATTTAAAATTTTAGGATGTAAATTGCAGTGGTCCCTAGTGAAAAAAGTTAAAGATATATTCACAATTGCTTGTGCTATAACCAATTTGTCTAATTCAATATTAGCAGATCATAGATTTTTGAGGAATTAGGTTTATTAGAATATATTATTATGTAAGACTAGATCTTTTGGATAATACACTACACTTTATTACCACTCAAATTTTTGATTTGAAACTAAGCTAGTTTTAATCTTCTCCTGAAGATGCTAACATAGTTAGCGAAACACATGTCAAGGCATTTAAAAATATCGATTTGGTTAGTGGTAAAACAGTGTTGAGGTTTATTACAAATTATGAAAAATATGCAACAAATGTGATTGGATGTATTTCATTTCATTCAGTTATCCACTTATCAAGCCATAATGTAATCATTTGGAAAACTATAGGTATTGAGTTTAGTGTATTATATTTTATATACCTAGTTGAATTAACATTTTTGAATAAATTTGGTTTCAACCAATAAAAAACATTAATAATTATTATTATTTATTTGAATTATTTTTAGCATGACCTTATGTAAATAATGATTTTTTGACTTCCCAATAAATGGAAAAAAATGAATAAAGTGACTTTCTGTAGTGGTCCTAGAAATAATATGTTTTTAACAAATTGTTTCAATACATAGGTATATTAGAATTTGTAGGGACTGTAAATTTGAATGGTATTTTGAAATGATCATTTTGAGTTAAGAAAAAAAAAACAACTTTCAACTAGTTTATTAGACTTGCAGATAACATGTAACATTTTCTCAAAAAAGTTTTTCTTCACTACTGTTAACAATTTCATTGTGAAATTATAGTTGAAGTCAACTTTTATTATTTTAACACTCTTATCAAAAGATGCATATAATACAAAAAAACAGGTAGGCACATTTAATAATGCCATACCTAGTTGAATTTGTCCTTGATACTTGTGTTTTTCTTTTAAAAAATATTCATTTCCTATTTTTTCAAGAAATTTTGTGTTTGGCAGCACTTCCATAATGCTCCTGGTAGCTCCTGAAAAATAAAGTTCCTGTGTCAAAGATACCATACTTCAAATAGAATACCTGACAGAAATTTTGCACATTTGAATTATGCACTATCTTATTTGCTGGGTAGAAATATGAAAAAAGAAATATATTGAACTTCAGGTGGTAAATCCATTTCATGAAAATTTTTGGGGTCACTACTACCTTCATATAAACATTTCACTTCCAGTAAAGCAACAGGTCTGTTGTTCTCAAAAATGACACCATCTGGAGAATAACCCAACCAAGGATTTGAATGTGAGACAATCATACCAAAATCCACAACTTGAAAGGATGTTTGAGCAATAAAAGCATCTATAGCATCACTTTCATGTTTGATACCATGTTTTGTGAACTTATTACTGAAGCCTTTACTGTAAAAATATCTTGTTGCTTTGTTATCCCACTCAGATTTTGAGTATGTATACAATTCATATATCCTTGAGCCTAAAAATAATCAAATATTTAGAGATTTTCAAATATTGCTAGGTTATAGGGAACTTTACCTGTTACTCTATATTTCCTTTGTTCATGCCACTCCTTAGATTGCTGACTTATGTTGATTATCACATCAGGAACTTCATTAAAAAGTTCTGAATACAATATTTCACAACACTCATTTTCATTGAAGACACTTATAATGGAAGTTTCCAACATGATAATAGACTGACAAGCGTTGTCCAAAATTGCTTGAACATGATTGTTGCTGTCAGGTTTTACCTCAGGTTCTACTATTTGTTCCAAAATTTTGTCACTCAAACTCCTTCTTCCAATACTGAAAACAGAAATATGTTTTGATTTTACCAGCCATTACCTGAAATGATTCAGGCTGTGATATAGTAACCTACTTGTGTTTAGAAACTGCAGATTCAGGTAACTGGCTAATAAAAAAATTATATAATTTGTTGTCATCCATTTCCAATTGACATTGTTCAATTTTATTTTGAAAACATGGCATGTCTTTTATGGGTACAGCTTTATATTTTTCTTTTGTTATGTGTTTCTGAGTTGACCAAACACATTTCAAATCTGTTTGAGAAATTATCTCCAACTCTTCAAGATTTTCCCTGAAACAAAACAAAAAAGCAGAAAACGAACAAAGACAATAAGCACATAATTCATTCTTTTCAGAATTAACTTGGCACGATAACGCCTTTTCAAATTAGTAAAATAATACACCTTGTACACTTGATTAGGACTGCAGATATGTGTTTACATCTACCACTATTCCCAGCTTTGCAGGAACACACCATGGTCTTAATTTCTATACTTCCTGTCCCTGAGTTACAATGAAGTTCTCCTCGAATGTGATGTGGGTCCGAATTGAGTGCACTACTCTGAAGGCACAAAGCACAAATCACAATTTTCTCAGGAGTGGAAGAATTCGACTTTCCACATAATATTATGTGTCCAGCATTCAAAACTTCTTCACCTTCATAAACACTTCTAGAAGTATTTGTGCCTTCAAGATACCCCAAGTATTCTATCAAACTCAGTCTTGCCATAATATGGTCCTAAAAAATCAGTGATTCCTGTAGTATAATGATGCTGATTCAACCATTGATAATATATAATATACTCACTATAATATTTATTCCAAATTTCTTCAAGTATTATAACCTCAAATTGCTTTTGATAAACCTACAATGAATCGAAAGAAATAATCGTAACAGGAGTCTTTGAAATAACGAAAATAAATACACGGTGACACACTCGTCCACTAAGGAATTTTGAAGTCTTTTTATTTATTATTAAAAATCAATTTCTAATGACACAAATACACACATAAACAAATACCATATACAATTACAATGTCAATATTTATAGTTCTGCCATTGCTCACTTTGGCGCTGCAGTCTTATTTATGTATCGATACTGCGATACTTTCCTTGGTATCGATATATCATATCGATACTTTCCAACCTCTACCCCGGAGAACGACACTGGTCTCTACACTAGTCCAGTCTGGCAGTCCCTTTAATTATTTATTTTTGGATACCAAAAGTACCAAAACAAGAATTCCAACCAAAAGTAGGTGACAGAAGTGCTAGCTAGCTACCTGCTACCTCCGAATGCCTTCGAATACTATCACTAGTCATGTGTTCATTAAACTCAATTTCTATTTTAGTTTTTTCCTCTAGTTTTCATCACCTCTAGACCAAGAAGAAATGTTGTGTAGTAAAACCAGAGTGGAACTGGAACATGAATAGCCTTCAGTTTATATTCAATATTCATGATGTGGTTCAGTGAGGTCCTCTGGGAAAATTCATAAAAAACTGTCCTATCAGTAAAATGAATACAGAGAACCCAAAAGAACACACATTCATCAAAGAGCTTTTGGGTGAAATGAAGAATCAATTTAATAAATCTGAAAACTTGAAACAAGCAGATATTGGTCACAAAGAACTAGGTGAAAATGATTCAGATTTAAAGGGGGTATCAGAAAGCATCATAAATGAATCAACTAGCATTGATTTAGATTTGGCCAACCAGTCTCTTATTGGAATGAAAACACCATCACCTACAAAAAGAACTATCAGAAACAAGAGTACTTCTTCTGAAGAACCTTGTCCAAAAAGGTCCTCAAGTCGTAGATTGAAAAACTTGAAAGGATCTGTTCTACAAAGTGCAATAGCAAGAAAAGAACAATCCTATAATGAACCCAGTAAGCCAAGAAGACTATCCAGAACTCTGAAACCAACCCAAAAAATATTAGAAAATCTTGCATTTGTTAAACATGAAAAACGAATTAAGATTCTTCCAAAATGTGTAGATAAACCTATCCTATATAATATTTCTACTAGCAATATAACAAGGAAGAATAAGTCTAAAAAAGATATTGATAAATTGAAGAATGATCAGAGTGAACTTTGTGGTGAAGAGTTGGATACTGAAGAAAGTAGGACTAGTGACAGTGAAGAAAACTTGGATGTGGTTAAGACCAAGAGAAAATCACAAAGGGTTTCTGCAGGGTAGGAATATTGAATACTTTAGACTATCCTGACTATCTCATATGACTTAGTACTGTACTGTTTATTGTTTTTCAGCTTCAACAAAGGTGACTCTGATGAACCTACTAACTCAAGTCCAAGTGTAGCTGACCAGGTGAATGATTCCCCTGATGATCCAGAATGTTCATCAGTTGAAGCCCTGTTGATCACTTCAGAATTGTGTTTGTGTACACAAAAGTCAAATCTGTATCAGGCTCCTAATCAGAATGGTATGTATTCATGCTAAATCAAAATTTGATCATGATGCTGTTCACAATGAAATTTTTTCAATAACAATTTTAGTTTATAAGTTGACCAATACTGGAGACCAATACCAAGGGTCATTATGCAATGCAACAAAACAAAAATAGCTGTACTACTGGTGCAATTTAAATTTCCAATAAATTGACTGGTTGTGACTGAAAGTTTGCCCAATGAAATAGAAGAAGTGGAATTATTGTATTGGTTTTTCCATATCAACTTGGAATAGTTCATGTGACTACTAAATCTCAAATATCTCAAAAATGGTTGAAATTTTTGTATTTTGATGAGAATACTGTTTTCATGTGGTTTTTTCCATATATGTACAGTGTGACCCATTTAAGATGGAAGCACCCTTATAAAACTTACATTTTTCAACCGATTGGAATGATTTTTTTTTGTTAGGTAGATATTCAAAAAGTCTATTAGGACACCAAATATCATGAATAAATCTCCATTTCCAGGGCCAACTAATCTGATTTTTCAAGGTCAAAAATCTAAAAAAATTACTAGCGATTTTTTTAGAAAAAATCTGACTACACCACTGGATTTGTGACATTTTCAAATGGGTAACATGTAAATTACGTTGAAATGCGTCAATCAATAAAAAAGTTATAAAGGAATGAAATTTGAAAAATAATCAACCCATGAATTTTTATTACTGAACAGATTTCGATGAAACTGTGATCAGTAATATTTCAAGACATCCTGAATCCAGTGGAGTATACAGAATTTTCATAAAATTCCTGAACATGAATTGGTGGGTTGATTAAACGGCATATTTTTCAAATTTCATTCCTTTATAACTTTTTTATTGATTGACGCATTTCAACGTAATTTACATGTTAGCCATTTGAAAATGTCACAAATCCAGTGGTGTAGTCAGATTTTTTCTAAAAAAATCGCTAGTAATTTTTTTAGATTTTTGACCTTGAAAAATCAGATTAGTTGGCCCTGGAAATGGAGATTTATTCATGATATTTGGTGTCCTAATAGACTTTTTGAATATCTACCTAACAAAAAAAAATCATTCCAATCGGTTGAAAAATGTAAGTTTTATAAGGGTGCTTCCATCTTAAATGGGTCACACTGTATGTAGGAGTGTATCAGAACAATGTATTCTAATCTGGTGGCTTCTATGGTTTAGAAAAGAGTTAAGAAGTTATGCAGAAAAATTATTTCAACTTTTTCAATATTGTAAGAATGAATATATCTCCCTCAATATTTGGGCCATTAGTTTGTATATAACCTCCTGAAAGCTCAGTACATATTTTTGACATGACCAGTAAACCCATCATTCTTGGATAAGGGCTATATTGATCTCCAATTCCGCTAGTCGCCGGGAGAAAACTCCAGTGGGCGCTGAACTGTGCTGTAGATCTGATGGTATGAACTTGGTCATGTTTTTTAACCCTGTGAGAGGTCCCTCCACCCATGTCGCTGGTGATTTTTCCTGCCGGAGGGCCCTCTGTCGTTGTCCTGGGTGCGATGGGCCCTCCATCCGGTACTACCGTGTAATGCAAGGAGCGCCCTCCATCCGGTACTACCGTGCCATGCTAGGAGCGCCCTCCATGAGAAGATCCCCCGCACCTGGCACGGTGTCCGTCCTGTCTGAGGGGCCCACCTCTCCAGGATTAGTGGGCCCTCTGCTGGAGGCGCCCTCTTCTCCTGAGTTGGTGAGCTTCTCTCCGGGTTCACTGCAAGTGAAGGTTGTGGTGCCCCGTTCTACAACTGAGCCCTCACTTACAGACACTTGTGTTCTCCGTAGATGGCCCTGTTACCCGGGTCACCAAGTCCATTTCCTCGTCCAAAAGGGTGACTGACGATCTCAGTGCCCTGTAGAACAGCTGAAAGTCCATACTCCTTAAGATGGTAATGGACTCTTCATCCATCCTGACCTCAGAAGCATAAGTCCTCTGTCCCCTTTTGTTCTAGCCAGTAGAGTCACTGGATGGTATCACTAGGTAAGAGTTGGGACACAGCTGGACTTCTGTCCTTTTCTATTTTCTATATTACAATGGTTTGAGTCAATAAAAGAATACGACATAATATATTCTGCTCTTTGTCTTTTCAATTTCTCAAATTTGCGATAAAAAATAACACGTCGGCCCTCCTGACGGCAACAACTTGAACACTTCTAAGTGGTTTATTATGATCATATGACCAATAAAAACAAACAGGAAACAATAAAGAACCAATGATAACAAAGTAAATAGGCCGTTTTGTCAGCTTCCAAAAACTCGCATAGGTGGCGTACGCTTATTTTCTATCGCGAGCGCCTGATTGTCAGATACAATTTTAGAGGTTACATTTTCCGTCAAATCAATCATGGCAGTAGATGGTAAATAGAAATAGGATATTAACATCCACCATCCACTTCAATTTATAGCGGTATGGCACTTTTCCTAGAACAACCGTTATAAAAATACAAAGAATGCATGTAACAACATATTAATATCACAGAATAGACACGTATGGATATATGTATAGCTATAGCTAGTTCGGTCGCTATTGAAAACGCCATTTTGAATTACAGTGAGTCCAATATAAGGAAGTGTCTTCTGATGATAGACATCCTTATCTTGAACACAGTGTATACCATGTTGCAATTTACTTGATTTCCTCAGTTTTGTCCTGAAATTTTCATTTTCTTTATGTAGTTTTGCAATCAATTCCTCTTTCTCCATGATAATTTTGTTCTGCATTTCGTGTGAGGATAATATTTTTTTTTAATAGCCTGGTTTGAAAGTATGGAACAGCAGCTTCTCTCTAACGGATCTTAAAATCATCTGTTCAAAAATGGGCCTGAAATATAGTTTCATTCTGATCTGCTGTCATAAAGTGAATTTAAATGTTTGTATCTCACAAATTCTGCTTGTCTTCAAATTTATTTTTCATCCTGGCCGGTTCATGCATTCCTTCTATATGAGAATGGTTGATATTTATTGAATATATGAAATCCATTGTCATCAGAATTCCCACAATTCATTACACAGCAGTAATGTATTGTCAAACTGAGGCAGATTTCAATGAAAAAGCGTGGGACGACTATGGTGCTCTTGTCACAATGCAAGGTGTATAACTTAATAAATCTAAACATTCAAAAACACTGACAGTTGTCATTTGTGTGTTCTAACTCTCATCTAACTAATACCATCCAGTGACTCTACTAGCCAGGACCCTCCACCATAGAGCGGTGAGTTCCGGATTGTACCTTTTAAAATTGCGTTTCCGCTGAGGTCCACATATCTCTCCCGGTATCTAGATGTTCGCACGCAGCCTTCTGGAGCTATAAACAGGATCATGTAGATACATAATAAAATGAAGGAATAGTACGATGGATTCGTGATAGTTCAGTTGAGATGAATAATAATGATTTTCCAAGACATACGGAACAGAAAACCATGATATGGTTGTACCAGGGTTGGCTGTACAGACTTAGCAATATAGATCGCCGTTCACATTGCTAGAGGGGTTGTTGGTACGAACCCGACCATCGGAAGATCATTTTTAATAACGATAAATTGTGCACGGGTTAAGTGTTCTTGTCCTGTCAACATCTTTTGGCACCACTGAAGTTTTTCAAAATCCACTATAAGCTGCATGTAGAGGTCCCGCACTTCTCATCAACTACGCACAAGTTCAGAGTTGGGATTTCAACTTTGGATATTTTCCCAATTTCCACATTTTGAGTTTTTGACAAACCTGTGAAATTGATGTCATCGACGTTCGTGTACTGTCTGTTCCCGCTTTTTCCATCAATTTATTTGTAGTTATGGGTGTCAGTGCTTGTCATAGTGTCCATACTCTAAATATACATACACGGCAAAACAGAAGCGTCAAGTACATTAAGGAACCCTAGCTACATGCAATTTAAAATAAATAAAATAATCAAACCACCTGATGATTTTTGATATCCTCCCTTTACCTTTCAGATATTGTCCATTGTTCAGCAATAGACAGTATTAGTGAAAAGTTGCTGGGATGTAGTCGAGAGGTTAATATCGAGGAAACTTCTTTATCAAGGCCATCACAAAGAGTTCCATATCTCATTTTGTGTGATTCGCATAGAAACCGATTGTTCCGTCATAATTGTTGTCCCACATGTGGAGTATTTTGTACACAGGTATCTTAGAATCCAAAATTGATGACTTTAAAACAACATATTTTATTGAATGAAGTGAAAATTACTATTCTTTGAAGGGCCAATTTGTTGAATGTAGTGCGAAACATCAATTTCACCGAAGCTGTCAAATAATGGTTGGTAATACTGGATGCTGTCCACATTGTGGAATATCCACTCCTAGTCATGATATATTTATCAGTATGCATTGCTCAAATAAACCTGTTTTCTTGCCTGCACAGAGTCCAAAACGGTGAGAGAAAGCATTTTAATAGACATTTCCCGAATATTTATTGAACATTGAAGAATTTCTGGGTGTCATATAGTGTGTCAAAAGAATTGGCCTTTTCGTCACTTACTTGAATATAGAAACATTCACTTACATATCAGTAACAAGTGGTAACAATGTTCCTAATAAATTTTATAGAAAAATGTATTTTTATCAAATGTTGGTGAATCTGCTGGTATTTACCAACTATTTCATTCAGGGGGTAATGTGTGGTTTGTTTAATACAATTATGGTAGATACCTGCATCACCCACTGATCCAATGAACCCACAAATTCTTGATTGTTGTTTCAAAATTATTCTGATTCCCCACTCAAGTATTATTGCACAATCAGAAAATTTAAATTACATAAAAATTGAATCAGAATATTTTTGGAAAATGTGTGTGCTACTGTAACCAAAAGAAATCAGCAAGTTCTGATACAAGCTAGATACATATAGGTAACATGGAAGCATTTTTATGTCAATAGTTACAGTATCATACAAAAACTATAAGTACAGATTGTTTTTTCAACTCTGACCAGTGTGAAGGGCCTAAATAAAAATAAAGTTACAGTCATATATTTCACAAAAAAAGTTTTTGTTTTTGATAGTGATTATAAGATAAAATTTATTTTCCTTCAAACTTGAAGCTGTTATACATATCATAAAATATGTAGAAGTTTATATCAGTACAACTATAGTTGTTAATCTGTGCTATAGTACCTATATAAGTTTAAACTTAGTATAATTAAATTCAGATTACTTACTATTGTAGGAAATTCGAATTCATTATCAATTTCAAGAGTGGAGTTGATTTTTTCAAGTAATTTAATTACAGTAGTATTCAATGTCAAAAACAAAAGCTTTTCTCATTCCACTGACTTTTTCTTCAATAACACAAGAGTTTTCGAATTGAGACAGATAAAAAACTATCTGTATATTTATAATACTAACTGTGTGTTTCAAAAATAGGTAACATAAATGTTCTTATTCTTTCTTCTCATCTCTGAGTATCTATCATATATTACATTCGGAATATCATATATTACATTTGGAATATTCAAGTTATTATTATTACTAGTGTTATTATCATTATGATTATTGTTGTTAGTACTATTCATGGAAATAAAATTTGAGTACATATCCATATTTCATTATCTCAACTTTTTAGTCATTTGCATTTTTAGTTGAAACTTATTATTTTCAGATCACTGAGCAACTATTAAAATATTGAAACACTCAGTACACCCCTAGTTATTAATCCGAATTTCAGAAGTCTAAATATATATGGCATTCAATCCGATTTTAGACTTTCCGCTAAAATGATTTTTCCCCATGACAAAGAAAACTCTTCTCGTTCAACACCTTTGTTACTGCCTATAGAAACTTTCCAAGTTTTCAACACTCCACATTTACATGGCCAGATTTTTGATGAAAATGATTTAGTCAATGCCTTGAAAGAACAGGATATTGTCAAATTGGCCTCCATTATAGGTAAAGTATTTTTTCAGACGGAACTTTTAGTGACATTGCCACAATATTCAGACTGGAATCTCAACATAAACTTCGAGATAAAAATTATGAATTCAGTTCAACATATAGGCATATTTTGAGATATATACTAAAAGACGAACAGAAAGTAACTTAAGTAGGTCATTTTATGGTCATTCTAGAAAATATAGATATGAAGACATTATGGATTTGTTATTTCCTGTTTTCTTCAAGTCATTTATCTATTTTATTTATTTATATGAAAACTCGATCAATCTTTTCCAAATTGAATTACTAATTCCAAATTGTTTTAAACAATTTTGCGATTTCGTCTTCTAAAGTTGCTGAAATCGAATTATCAACACACTTTCTATGTATCAATTTTCCCTAGCCTTATGTTCCCTCTATATCTGATAGTAAATCGAATATTATAATCGATATACATTATATTCATATGATAGTAAATTATATATTTCACTGAAAAAAGAAAATTCAAGACAAAGTTGAGCATTTAGATATTTCCTCATTATATGTATATAGATTTCTCAAATCAATAGGTACTGAGGATGACTTACATAAAACATAAGGAGTGTATAATCTCTGACATAAGGAAGTGCTGCATATAAAATTTTACTCCATATATCATGAGATCACAGTTTGAATATTTTGAATGCATATTTATCTTTTTTTTTTATTTCAGCTTCAGATAGCATAGATATGCATTTCAGGCTAACAGAATTCAATAATGGCAGCCTTTTGCACTATGCTGCACATACAGGGTTGCCCAAAATATGCCATTTACTTGTATCTGCCGGTTTAGAGATAAATGATTTTGATAAAGAACAGAATACTCCTCTGATGTTGGCAACAGCCGCAAACAAAAATGATGTTGTACAATATCTAGTACGATCTGGGGCCAGTATTACAGTCAAGGTATTCATATTATAAATAGTGTCCCTGGGTGTTTCTGTATCATTCATGCACCATTCAATAAATACGATATAACTACTTATAATGAACACAATTTAGTTCAATCTGCAAATTGAACACACCTCTGAGGTTTAAGGCTTGTCTTGAAACCCCTGAGAAAAAAATATGAGACACAAATGCTTCTTATAAAAATTACTTATGGCTGAGGTACCTTTTTTCTTGTATGAGCCAATAATACTTATTTATGTATCAAGGGCGTAAAATAGGCTTTTATGGACCGTAGCGTGTAAGTAATAAGAGACGGAGGGATAGATAGCCTAGGTCTTTGGTGGTATCCTCTGCACTCTTCAAGTCTTCAGTTTTCAATCTTCTGTATCGCCTCTCTTGGCCAATTCTCCTTTTTTTTTCTTCTTCCGGCATATTCGAGGTTCAATTGTACAATGGGCCAATAGGCCTAAGTGTCATCGGAGACTTCGGTCAGACGAGCCTTGAAAGGAGGTGGAGTGTTTAGTACCTACATGTAGGGATTCCCACACTACCATGAAGGGAATGTTCCTCCGTGGTGTCCATGAAGGAGTTTGACCGTATGAAAAAAAAAGTTACGCCCGAAATACATGCAACATTTTTTATGCACGACCGGTATATTCGATTTTTCATTGTGAATACCTCTTGGGAACGATATAAATACATCATGATGCTAACTAAGTCAATTTTTTTAATTAGGAGTAGAATATTATTAATGCTGTCAATTAATGATTGCACAGATAACTTGGGTCGATCATCATTTTGTATCTCAGAAATATCAAAAGAACTGTAATATTAGATAAATAAAAATGGCAATGCAAAGTTTAGTGGTAGAATTTTATATTCATTTTGTAGGGGACTGATGGAATGACACCTCTTCACATAGCTGCCAAAACCGGAAACATTTCAGCATGCAGAATCCTTCTAGAGGCGGGAACCACTATCAAAAATTATGTCAACTGTCAAGACGATGGTGGCTGGACACCATTAGTATGGGCCTGTGAGAACGGTTATGCTGATGTAGGCGATTTCTTGATCATGAAGGGGGCTGATCCACTGTTGAGGGATGTTGAGCACAACGAGGCTCTGCATTGGGCTGCCTTTAGCGGTAGCTCTCATATAGTGGAACTACTTTTGAACAGGGGCTGTGATGTCAACACTGTAAATGGACATGGCGAGACTCCATTGTGAGTATGCAAGTCTAATAGTGTTCATCCTCTTTCTACCATTTAGGTCAGGTTGTGACACTATCAAACTTGATAAGCCGAAATTAATTAATTCGCTTCCAGATCGTCACCAAATCTTTCTTCTTTCAGACATATAGCTGCTAGAGAAGATCGATATAATTGCATAATAACGCTTTTGGCTAGAGGAGCAAACGTTTTTTTGATGAACAAAAACAACGAGAGGCCTCATGATTGTGTACCTGAAGATGGAGTCAGTGTTGATGTTATTGCTCTGAATGTTCAATTGCAATCTGTGACTGGCTTGAATAGCAGAAAATACAAGTTCATATTGTCAGAGTATGTACAGTTATGGTACCTATATTATAGGTACATTACAAGAGTTGTCAATAAATATTACCAGGATTTGAATAATTTTGACACAATACAAGGCTAGGTCAGGTATATCAGCCTGGTCAAAAACCTGGAAGTGAGGTCGGTTATCTTTCAGTGATTTGACACTCGTGAGCAAATTTAAATATTTAAGATGGCAGCCAGAAGCCATTTTTTGACAATTAACATGATACGTGATGATGAGTCAATCGATTCGATTTTTTCAGTTCAGTTGATAAATCTCTTAAGGTTTGAATTAACCCATATTTAGTTGCCAAATATATCATAATCATTGTTCAATAAAGGAATTCATTGTTTTCTAGGGGTTATCAACAATTGATTTCGTGAAATAAATGTAACATGAAGTTGATGGAAAATATTAAATATTCGAATGCTTATTTTTTCAGAGATATATCTAAAGGTAGAGAAACCAACCCAATCCAATGTGTGAACACATTGGATGATGAGCCTGAACCGAAAGACTTTACTTACATTTTGAAAAGTCGCCTTAGCTCGGAAGGCTTCAGTATTGATACAAGACTGTCCATTTTACAAACCTGCAACTGTGATGAGAGATGTACAAGTGATATATGCGACTGTGGAAAATTGTCCAGAAAATGTTGGTATGAAGAAGAGGGCAAGCTGACATTAGACTTTGACTATTCAGGTATTACTTCTTATTATCTTGTTACTTAAACGTCGGCCTTTTTCTGCTACTGAGGCTAATCACCGACGCCGGTGAGCACACTACCCCCATCCGGAAATTTTGCCGAATCATCTGGTGTTCCAACCAGAGGTAGGGATCTTTAACAAGTCCAACATCCATGGCCTCGGGACCGCCGGCTTAACGTCCCCTCCGAAGAACGGGATATCCGTACCATATCTTGTGCTCATTGATATGGTAGCTGTAGCTATGATATGCGATTTCGCTACAGATGTGCGGGCTTACGCAGCGTTTCCTTGAATGGTCACCCATCCAAGTACTAACCGCCCTCGACATTGCTTTGTCTCAGATATCGAACGGCTAGTTTTGTTTTGTGTCTTACCTGAGAAGCTGGGACGATGCCCTGCTATTCAGGTATCAACTTTTCTTCTAGGCATTCTTCTTCTTTTATAGTTGTTGGTTTTCTGACTTCTTGCAGTGTCAATTTCACCAGATCAGGTGTAAGATTTCCACAACCAAAGATGGTTTTGCAAATAATAAAAATAGATCTAGTATTTTGCCAAAAAAAATGTGAAGGTATTGTGGTGTATAATATAGCAAATCATTGTTGCCGAGAGGGATGATTCAGTACAAAATTTATTCAGATATAATACCTTCCGAATGGAGTATTCTTATTGATCGTCAACTTGTGTTTACTCAGAATTCGGATATTTCAAATGAATATTGCACGAAAAAAAAACTTGACGGGGCATAAATATCAATTGAGGAGTCTATAAAAAGTGGATACATTGACTTGTTGAGTGTGAAGAAAATACTACCAGTCTAGTTGCCCGTTTGATGATGATTTTCAGATTCACCTATGATTTTCGAATGTAACGATGCTTGTTCATGCAACGCCATAACCTGTAAAAACCGAGTGGTACAAAGAGGCCTTCAACAAAGGTTTCAAATCTATAAGACTGAATCGAGAGGTTGGGGCGTGAAAACGTTGAAGTCTATAGTCAAAGGTAGTTTCGTATGCGAATATGTTGGCGAAATATTGAATGATGCCGAGGCCGACCAAAGAGAAGATGATACGTTCTTATTTGATCTCGATAATAGGGTAAGTGCATCACTCATTTCTTATGAAAACACTAAAACTGGGGAATATTTAGAATGTGAAGCATCTGTTCTAACAGGACCTATAAAGGTATGTTCATGCTTGTACGAATTCCGCAACTTTTTTGCGAATAAAATGGCGACTGCGAATATCGCAATGATGTTCTTTACGAATTCGGATGGAATCATAACAACACAGTATGCATAAAATGTGTTTTTATTTTGATATCAAAATTTTGGAATTATGCATGGAGCGGACAGCAGAGGCCGAAAAAAGACGAGCGACATTCTAGACTAGAGTAAAGATCATACACACACTATAGATAGTCAACGCCTGTGTAAAAATTGGCAATGCTCCGATGGGATCTAATAGACCGGTGGCTAATCGGCTGTGCTATTCTTGACCAAATTTTATTATCCGAATCGGTGGAATACGCGGCGTTATAATGAATAGATGCGCCCAGCGGATTATCACCGCTCTGTTCGTTCCCAACTTAGCGTTGCCCATTCTTACATTTACGGTGCTTATCTAAGAGGTAACTACACTTATAATTATAAATTTCTTCACTTGATTAAATTTTCTTCGCAGGATGGATTCTCTGGACGAATTAATTTTAATGTATCATTTGTATGGGGCTGGTGGCCGTGAGCGTAGAGTCGCTGGCTGTTGCCCAGGCGGTCCGGGTTCGATCCCCGGCGCGAGCACTGAATTAATTTTCGGTAGTTTCGTTGGGCGGGAGGAGATAGGTGACCAACCCAACATTCTTGGTACCTAGATATCAATCCTTTGGACTGTCCACGGTTACCAGCCGAGTAGTGCTTCGGATGACACTTAAAAAGCTAAGGTCCCCGTCTTCTTAACTCACACAAGTCTCTGACTTTCGAGGGTTGCTTTGCAACTAAGCTGGCGGTTAAAAACACTTTTAAACACTTTTTATCGTCTCTATAGAGCTAATGATGTATCCAGGCGCAAAAAAGAAGCTGTAGTTTTTGAAGTCATTTTGAATGACGAAAAAGTTATGGAGAATACAACCTCGTTGGATAAATACGAATGAATGGCAGAATGACTCATAAATATTTCAATTACTTTCGTGTTACGTGCCTTCAATTTGATGAAATTTCATCAATGGTGGGACCAGAAATGAAGAGATTATATATGACTACACAACTCTTATCTCCTGCAAATGCGTACAAGCATGAATATACCTTAATTCATTGAAATCAACTGTTTTACCAAAAACCGCTTGCATGAAATAACGAAGGTATCAACAATATGCAAGAACACTAATTTCTAGAAAAAATACTATGACGCTCATCACGATGAGAAATGGCACCGATTTTTTATTGTTTGTATTCCTTCTAGATATTCCAAATTAAATTACCGAAGAAATGAAAACACCCTGTATTTTTGATTTTTTTTCTACATAATAAAATTTCATTATTATTCTTCTCATAATTACTCTGGTCATTTTAGGATTCTGAGACTTTTTGTGTGGATGCTAAGTATTATGGCAACTTTGCCAGGTTCATCAACCATTCTTGTTCACCAAATTTACATCCCGTAAAAGTTTTTGTCGACCACCATGATCTTAGGTTTCCCAAAGTCGCATTTTTCGCCTCAAAAGATATTACCCCCGATGAAGAAATCAGGTAAGAAACATTTATGAATTCGACAAAATTTATTTCACTCTCTCGATTTTGTGTACACCTAATGAGTACCAATAATTCATCTTCATTACCAGTTTACATTTTCCGACAAGTCTTACATTATTATAATTATGCATAATCAATATTCTACATTATTTTTAGTTTCGATTATGGGCACAAATTTTGGCTAGTGAAATACAAATCTTTCACATGTCATTGTGATTCGCCAGACTGTAAATATTCCGAAGAAACAATAAGACAAACTTTGATGCACTTGGAAGGTGTTGAAGAAGAGATTTTGTGACATTGAGAGAATAATCTCACCAAAGTACTGGTGTCTGGTGCAATAACGTAATAGCCCTATCCTAGAATTTTTTCAGTATTGTGCTTATATCGCTGCTTGGCTTGATCAATATTGATTGAGTAGAGCTGATCATTTCTAGGATTAATTTAAAAATTGCATTTATATCAGTAGAAAGGATAGTAAGAGAAAACTAGAAAAACTCGAATATGTTGTCTTGGTATATAAAAAACGGGTTAGTGCAGGATGATTGTACAGAATTCCATACAAATGAGTATGGAAAGTATGGAATGGAAAGGAAAATCATTAGACAAATTAAAGTCTTCATTTATGCATTTCCTTTAATGGATACGTCACTGTCGCAGTTCTATGTAAAACTATTAGTATTAGTATCGAATTCACCCTCGATTGTCAAATTTCATTAATTGTATTGTATCACGTTATTTTTTATTGTATGAATAATATTTGATTAATTTCTAAAACAACTTAGTGCCATAGTGGCGACGTATGTATTTCATGGCAGAAGCACTTATATTCAGATTCTGATTGTGTGAATGATTAGTCTGAGAATATTTCTAATATAGACAATGGTAAGTGCTGAGACTAAATTAGCTATCTCTTTATCATTTTGTTTGCCTAACTATGTTAGCATCTTCAGAAGGCGATTGAAAGAATAAAACTTGATATATCTAAAATGCTGCCCATTTTCAAGTTATCTTGGCTGTGAAAGACATGAACTCCATTATGAATGTTTGCATGTCTGAGTTATTATCTAATCCGAATAATGAATCATCAAACTATACATAGGACTGTATGAAATAGGCCATTCAACCTCATTTATAACTATTACTATTCTCAACCATGTATAGCTTTCGTAATTTTTCAACATTTTCCACTTGGTTGATCAAATTGAGGTTTTTGATGTTCTTATCATAAATTTGGCTAAATAGAATGTTTTGCCACACTCGATTTATCTAATGTACAATATTTCAAAATTGCAAGATGTTCTTTGAACCTTCTTTCCACAAGTCGTCTAGTTTGGCCCACATATCTTCAAACGATTTCGTAAATATTCGTTATGTACTTCATCTTTTGAATTGCCTAGTATTTTTTTATCTCTTGGAGCGCACGAAAGGGAATGTAGGGAGAGAAGGTAAGTATTGGATTTTTTGAAGCTCTGGAAATTATATTAAGTTCAGAGAATACTTTCTTTGGCATAGAATTCCAAAGCTTTGCTGTTCTATAGATCCAAACTGACATGCTTTCAAGTCTTTGAAAAGCATATGAACTCATTATATGTATATCAGTTGTATGATTAATTATTGATATATTCATCTTTTTGTATACCTTGAATCCTAATCATTCTAGAATTTTTGCTTTCTTCTCGGAAAGTAGTAGAATTTTGAAGAGCCAACTTGAATTTTTGTTCACGAATTAGTATACCATTTCAATACCCTAAACATTGACGCTAACCAATTTATAAACAACACTTCTCCGAACATTAAATATTTCTTTGGTCAAAGGCACGATGAAGGAAATGAACTTGCCATTTATTGTGTTGTAAACAGTGATTAGAGTAATTAATTATTCGTATCCGAGTGTGTTGGTACCTGTCTAAAAATATCAAAGTTATTTTGGATAAAGTTCAAGACTATCTGAAAACAGTATTGTGCGTTGTTCTTGCATTCAAAAAGAAAAATATTGCCTGAACTCCAGAGAAAAGCTCTATGATTCCATCTTCCCGTATAAAATTGTTTATTATTCCGGATTCGGACCTCTTGAAAGATTTCACGTGTTGGTCAAAGTACGATCACCCTGTATATATCATTTTTCAATATAAATTTCAATGAATCTTTGAAGTAGGTATTGAATAGATATGAATATCATGAGTATTATCATTGTGAAATGAAGATTAATAATTAATTGAACTGTTCAAAGACATACTATGGTTTTGATAAATCGATCAGGAATTAATATGTATGTCTATTTGAAGTGAAATTTCACAAATTGCTCTTCATTTGAAGTTCATATCTCACCGTGAATCATCATTATCATTGATCCATAAGTTATATTCCATGTTACGCCTATTCGTCGTTTATATCAATATTTCATTAAATAATTCATATTTTTTCAGTATTTGGATTCCAAACATTTATGAATAATTGTACATGTTTAAATCACTTCGCTAGATCTAGATGATGTTACCAATTTCTTCCAGATAGGTATTTCTTTCTACAAAAAAAAAATGTAATTAGTCTGAAAGAAAGGAAAATCATCCATAATTTTTCAGTATTTGGATTTCAAACTTCGATACATAGGGCAGATTTGTCTTGCTGAAATTACTTCATCAAATATAAATGATTTTATTGATTTCATTTCTTGATATTACATACAGGGCGATCTTTAATCAAATGTACATGGAGTATAGAATATTGATGAAATATTGCTAATGAAAGAGGCGGAAATGTCAAATTGTAAATCTTAGGAGTTATTGTGAATAAAATTTGAAGTGTCACCTTCGACTTTCCGTCTCTCTCATTAGCAAATCCAATCAATGCAATTCAGCTCAAATTGTAATATTCTGAGATAACAATCTACTATACTTTCATGCACAATTTCTTACGGACCACCCTGTATATTTTACCGTAACTATCTCGGAAAATTATAGCGAATAAAACAAATAAACAGTGTCATTGATTAGCATCAATTAAAACATTTGATTGTAGGTATGTATTATTTTAAGATTTTTTGATTAATTGATAATAATTTCTGACTATTTTAAAAAGTTCAGAAATTATACCCCGAAGTACAGTTTTGTGGAAATTTTCATACGCGTGTATCACTTTGAACGGCTCCCCCTCTATATCTCAGCTGAGTGGTGTGATTCGTACCAAATTTGGATCGGTATGAATAACCATCAGTATGATCAGTTTTTCAGGGACGAACGTCATTTTGGAAAGTTTCGTGCGTTTTTTTTAATGAAAAGAGGTCAAGAATTTTTTTACAGCAAAAATCACCTCATAATATTGTTCCTCATGGTTTCAAATCCCCATATGTAGTTGAATAGCCTTTTTGGGATCGGTTATAATCATTTACTAGGAAGCGGTGGGGATGAGTTGATTTTGCATATGGAGGTATGAAAGAATGAGGTACAATAATATGAAGTTAGTTTTCATGCAAAAAATTTCCCAATATGATTTCATGAATATCAATCTCTTTTTATATCAATAAAAACGCACGGCATTGTCCAAAATGATGTTCGTCTCTGTAAAACTGATAATATTGATGGATAGTCATACCGGTCCAAATTTGGTAAGAATCGTATGACTATTAGCTGAGAAATAGAGGGAGGGGCTTTTACAGTGAGACACGCTATATACACTGTCCATATAAAGTCACCCCCCCCCCCTGGTTAACTATTGAACGGATGGGATTTTTTTTTCAATTTTTTTTTGCTTCAATGGTAGTTTCAGTGCTATATATTGTTTCAAAAAAAAAATATGTGGGCGCCATTTTGGAAGATTTTTTTAAATGGAGTGGGGGGTCGAAAGATACCTCGATTGAAAGGTCTTTCGATTCTCTATACAACCTCAGAATCTCAGACGAAAATATTCATCCAAAACAAAATGGCTGATGATAACGTTTGAAATCTCACACCAGAATTCTTTCGACTAGATGGCTATTGAAGTGCTCGCATGTGATCTTCAAATCTCTATTGGCGTAAAGAAGAGTTCTCTATCCATGAAGATATCAATAGGAAGCCATTTTGAAGAGAATAACATGGTAGTCAATTATACCTTTGCTCGATTGTCTTTCCAAATTCTGCAAAATTTTAGAAATATTTATTCAAAATAAAGAACAATGTTTATTCCACGTGACTACCATGTTATTCTCTTCAAAATGGCTTTCTATTGATATCTTCATATTTAACAAGGGAAAGCTTTCGTGACTGTTCTATAATAATATTCTTGGAAATATTAGTGGGATGCAGTCTGGACCAATGAATTAATTAAATTTCTTCATAGATAGAGAACTCTTCTATACGCCAATAAAGATTTGAAGATCACATGCGAGCACTTTAATAGCCATCCAGTCGAAAGAATTCTGGTGTGAGATTTCAAACGTTATCATCCGCCATTTTGTTTTGGATGAATATTTTCGTCTGAAATTCTGAGGTTGTATAGAGAATCGAAACACCTTTCAATCGAGGTATCTTTCGACCCCCCACTCCATTTAAAAAAATCTTCCAAATTGGCGCCCAGGCGCCAATTTGGAGGATACATATTTTTTTTTTGAACAATATATAGCACTGAAACTACCATTGAAGCAAAATAAAATTGAAAAAAAAATCCCATCCGTTCAATAGTTAACCAGGGGGGGGGGTGACTTTATGGACACAGTGTATACTTGATTTCTACATTGCTGATTCAATTTATGTTTTTGGTGGCTGTTATATTGTTTCATATTTATTATGCAAGTTATTTTAAATGAAATGTGACTGTATAAATATAATTTATTGATAACTTATTGTTACTAATTTTATTCTTCAGTACAATTTATAATTATTGTACATAGAGTTCCAGTATGTATGTTGAGTGTTTGATTTTTAAAAGTAGTATTAGCAACGATACACGTTTTTTCCATCTTTGTGTTAATAAGAATGGGGATGAGTAATGGGATTTATTGAAATAAAGACAAACGTTTCGAATTATATATTTGTATCATTTAATATAAAGTCCACCTATATATAATTCATAGTCTTGAGTGTTAATCAAAGTTTGTTGTATTCACTTTTTTTGGCAGGATGCATATTTTTCATCAACACTCAAGATATGAAAGAATGTAATATAAATATTGCAATTCAAATTCATGTTTCATAAATAATGACCATATTCGGAAATATGATATGAATACGTGACACAAACATAATTTGACTAAGTATTTCACAGTATATACGTCACCGCAGAGGGTGGAATTCCTCTGGGTACTCTATCCCTTCATAAAAGCATTATCATGTAAAAATCAATAGCTAGGGCGAGCCAGAAAATTGTTCTCATTATTGATGAATAGTGGAAAAGGAATATAAATAACATCATTCTCTCAAATTGTCCATTGTGACCCGATTGGTGAATTATCATGAAATTAAATGAGTGTCATGAATTAATCCAACACTGTCATAAATAACATATTGAATAATTGAAATACAGAGAAGTGCACAAAAAACGGCCAGGACTGTAACTTTTGAATTATTCGAGGTAGGGTTTTGAAAATTGATGGGCAGCTAGTATATCAAATTGCTCAATAATTGACGCAACAATTTTTGTTCTATCAATTCTGGTTTTACTGGAAACGACTCCAATTTTTGATTTT